CAAAGCTAATAATGCTATTTGGCCATAATATTGTGAATTAAAGACTTGCTAAAATCATTCTTTGGGAACAACAAACTAAGCCAATTGTTAGAGTTGGTTGTCTTATTGTAGAGTAAATTCAGCAGGAACAGCTTGTATGACTGATCGTACTTGCAGTAATTATGGGATTAGTATAATAACATTCAATCACATCAATTGCGAAGCGTGGTCATCTTATTGTACTGTGAACACCACAAATAATGGATGTATGAATAAGACTTGTTTTAATACTAATTTGAGTGTGTTTAATGATCAAACCTGTGGGTAATGGTTAAATACCTGCAAAGCCAATTCCACCAATACTGGATGTGAAATAAGGACATGTACAAATTATGGGAGTTAATTAACCAGTTTCACTTCTGCGACTTGTTCATATTGGTTATATTAATGTACTAATAATGGATCCACAGCTTGTAAGACAAGTAGAACATGTACCAGTTATAGTAATTTAATATAAACTTTCACATTGTAGACATGTTCAGAATATCTGAGTTCATGTGTTCCTGATCCTACTCAATCATCTTGTGTAGATAGAACTTGTAAAAATGCATAAGGGTTGCCTTCGTATACACTTTAAAATTGTTCAAATTGGATGAATAGTTGCACGGTGAATTCAACTAATGATGGTTGTATTGACAGAACATGTTAAAATGCATCTCTATCATACTACAATTATAGTAGTTGTTCTAATTGGTTAAGTTCATGCACTGTAAATGGTACTAATGATGGTTGTACTGCTAAGACTTGTAGTAATAGCACTATCACTTAATTTACATAAGCCAATTGCACAGCTTGGTTAAGTACTTGTACAAATGGTACGAATTCATGCATTAATAAGACATGTGCCAATTATACAGGTACAATCAATTAGACTAATTGTGTAGCATGGTTATCTTATTGTTATGCTGATTCTGGAACTCCAACATAATGCTCTAGTTTGAGGAATTGTTATAATCATAATTTAAGTACATTTACTGTTAGCACGTGCAGTTCATGGTCTCCATTATGCACAGTGAATACCACGAATGATGCATGTACCGAAAAGACTTGTTATAATTATGATTTAACAAAGTTTAGTCATTCACTTTGTTAAGATTGGTTATCAACTTGTACAGTCAATATGGATGGAACTGGATGTGAAATTAGATCATGTACAAATTACGGAAACAACATAATCTTATTTACTAATGCCAATTGTTCTGGATGGTAGAAATATTGTAAGGCAACATATTTGGGTAATGCATGTGAACCATACACTTGTTGGAAGAATAATGTAAGTGTATTCAATCATACTAATTGTTATAACTATTTAGATTAATGCACTGTTGCAGATTCAACATCTTGTGGATCTACAAGAACATGTACTAATCATGGAAATGCAGTGACCATTTTTAATCATGCTAATTGTTAATATTGGTTAACTAAATGCACTGTAAATGCTGCAGGAACTGCATGTGAGGAAATGACATGTGAAAATCATGGAGTTTAAATTTCTAAATTTACTCATGTAAATTGTCAAAATTGGATGTTTGATTGCACTGTTAATTCAACTGGAACAGATTGTGAATTGAAAACATGTTCAAATTATGGTGCCAATGTAGTTGTTTACACTCATGCTAATTGCTTAGCTTGGTTATCCATATGCACAGCCAATTCAACCAATAGTGCTTGCATTAATAAAACATGTCTAAATACTACTGGTATCAGCACATGGTCATAAGCCAATTGTGAATCATGGTTGAGTGTCTGTTAATTAAGTAAACCTAGCACTTGTTAAAATAATCTCAGTAATTGCTCATCTGCAACATATAACCAGTGTGTTAAAGATAATAATAATGATGTTTGTGTATGGCATCAGAATGCATGTAAGGATAGGGCATGTAATAACTTCACTGGAACAGCCAATCATACTAATTGTGAAAATTGGTTAAGTAGTTGTACTGTCAATACAACTAATAATGGATGTGTCACTAAACCTACTAATTGCACTACAGGGGGTGTCACTCAAAACTAATGTATTGTCAGTAATTCTGGGGTTAAATGTTCTTGGATTGCTAGTTCCTGTGTAACTAGAACATGTACATAATATTTTGGTACATTTAACCATGCTAATTGCAATAGTTGGTTAAGTACATGTACTGTTAATAGTGCATCGACTGCTTGTTAAACTTTATCATCCTCATGTTCTTCATATACTATTTAGGATTAATGTAATTTTACTAACTCTAGCACAGTTTGTTTTTGGGTTAATAATGCTTGTGTTAATAGAACATGTGACCATGCTCCACAAACAACTGCTTATGATGATCATAATGAATGTATCAATTTTTTGAATACATGTACTGTTGCTAGATTTGGAGGATGCACAGATAAATTATCAACATGTTCATCATACAAATAGTAATCATAGTGTTACTAGAGTTCATTAGGAGTTAAATGTTATTGGAATACTCTAACATCTTTATGTGCAGATGCTATTTGCACAAATGCTTTATCCACACTAACCACACATGCAGATTGTTAAAGTTTCTTGAATACTTGCACAGTAAATACTCCAGGAGGTTGTATTCCACTTGTAGCTTGTAATCTATATACAACAGCACTCTCTTGTGTTATATCTAATACAGGAGATACTTGTGAATGGCAATCAGGAACTTGCAATATAAAATCTTGTACAACTGCTGCATTGGATGCCACAAGAGATACTCATGAAGAATGTCAAAGTTATCTACCATATTGTACAGTTGCTGCTGCTGGAGTTGGTGGATGTGTTCCACTAAATGATTGTAATACCTATACTTCAGAGAGATAATGTAAAATCAATGCAAGTGCTTTATTGTGCGGATGGAATGGCTCAGTGTGCGCGAATAGATCATGCTCCACTGCTCCTCCAACTGTAACATACAGTAATGATAGCGCATGTGAAGATTATATGGATGGGTGTACAGTAGTGGAGACTGGATATGGTTGTCAATCTAGAAAATCAGAGTGTTCTGATTATTCAGTAAGTAAATAGTGTGTAAAAACAATCACAAATTAGTTGTGCTATTGGAATAAGGAATTGCCAATTCCAGTTTGTGAGATTAGAACATGTTATAATGCACCTAGTAATTCTCTTACTCCTGCCTTATGCGAATAGCACTTCAATCTATGCTATTCCAATATGCAATATTGCAGACTCGAAGAATGCGAAGACCTTCAAATGACTACAGATTTTGATTGTAAATATTACAACAGTAAATGCACTACTAATGGTACTCACTGTGTAGTCAGAAAGAAATGTTAAGATGTATAGAGTAGTGCAGGTTGTGTTATGGATGATTAATTCAATGAATGTGAATGGTTCAATTAAGAATGCGTATTAAAGACCTGTTATACTGCTCCAGAATTTACTACTGAGTAGGAATGCAATCTCTATAAATAAGGCTGCACAACTAAATTATTTGGTGGTTGTAGGTAAAAGACTACTTGTTCAGAAGCTAATGTCGAGTAAGCATGCACTACCTCCATCACTGGCGAAATCTGTGTTTGGAATTAGGGTATTTGCAGATCTCAAAGATGTGAGGATTTTGACGGTAGCTATGATGAAATTTGTGATGCCTAGAAAAAAGGATGTGTCAGTGATGGAACCTAATGCATTTTACCAAGGCTTTGCTCTTAAATACTAGTCAAAGAAAAATGCGTTAAAGGTCTCGATGGACCATGTGTATGGTATGAATTGGGTTGCTCACTCTTTCTCTCTTGTTCAAGTGTTCAAAGCAATTTAGATAGAATTTGTAAATCTGCAAATAGGTTATGTACTACCGATGGACTCAAATGTGTGGGATTGGAGAAATGTGCTAATTATAGATTATAAGAGGCTTGCAAAGTTGGATTAGATGGAAATTGCTAATGGATTGAATCTTAACAGAAATGTCTATTGTTTGCCAAATGTTCTGATTTACCTTTTCTAACTCACGACGAGTGTTAAAAATCATCATCTAAGTGCACTACAGATACTTTGAATGGGTGTGTTAATTTAGAATAGTGTTTCAATTACACACAAAAAGAGCAATGCAAAATCAGTTCCTAACCACAAAAAATACAGAACAATTAAGTAATCTAAACAGGATATTGTGCTTGGGTCAATGGCAAATGTAGGGATCAATTATGTGAAGATCTAAGTGGTGAAACACATGAGTAATGTCAAGCCAAACTCAAAGGATGCACTTCAGATGGAACCAATTGTGTTACCATGCAACCTTGCTCTTAATATACTAATATTATTACCTGCAATCTTGCATTAGGAACTGATGGGAAATGCCTATTTTCTACTGCTGGTTGCAGAACTCTCGAATGTGCTGACATCAAAGATGGAACCAATCATTTTACTTGTTAGAACTTCAATTCTACTTGCGTTTCTAATGGGGATAAATGCATATCCTAAGTCAAATGCGAGTATTATCCTAATTAGCTCGCCTGCACTTATAGAGGATTAGATGGACAATGTGCTTGGGATGGAACCAAATGTTCATTGATGAAATCTTGTTAGGATGCAAATAATGATATGGTAGCCTGTCTAAGAATGAATGAATTTTGTAATTGGGTCTCGTATGCTAATGGAGCTTCCTCATGCCTCGCTCACACTTGTTAAACCAAAGGAGTTCTCAATCAATGCAAATATATCAAAGATTTCAACAGTTCAACCATAACTACTTGTTTATGGTTAAATGATTCATGCTAAGCTGTTGATCCTCGAAATCTATTAAGTTCTGAATGTAATGTTAACACTTTAAATACTTATCGATGGAATCCAGTAAACAATACCTGTGAGTTATGTTCTCCTTCAGAAGTTAACAATACCAACACCCCAGTAGTCAACTATCTTTAATTATTATCGATCGTGATAATATAAGCAATAATATATTGAAAAAATATTCATCATCAAATATATATTCATTATTTATATTTAATTAACTGTTATGTATTTACCCAGACCTTTGTAGCATTATTATCCAACTCAATACCCAACATTACCAGAAATTCCTTAAAGGGAACAACCTAAGTTGATTTATGACTCAAGATATGAAGTAGAAGATAAGTATTACAGAAACTAGATCTAAAACTAAGAGGATTTCGCTTAATCTCAATAAGAATATTAAAAAATGGAGAAAACTTATAAAAAATACAATGGATATTAATAAAATCCTGCTTCTTTGAATTAAACATACAGCAATAAACAAAGTAGCAATTAGCAATAATAACCTCCTATCTCAGAAAGATATAATCAAATAACAGATTCAGATATTAGGTTCGTCTCATATATATTTTAAGAGGAAATACAATTTAGAAAAGAATTTGTACAGATCAATAAAAAATTAAAATAACACAACCCAAACTTATTGTCATTATTTTATATATTTACATCTGATAATCATTATGTAATAACTCATTTTAATTCTAGAAAATTGAAAAGTTTAAATTTTTGGAAGTGTTGTAATCCTACCAGGATGATGTAAAGGTTTGTGATTTGGAATTATTGTTCAATTATTTAAATAATTGGAAGCGCTCATAATCTATTACTTATGGCCAATTTTTACAACTAATCGTGCCTTATGTTAAGTACGAATAAATGCCTGATCCAGCAGACCTAAAGTATCAATAGGATTAGCCTACACAAGAATAAATGGAAATATTTTGTAGGTTAATTAAAATGAAATTGTAAATGATGTCCACCCTTGAGTACTACAGACAAAAGATTGATAAATCTCTAATTAATTTAGTACAAATTTTTGAATTCATAGACTAAGACAAGGATGGATTGATCAAAGCATTTGAAATCACTAAACTGTTATGTAATAAAATAAAATTATAATTACCTAGAATAGTTTGGTTATTTGGTTACAGTTGAAGAGGCCTAGTTAGTGTTGTAAGATATAGATGAAAGAGGATAAATAAATATTAATTAATTTGTCCACTACTACAAACCAAAATCTTAGGCTATTTATTTATGATATATAATTATTAGACTTTTAAATTACATTACTTATTTCATCAATTTACAATATTACTACTATGAAATAGTTGATGTAGGATTTAGTTTCATAAAACTGCTTTTTTAAGAAAGGCCATTAATTAATAGCAAACATACATAATCTAATCAATCAGGCAGTATATTTTATGTTGAGAGTTCTCCATGTTGGTTAATAAATTCAAGGATTTCTGCAAATTGCCTTCGTTCAGGTTAGTATTTTGGTATATCTTCTCTACTCGTATAAAGTCCCAAAGGAGCAATTCTATTTGATTGCAATGGAATGAACTCGTCGTACTCCTTTCCCCATCCGTCATAATGAATGAATAGTTCCTTTTTACCAATTTATTATATTGTTGCTACGCACCATATAAATTATTAATCCATTATATCAACTTTTTAGTCGATTGCCATATTATCTACTCTAATGGAGAAATATTTGAATACAATTTAGATTTATTCCATTATTCCATCTCCTATCGTCTATTCTAAAAATGTTCTATTTATGCTTTATCTCCATATTAATTAACTAGATCGACGATTCTATTATCAAAACTTTCACAATATTAGAATGAGTGTGTTTTAATTTTCACTCGACAAACAGGACATTCCTGTTATTAAAATAACTATATACTGCTTTCCTCATTAGACTATCAAATATGCACATCTCACAAAATGCATGGCCGCATTATGTAGTTGTAACTTTTTGAAAGATTTCCAGACAAATTGGGCAAATCAAATCTTCAAATTTAGGCCTAGAATGTTGTTGTAATTTAATTTCTAAGAGAAAATTATTTAAGTGATTTATACTTTTCCTTCTTTCAGTGTAATTTTATTTGATATTTTCTCTTTTCCGCATCTTCTTTAAAAAGGTTTCCTACAACATATTTTTGTTGATCAATTATAAATCTGCTACTTATTCAATATGTTCTTCAGATGCATGAATCATTAAATTATTATAAACAATTAAATAATTTAATCAATCATTAAATTAAAAATGTCTTATACAGAATGGCAGTCCTTGATTAATGATTCCTTTCATTTTAAACCTTCAACAAGATGATATGTTTATATATAATTTAAAAGGCAAAATTTAATTCATTATTAATGTTCAATAATTCTTACTTGCTTTTTGCCTCTGATAATTCTTAAGAATTCTGACAATTTATCACTCTCTTGCTCGGAATCTTTGGGATTCAATTACATATAATTAGGAGTTTGTTATCTCAATTGCATCTAGGTTTATTTTAGACTTGCTCTAATTTAATAAAACAATAAAAATTACGCTCGTTGAGTATGTATAGTTGGGATACGATAAGTGTCAGCAAATTAGTCAAAATAATGACTTTCATATTCCTTTAAGTCTTTTTAATAAATGTATTTTATTTTTTAAACTTTTGTTGGGCTTTAAAATTTAATACGAAAACTGGGGCTCATCCTCAATGGTGTATAAGGCTACTAGATTTTTTCGTTTATTTTGAGTTCAAATTACTTTTATCTTTTCATTTTATATTAATTTATAATAATAAAAGTCAAAACCTAAAACTTATTTCACAAAATTATTTATAAACTTTATAACTTTATAGATCATTTCTTTATATACGATTGTTAGAAGCAAGGGCATTCAGATTTTTCAAAATAAGGAAATTTATCAGTATTTCTCAAGCAATTCAACCAAATTTATTTTGTCAAGTACTTAAATATCTTGTATTTTTCAACTATAATTTTAAAACTGAGTTGTTTAATCATCAAAGATCGTAAATTATGTGATTAAATTACTGATTTCAATTCTACTTCATCTGTTGGATCCGCAGTCAATTTAAACAAATTTTCAAGCAATTTAGCTAAACTAATCAAAGGAACAAAGCTCTTTAGAGTATTCAAATTGAAATTTTTCCAAGTCTCAACATAATTCTCAAATTCGACATTAGTCTTACCTTACCTATCAGACTGAATCTACTCCATCTGTTTTAAGCTTGATATTTCATCATGTTAAGATTCTTTTTATTATTTTATTTAATTGACTTGTTATTATTGAGTGATTGATCTGGCTTATGATTCTCTTATATCATGAACATCATTTTAAAACTACTGACTTTTAATGAAACTTTAATTAACAATTGGATTTTGAGAACCATGCTTACCCCACCAAACTTGCAGTTTCTTTTATGTAATTTATAATTCATGTATAAATTTGATGCTATCCTTAATCTTGATTACACTACTAATAAGATCTAAATTGTCATCTGGAAAGAAGTAAATTATTTAAGATACTGCCCCTATCAAATTCAATAAACTTATTAAGACATTAGGAGATTTTAATATAAAATCATAATTTGCCAATTTTTTAATGAGATTACAAATTATTTCACAACTTTCTCTATTCAGTTTTCCAATCTCTGGGGATATGTTGAATAATATTTGGGATATTTCTAATAGTTTACTTTCCTTAATAGATGATAATTCGTTTAAAACTGTATCACAAAGTGCTGTCACCAATAAATCACCCCAACTACCAACAATAATCGGAGCATCTGTAAAAGTCAAAGTAAATTCTTGATTTGCACATAATTGCTTATTCAATTAAGGTTAAGAACTTAATAATTTGATTAACTTTAATGAAGCTTTTTTGATATATATTTTTGGATTAAAGTAAGACAATAAAAAAACAATCATTAGATTTGGGACTATGTTATTTAATTATAGATACCATTATGAGCAGTCTTGGAAGTGAGATAGCTTAAGAAAATAAAAGAGTTTTCAAATTGGGATAATTACTTTTCAAAGGATCCTCTAATAAATTACTATTAGGATTTGTAATAAGAGTAAAACTTCTGTGATAGTTATACTATTATTCCTTCTTATATTTATTAGGGTAAATCAATAAACTAAGGGAATGGGTGGTTGAATAGCCGAAAGTACTCTTTAGTTTTGATCATCTCCTCAAACTCTTTCCCTAAATGCAAGACATCTTTGTAAACAAATCCTATGATTTATATTTATGTTATTACCTTATCCGCCTATTATAAGAGATGCTAACTTTAAGCATACACTTTAAAGATTATCTTCTATTTAATTAGATATATTGACTAGGCCTCTGAGAAATTACTTAATTCTCTCTGTAGGGAATATTGAAAATGCAATCAGTGAAACTAATAATTCTGGAAATAATGGAATTTTTTGTAATATTAACAAAGCTGCGTTAGGAGTTTAAACTAGCAACTTTTAAGTTAATCTTTAATCTTTGCTACATTATTATTCTTAATTATTTTTCTCTTTAAATTATTCATCTATTTCTTATTCATCTGATTATTTCTACTCATTGGATTTTACGTTTTCTTTCTTTTAAAATTTGTCTTCATTATTTAATTCTTCAATTTCTATTTAGAAAAAAAACTCTGATGAAAATAAGGAAGAACTCACTATAGCAAATATGCAGGATAAAACGAGATATCGATTTTCAAAATATTTTGCAATATCATTTGGATACTTGCATTGAGGATTGAAACCCTTCCATACATGACCAAATTGAAATTAATAAGAGTTCCATATGTTGTAATAATATTATGCAAAATATTATAATAGAGTATCATTCTTAACAACTGACTCCTTTTAAGATTAGTAAGTATAAATACATCATATCCTAAAGAATCTATTGTGAACCCAAAATGGAAGCACATCTAAAATAGTCTTGTAATTAGTGAAATAATCAGAGGAGGGTCTCGTTCCTATGTTTCGTTGTTTGGTTAAGCAATTTTGGTATTCCATAGTATCTCTTTCATTTGCTCCTTAAAATATTCTTCATACAGCACAGGAAATATTGATGTCAATATTCTCAAGCTGTTCTTCCATTATCTATATTGAATATAAGATTGCAATTCAGATTATGTGTCGCAAAGAAATTTATGTAAATATTGGATTATACCCAAGATCCTCTTAGGAGATTATTTCAATATATCCCTAATGTCAGAAGGATAAAAAGCATTCAGATAATCTTCTTAAGAGATGTCAAGAAGCAAAATGGACTTCAATTCCTCTGCTAAGTTATTTTCATCCTCTTATTTCAATAAATTGACAAACTTAGCCTTTACATTAATTTAATTTCCCATTTATTTTATTCTAATTAATTAATATGAATAAATAAATTTATATATCATGATAATAAAGATTATTCAATTTTTTAGCATGTCGATTCCAATAATTTTAACAAAGATTTCTCTTATTTCTCTCTTAAGAATTACTCTTACTAAGAAAATGGATAGAATAATAATGTACTTCTAAATCATTTTAAATAGATTAATCTAAGTCTTGCAATAATCTAATAGTTGTTTCGTATGATTCTTCTGAGATTCTTTTTTCTTCACTCAACTATTCTTGTAACCTTAAAATTTCTTCCCCAAACCCTCTAATTAATTTTTCAGCATTTTGATCCCTTATCTACTTTTCTTATTCAAAATAGTATCTTAATTCTTCAAGTTCTTTTTCAATGTTTTCAATTTGCTTCTCCTCATATTCAGTCCTTTAGACATTATCTTTTTTTAATTCTCCCTTCATTGCTTGTATTTTATCATCAATTTCAGCAAAAATCTCTTATTCATTCACCTTCCTACTAGAATATTCTTCATTCAAAGACAAAGAAAAGTTTTTTTCAATTAAAGTTAATGATTTCAAACTTTTTTCACAAATTAACTACAATTAATTAATATCTAACCTATCTTTAATCCCTTTCGCTGTATAATGTCTCCTCTAACTTTTCGTATTGCTCATAAAGTAACTAAGGAATTACAATTAATAAATACTCTGAATTTCTAATTATCATTGATCTCTCCTTTTTGAATTCTCTCCTCTAACAATTTTATTTTTTGGAAATACAAATCTCTCCTACTCTAAATCAATTAGGAATGATATTTACTTTGTCATCTTTAACATTTGTAGATAATCCTTGCAATACTCGGTTCAACTCATTAATACGATCTTGATTTTAACTAGGTGATACATTTCTCTATTAGATAATGATCAAATCTATACATTTGAATAGTCAGATTCATCGTGTTTCTTAGTCGCAGTAGCACTTTTGAACATTATTTTTAAATTTAATTTAAGGTTAACTGTTTAAATATGTATTATTTATTTTATATTAATGTAAGACGAAGAAAAAATATTAGAATAATTAAAAGAACTTGATAAAGCATAAGACAAAAATCCTGTATACCCTATCAATCTAACTTAATATAGGTAACCTTAGCATCCTTGAAAACTTTGAAGTCTGCAATCTATAACAGAGATGTTGATTTATAGACTGTCGTGAAATTAAGAACCTTAAATGAAACCACATTGAAATCAGAGAATATTAAAATTTATTTCTGTTCTCTCTGTGGAAAGAAGGCTATTGGAGCAAATATCGGATTAGATACTCTTCCAACCAGAAGATCAGATAATAGCATTGCCATCAATTTAAAACAAATATTCGTCCGATTGTTCCTGAAATAGGAAGGCATCAAATATATAAAGCGATCTAATTGTACTATGATGTCATATTTTAAGCTGTTGAGAAACAATATCGTTGGTGCTGTGAAGAATGTGGGGTACATGTAGCTTATCAATGTGTGAGCTACGAAGAAGGTGCTTAATTAATTTAAGGAAATTCAGATATCTAATTATCAAATAAACCATATCTATACGTGCTTAATGATGCAATTGTGTTAAATTAATAATTTTCAAAAGTACATAGTGAAATTGCTAAACTCAAAGATCAAATGGAATATGAATAATTAAAATGAATTTAAATAGATTTTTATGTCTTAATAAATAAAATACGTATTCCTATTGTGTTTAAATTCCAAATAGAAGTTTTTTAAGATATATAATATTTATTGTATATTTATCAAAATTAATATTCAAATCTCATTCATACTATTAAAGGCTCAATTAGTAAATATTCGATAACAAAATCCCTAAGATTATTGGTAAAATGTATTTGAATAACGAGGATCCTAATATTATTAATAAAATCAAACCTTTCTTTAATTTTGAGATTTCAATTGTATTATATATTTGTTCTCTCTTTCTTTTTTCTTCTGCCTTTTATCATAATGGATAAAATATTACTAGATCAGATTCAATTTGCTTGAGTTTTTAAACACATTGCACTTAATTATTTAATGGAATAGGTTAAATCATTGACTAATAAGAAGGCTATAGCTCTGTTCTACTGTTTGTCTATGAAAAATGCTTAACATTTATTTACAAGAACTGATGTATGACTAGACGCTAAGTTATTACCATAGATTGGTATTTTTTTGCCAAATTCTTCTTTTAATACCCCTGTATATAATTTAATATTAAAACACGTTTAAGATTGAAAGAGATTCTCAATTTCAGCCATCTAATGATATAATTAATTTTACTGATTTTTTCTCTGGAACACCAATAGCATAAATTAAAAATTTTTAATTGACGATATGCTTTGGGTCTAAATTCTTCCTATATTCTTATTTATAATTTACTTTTGCTCTATCAGTTGTGCTGAATTCAACATTTTCAGATTGGAGAGGCGAAATTATTCCTCGACTTTGTTTGACAGAAAATAGTTCTGGTTTAGTGGATTTAATCTATTAAATAAGGTTTTTCTCAAACTTTATAAGCCAAGTATAGGGATGTGACATTCTTTAAACTTATGTTGTAAGGAATATAAAGGTCATTTTTTAATTCGAACATAATCTCAGTTGATGAAACTTCAAGCATATTTAAAATAAATTATATATTTTAATTTTTCAATTAGAAATATTTTATTCTCTTTTTTTAGTAAAATATTTATTAAATTAATAAGAAGTACAAAAGTTACAATTTTCTCCTCTCCAAATTATCTTATTATGGATTTGATTATTATAATTATATTTAAACTATCAAGATTATGTTATAAAAACATCTATTCAATTAAATATAATCTATTATATTAATTAATGAATTTTAAGAAAGAAACTTTAGAATTACTTGGATATGAAAGCAATAAGTGCTCAATTCCAAAAACTTTACTTGATAACTTTACTGCTTTTTTTACTGAATAATAACAATTACCTCTAGCGAATGAACCTCCCGAATGTAATTATTTCTATACAACTGACCCTAGATTTTGAGAATGGATTAATATTTATGTCAGCTATAAGCTAAAGTACCACGCCCTAGGTCTCAGCCTAATAATTAAGGTCTGTGCAATCTAAAGGTTCCAAGGGAAAGATCAGAACTTTTTTTCCTTAAAGTAATTATCATCCAACACCTTAATTAGAATGGCCCGTTCACAAAGCTAACATGAGTCCCTTTTCATTTTCAAAATATTCTCACTTTCAATCTTTGACAAGCCGATATTGGTACTACTTGGACAATAGTAATACTGTATAAGGTAAGATCTATTCTAAAATTTAAGGTCCCTTTTCTTGTGTGGAAATGGATAACTGGTATCGAAAAAATCTCCTCAATCTTGATCTGTTGATTAGCTACAAGTCTCATGATCTGACTTCGTTTGTGAAAATTCAAGATATCTTAAAGGATTCCGAAAATCCTAAATGCGATAAAATGTTGCGTCAACTTTATAAAAGAGCATCAAGTGCTAAAAGAATTAGTATATTTTGTATTTACAATTAGAAGATCAAAATTCAAGTACTTCACCTGTAAGCAAGGCGTCAACTGAAATATCAACTAGCAACAACAACAGCTGCTAAAAATCTAGATAACCCATTTGGGGAGTTGATACCGAGTATTTTTTAGGTTTTTGATTATATATCTATTACATAAAAAATCACAACCCCATCTTAAAACAAGAATAATATTTATATTTCTTTAATTTTATATTTATAATTTAATAATTTTAAGAAGGGTAGAAAAACTATAGGGGTTTAATGAACAAACTCTAAAATTTAAAAACAATATTGTTGAATTTACATCAATTCAATCAGGAGAGTAACTTTCTTAGAATTCTTCTAAAATGGGTCGTTCCATTGTCATCGACAAGTTATTCTTGAAATTCCTTCCATTAATTTAAATCATTACGTCTAATGCTATGCTTATTTATTCTGGCTATTATTTGTGTTATTCGAATATCTCTGTATTTTTTCCTTAGCATTCTCCAATTTCTTTTGAAATTATGGTGCGTGTACCAATGACTGGACTGAGATCATTAAACTCCTATTCATCTCTTTATTGCTAACAGCTTATGTTATATATTTTCTGTAATATAGCATCAAACTTTACCTAAAACTCATCGATTATTAGGCTTGCTTTTCCTACGCAGACTCCTGTTTAGATTGTTTGGAATTCAGAATATCCTAAAACTGTTTCTAATCTTGCAACGTTCCTTGCATGATCATCTTTAATAATTTAGTCGAAACTCCATCCTTAAGCCTCTAAGGTGCCTTTTTTTGTATCTCTACTGAATCTCCTTTGGAATTACTGTCAAAGGAAATCTTATTCCTATAGTTTCTTATGTTACTATTACAGTTCTATGGTATCGATTTTCTTTTGCAACTTAATAATATCTTCAGCCTAGGAATTTTTTTGTTTTATGGCATTTTCCAACTATTATCTTGTTTATAATAATGAATTGTGCATTTCATTTCTTTCTTGCATCAACTATTTGACAGTACATTCTAACTGGTATTCTCTGGAGAGAGGATTAAAAGATGAACTTTCCTGTTGTTATAATATAAAAAATAAGAATGATATAATACTAAGATTTTTGGGTCTCTAAAGTAAACATCAATTGCTGATTAATTTAAGTAAGAAATTATTATTATTTCTCTGAATCATGCTTATATTTCTGAAATTCAATTGTTAAATCTTCCTAAAATTGTTAAATCAACAAAATTTACTAATTATTTTTCAAGATTCTATTTCAATTAAGCCATTTCGCTCTTTTTTTAAGTATAAGATAGTTTCAACTTTTACAACTTTTCTCTTTCTTTTATTTGATACATAGAAAACTAATCTTTAACTGTCACCATGATTTAATATATTTCCTACACCTTTTCTTATTCAATTTAAAGTTATCTCCTTAATTTTGACATCACTTCCTGTATTTGATAGAGTACATGTGGATCTTCCATTTTATCCCCTAGCATAGCCAATAATTTCTCAACATCTGATATCTCCTCATTTTCTTAAGTTGATTTTATTAAAGTTTATTCATTTTCATCAAATTTTATGTTTAATTCATCTTCGTCTGTTTAAAATGAGAAATTATCTATATCTAATAATTTATTGGATTTTGGCGATGGAGGTTAGGAATCTAATTGAAATGATACATTCTTTTTCTTATTCTATGAATTTGCTAATTGAGTGATTATTTAATCTGAACTAAGATCCTTTATTAGAACTGAATCTAATTTTGTTAGTGTTTCTGTAAAATTAATTATGCTTTAGAATGTTCTTTCCTCAATATCCTTATCATATTGCTCAGTCATGAATATATCCTTAGTTGATTCTGAATCTGAAGGACAATAATTGAATTAATTCTTGAGATTGAGATTAGCAAGGAAGAAATCCAAATCTTGTTTTGTTGAGGAGAGAGCCCTACGAAAATCAAACAATTTTTATTCATTCTCTAAAATTTGAGTTTTTAATTATTCATTTTCAAAAATGAATTTTTGATTATTTTTTAAGCATTCAGACAATTATTATTTTAAATGTTCTTCATTGAACTTCTATTTAACAATCTTGTCTTATAACTCATCAATTCTACTTTAATAATTTATTTAAAGAGCAGCCATTTCTGTTTTTTGGAATTCTAATTCTTCTTGTAAATTTACAACTAATTTATGCTCTTTTAATAATTATAGAGAAGAATGTTATTTAGATTAAGCAATATTTTATTAAGATCCCTGATTTGAATTACCTTTTTCGAAGGAAACTGAAGTGTTGTTCTCTACTTTCTCCATTAATTTATTGATAATTTCATCTTATTCTACTATCTTTTACTCTGCAATATCGAGCAAGGCTTGTAATTCCTTAGCACTTTTCTCTGCATTAATAGTAGGTTTATTTTTGATAGCTTTAGCCCTTGCTCCGAATCTTAAAGTACTTATAGTTTCTTTATCATTATATGAACACATTGAACAAGCAACTACTAAAGTGGTTTTTGCATTCCCTCCAAGTGATTCACTTAATATTCTTGTTAATTTAGAGTCTCTATAAGGGATATGTTCCTTTTTATCAGAAGTTAAAGCATTAATAACCATACCCAAACAAGTTAATGATTTATTAATATTCTTGGCTTCCTCTAGTTGTTAACCAGAAACATTGGTTTTTGCTACTTTTTCTGATCCTGCCAAATCCACAAAGTACAATTTGCTTAGCTTACTAGAATCTGTTTTTATATTCTTTTCACTCACTTAAATTTGGAATAGAGAATGGGATCTAGAGGATCTTTCATTCATTCTGGTAGCAGCTATAGTTCTATTATTTGACCCTGTCAACATCACCTATTTCATTTCTTCTGGAGATTCAACTTTAATCTCTGTGAGATTCTATACAAAAATTCCTCTTAGTCTATCTTCCTTGATTTTTAAGTTTGTTTTGTTAGTATCTAATAAATCCATTATTTTCTCGTTGTAAATCTCCAAAAAAGACACCTTTACTATATATATCAAGTCATCAGATTTGCCATTCACAACATCGAATAATTCTGTCATAACTCTTGGTATTAATCCTTTAGTCCTTTCATTGGGATTATCTGGGCCCTACATATTTTCATTCTGTATAGTACTTCCATCGTAAATGTTTTTCCTGATGAAGTTTAGCCATAAGCAAAAATAGTTCCATTATAACCATTCATCACACTATCTAAAATGGGTCTTCCTACTTCTTCAAATACATCTGCTTATTCTGAATCTGGTCCAAATATGCGATCGAATGTAAAATCTTATTTATCATTGGAGCCAACCTAAATTAATTGATAGACTCAGATCTCATACTGTGACAGTAATTTATTTATCGTTATACGTAACACAGCATTCCCCTCCTTGTTACATTTCAAGAGAGTTGAGTGGCCTTAATCTAGCAACGACTTTTATATTTTAGCCTTCCTTCATCCAAAAATATAATAATATATTGAATAGGCTTATTTTAGCAATTAAAATTATACTCATTTCATCATTGATTGTGTATGAGATTTTTTCTAGTTTATTGATTCTAACTATATTTCTATGTGGGACATCCTTTAAATTGTCGATATATTCTCATTTTAATAAATAGAAATAGTAATAATTGATTAATGTCGTAAACTCTGAAATCTTAATACATATTATGGATAAATAGGGGAGGGGTAATAGAATGAATTGATATGAAAAAAATGGAAGATGGCAAATTGTGATAATAAAGTACAAATAAGAATGAATAAATACTTTGACAAAATTTAATTAAGGAGTTTTGTTAATCTAACGACATAATTGGAATTCTTGAATAAAAATAATTAATCAAAATTTTTATTATACATGATACAGATTAATTTAATACTTAATTCTTATAAGTTTGTATGATACTAGAATTTTTAGATTGTTGATGGGATCACATTCACAAAGATGGAGAAATTGAAGCTTAAGTGAACGAACACCACAATTATAAATAATATTGACAGATACAATATTGATTTTTATTCGAAGATACTAATAAAAAATTAGAACTACACAAGGGATACCATTAATGTTTAGTGATATAACGGCAATTTTGTCATTTTAAAGCAGTTATTGAATATTTATATCAAATAATAAATATATCATTCCTTAATTGAAGATGGGCTGTGCTGCTGCTAAACCTGAAAAAAAACAGAGTAAATAGGACTCTCCTTGTAGTCAACCAAAGGAAACTAGACAATCTTCTGTTTATCTGATGTAAGAAACTGAAAAAATTGAAGCAGACTATATTTTCCATGCATTAGAACCCATCATAAGTACGCTATTTATAAAATAACTAAAATAGCTCGAAGAAACTACATTAAAAAAGCTGTTTCCAAGAGCAACAACGCAACTCGAATCGTAAAAAATTTTAACTGTTTAAATCTTGGCTCCGAGGACAAGTACGAGTTAGAAAGCGCAGTGAATCATTTATTACGAATTGTAGATCTCATCATATATATTATAGAAACATCTAAACTTGATCAACACATTATCCTACTATTATAATGACAACAAATTACTATTAGTGAGTGAATTTTGCGAAGGAGGCAATCTATTATCTCGTTTGGATCATTTTAGCTCCCTTTAACAATACAATATGATTGATGTGTTCTGTTAGATTATGGCTGGAGTACAATATTTACACAATCAAGGAATTGCACATGGGTATGTTAGGTTATGAAATTTTAGTAACATCCAGCTGGAAAGCATAGTATTTAAGGAGAAATCCATGGAAAATGTGAAACTATTAGACTTTGGAATTCCAAATTCTGTGAAATCAAAATGTTTATAATGGAAACCCAATGGGGGTATTCAAGAGATATCATTCAAATCCCCTGAAGCCCTAAGAACATCTGGTCTTGCCACCGCTAAATCCGACATCTGGTCATGTGGCTGTCTCTTGTATTTCTTTTTGACTTCTCATATGCCATTTTAAGCAAGAGATGTCTAAACCTTAAAAACGGCAATATAAAGAGGAATAGTTAGTTTCGAAGGCTCGGAATGGTCACATATCAATCCAGAAATGAAACTATTAGTTAGCAAAATGCTTAGTTCCAATCCCTAAACTCGTCCTACAGCAGCAGAAGTCATCAATAACCCAATTTTTGTGAACAGGGGTAGAATATTAACTAAACCTAATAAACAACTCTCCAAAAATATGAAGGATTTTAAGGTATTTTGATTGCTTATTGGTTTAGCAACAATCCTAAATGCAAAATGCCATGCTAAATTATATAGCAGAAAACATGTTGTAAGAACAAGATAAGAAGAAATTAATGGAAGAATTCTAAAAATTCGATTTGAACAAAGATGGTTTACTCACAAAGGATGAGCTTTTAAAGGTCTACACTACCATGTATACATCTGAATAAGCTATTTAAGAGGTAGACGCCATTTTCTCTAAAATTGATTAAAATGGTAGTGGTAAAATTGACTACTAAGGTATAAAATTAGTATATTATTATTAGAGTTCGTCTTAGCAACTATTGATCAAAAAAAATATTTCAATCGAGAAAAATTGCTCTTGCTGTTTCAATAAATTGACAGAGATCATAGTGGTTAACTTAGTAAGTTAGAAGTCAAGAAACTATTGAGGGACATGCAAGTGCCTAAAGAAAAACTAGATCAACTCTCAAAATAATTAGACTAGGATGGGGATGGACAGATAACTCAAGAAGAGTTTCTATAAATAATGTTATCCATTGCATGAAAATGTTCGTTATTATATTTATATTAAGTGTTATTAAAATATGATATAAAATTCTGTAATTTAATATTATGTAAAATTTAATTAAAATTCGTACATTTATAATAACGATGTAATATTAAAACTGGATTTCAATTCCTTATTTAAATATTGAATGAAAGCATCATATCCAATTAAAATATAAGGAACTAAGTTATCAACACTATTTATTTTGAATTAATCTTTTGAGAATCTATTAAATTAATAATTATTGAATTGTATCAAAATTACTAAAAGTAATTTCGAAAAATTTAAGGCAATTATTGATACTAAATGTTGCAATGTATAAATTCAATAACTCACCTTCTTAATTAGAGCATGTTAAGAAGTTGCAATTAGAGTTTTAATTAATCTTATATATAACTCACAGTTATTGTTAATCTTAATTAGATCTAGATATTTAAATAAATCTAATAATTTTTAACAAGATTTTGCTGAATTCTATTATTGATTCTCTCATTAATTATGTTTATTAAATAACTATAATCAAAAATATAAACACGTTCTGTATCGAATGTATCAGGACATTCAAACCTAAGATACTCAGCAATGGCAACTCCGTAATGTAATACTGTAAATGTGATTTGGGATATTAATTAAATTGGCTTAGAATTAGGTTGTCATGATGACCCAATTCTGAACGATGCTTTACAGCTGATTAATAATCATTAAGTAAATCGAGCAATTTTCATATTAAACCAATGTATAATGATTAGTAATATTGTAGTGGTTTCTGATAATAAAAAGTATTTGGGATAACAATCTCAATTATAATTGATAATGAAAGTTACTCTATTGGTTGTATCAAGTGCTATGTCAATTTTGGAAGATGATCCAGCATCAGCATTGCTTTTGTTGCTGGGTTGTGATTAGATGTTTAAGGGATTGACTATTTAATAATAAGCTTATCTTAGAGTACAGATTCTAAACGGACTGGGTTGTTATTATAGAAGAGTGGGTTAATTAGAGAAAGCCCTGGAAGAATTAGAATGCGCATTAGCAATGATAAAAAAATATAGTTTAAAAGAGGTTGCAGTTACTCATTTAAATTTATCTGTAGTACTATCCTTAGTGGACGAGTATTATTGTAATTATATTAGTCTTTAGTCATGAAGGAGCATTAGAAAATGCTAAGAAGGCAGTTACTGAAAGTCATAAAGAATACTAATACTATATACGAAATCATGTATCATTGTAAACTTTCAAATTCTAACGATGCGTAAGTTCATTAGCAATCTCATTCTACAATGTTGGAGTCTAGGAATAATATTTTTAAAAATATTAATTTGCATTATAAGCATATGCATCAGCATCCAAGGTGGCTGAAGACAATCTAGGCATCCATAATTATCTAACACTTCAATTGAAGAACATATATGAACAATTCGCTCGATAATTAACAATGGCTGAAGGTTAAAAAATTGCCATTACTTCTTTGAATCACAAGTTTTAGATTAGAGCAAATATTAAAAGTTAATATGCTTAAAGCGCTTTGAAGAATTAGCCATAAGAAGCTGTTAGAAAAGTTACTGATCGAATATCTTAATCAGGAACCAAAAGATTAGATTAATCCCTTAGACCACAATCAGCAATGATGAGTCATTCACAACACACAAAATTAAAGTCATTTGATTTTACTAAAAGAGAAGGATATACAACTCATAAATAGATATCTACTACCAATCGCACTTTAAATCAATTTAGTGAAGATAACACAAAGACTGAAATTGAAAAATTAGAAAAATCAAAGTTATTGCAACATTGTATCTAAAACCTAGAATCTGTAATTATTCATCATATTATCAGCAAGCTTAAAAAGAACAAGAAAAACTAAAAACAATTTAGGAAGAAAAACAAAAAGAATTATAAAAGTTATAAGCCTTTCGATATATAAATGAATAAATAAGGTAAAAGAAATAATCCAAATACTAAAACTAAACCGTCAGAGATTTGAAGCAATCAATAGATTAAACTAAATAAATTTATAATACAGATCCTTAAATTTAGGAAATTTTAGATTAAAGTGATCCTTAGCCTTTAGTTGCTCATTAATCATAGATCAAATCATCCAAAACAGAAATAGAAGAAAACCAAATGAAAAATCAAATTTTTACTAATGCTAAGAATCTAAAACAAGAGGAATAAAATAAAAGATTGTCTATTGAAATAAAACTTGAATAAAAGGTAGTTTAGGAGGAAACAATTCATAGTTTGAATAGAAAATTGGAATTTGAATAGGATTTTTCGCTTAGAAATAATGATTTATAATAAAATACATCATATAAGTAGATTGAAGATTTAGAGGAAATTAATGAAGTCAATTAAGAATATGAGAATAAATAAAGTGTTGAAAATTAAATATAAGAAATAATTCAATAGAATGTTGTACTTTTTAATGAAGAATAATAATAATAAAGTATAAATAAAATTCAACAATTTTGGAAATTAAGTTAAAAAAAATTAAATGAACGGATTTAAAAGTTGGAATCTAAATATCAATTAGTCACAAAAAAATAATACTTTAGGGTTATGGATGAAAATAATAATCTTCATAATGGGATAATTTTTCTTGGCTACAATCAGAAACATAATATAGATATTTTATTCATTGATTTCTATGTAATCAGAAAATCTTAGAGAATATGCTAAAATATAAAAAAAAAGTTAGAACATATATTAATTTTAACTGTTTCAACCACTTTTAATATAACTAAAGATATTTTAGAAGACTTTGAAAAATAATTATTACCTTTTATTCAAATCAATAATTAATCACTTATAATACAAAGTTTATTGTTAAAAATTGAAATAAAATCTATGAAAAAATCTGTTTTAATGAAATTTGATGTAAACTAATTAAATCTTTATGAATAATATCCTAAACTTGAAGAGAGCATTCAAAACTATCAAGTTCCTACTACAATTGCTGATATTTAATCATTTAATATCGATTCTATTGTAATTTAAAAATCGGCTTCATTAAACTTAGAATCAATTCAATAACCCTTCTAAGAAATCTCTTTAGTATCCGAAAAGATTTTACAAGATGCGAAACCAGAGAAATAAGAAAAGAATTAAAATGAAGAGTAGGAACAGCCTTCTGTTGATTTAGAAATCCATTCAAACTAGGATCAATAATAAAGCAAAAATGGAAGTGACGATGTTGAAAAGGCTAATTAAACTGGATAATTTAATATTAATTTCCAATCCTCGCAATATTTACAATATTTACAATCTTAAAATGATTAAGATAATGTAGAAGAAGAGAATGAAAACTAAAAATAACGATAAAATCAACTCAAGGAAAGCACATAAAATTTAGATTTCACTCTTCAAGACAATGAATCCAATAATTCAATAATAGGCTAGGTTAATAATGTAGATACAGGAAATTAATAATTAGATAAAACCAATAAAAATAAAGAAAAGCCTTTAGTAAATCAAACAATTGTAGAAGAGGAAGAAGAAAATCAGTATAACTATAATAGTATTGAAGAAGGAAAACAGTTGAAAGAATATTATGTAGAAAGCTAGTCTTTTTATTCAAACTCAGATGATAACAAAAAGGATTAATCTAAATAAAATTAAGAAGAATAAACCAAATAAAACAGTCAAGTTTTTCCAGATGAAAAATCTTAAATTAATATTCTTCAAGTACCTTTTCAGCAGTATCAAGGGTTTAGTAAATAAACAAGTTTGCAATTACCAGATTCAATGAAGGAAAATATTGATTCTGATAAAGAAAGTAAGCATTCTATTATCATTTTAGTTTCTTCGATAAAAAAATAAAGATATGAAAATTTAGGTATCATAACTGGAATTAATAAGATAAATGGAACACCGATATTAATTCATATCCTTATCAATAAAGAATAATAATTGTTCCAAGCAAAAACAGACGTAGAAAAAATCAACGTTAAACCTACATTCTTTAAAGTTGAAAATATAGAGAAAACAATTAGGAAGCCTTAAAAGTATTTAAAAGGATTTCTCGTTAATTGGAAAAACTAAACCATTTTAAAGATTTACACTAAAGTCCATTAAAATGCTGTTCTAAAACTTTAAAGATAATTCAAGTTTGATCATTATAGAAGAGATATGAAATTTAAATTAACAAAAACTGACATTGAAGGTACATTACATGTAGGTTTCAAAAAGTAGATAATTTATTTAGCAATTGAAACAAAATCTACATATCAAAGAAATTCTTACACTTTTAGAAAAGAAAACTATGGCCAATTTGTTAAAAATATATCTTTCAGAATCATAAATAATCTTAGATTTTCTGAATAAAAAGGAATTTATTTAGAATAGGAGTCCTAACTTAAAATTTTAGTTTAGAATCAATAAGGTAAATTATTTTTTAATTTAAGTTAAAATTTTTAAATTGGTAAAATCCTAAAATGCCTATGAATTCACAGGATTTGGCTTATTGATTGGAACTTATGATTCGGTACATTAAAAGATAATTATTGCAAGTGACAATCAAAAGGTTAAGGCTTCTTTGGTTGATATTCCTAAATCAATAAATGGGGATCAACTCACTTAATTTACGCTAAATTTATTAAATAGAGTATATCTTTATTTTAATCCCTATTTAGTCTAATATCATTGAAAGAAATAATGAATGCTTTGTAATTTATTATATGGAGAAGGATGAAGACTCTGTTAAGAAAATTTAAAATGCAATATTTAAATATTAAACAATCAAAACTTTAAAAGTTTGCTATAACAAATTTGAGAAAGGATAAATTATCAAAAGAGAGATGGTTTTAGAATTGTAAAGAAAAGTTAAAAGGTATTATGGGATAAAATGCTAATAAAAATTTTATTAAATTGGTAAATTAAAAGATTAGGAGTTTAAAAATTTAATTTTTAACTTTTAAACAATATTAGGCACATTCTTAATTTAAAAAAATAATGAAATAGAAATTGATGTGAATTCAATAATAGAATTTTTAAATTAGGATGGACAATTTTTTAATTTATAAAATACGGAATTAAAGGATTTTATTCTTTAATAATGAAAACTGTTTATATATATCTATCACTTTATTAAGATAATATGATTTTAATGAATATAATATTAAAGTACAAATATATTTGTAAGTTTACTAATGTATATTTATTAACATACAAATATCAATTTATTTCTCAAGTGTGAAAAATTTAAATTAACTCTTCTGATACAGCAGATGGAGTGAAAACTCCTACGTCTGTAAACAGTAATGTAATCAAGTCTGGGGGAGTATAATCACACAAAGGATTGATGAGCTGAATTCAATATAAATAAAAATACATCCAAATTTTCAGGCAATTTCAATTTTTCTGAAAATGATGGTTCTTCTTAGCTATATCTGATTGAATCGCTTAAATCTTTTTGTGACAATGGGAATAAACGAGTGAATTTAAAACTTTCAGCTAATACATAAAATGGTTTTTTCTAAAATTTCGCACAAATAGCTGTTGTGTAGGTACCCACTCTATTTATAATACCTCCGTTTTCTACTACTGCTTCAGCTCCTGTCAAGACCATATCTATATTCTCCATAACTTAACCAATGGCAGAATCAAATATTAATTTACAAGGATATCCAATCTCTGTTAGTTATCTATATGTTTCTATTCCCTCTGATTTTGGCCTGCATTCAGGAATATAAATTTGCATAACAATCCCAGCCTTGAATGCTTCTATCAAAGAATAGATTACAACGTTAGAGTAGCCAACAACCAAGACTTTCTAAAATATAAATTTTCTTATACAAATCTATTATTAAAGAATTTTAAGCATTATGTCTTAATGTTATCTTTGGAACGATTGATAATGTCTATTAACTCTTGTGAAATTTCTATGAGAGATGATTTCAATGCTTCCATACTATCAGCCTTTGAGTGTTACAAACCTTTACTAATGTAATGCTGATAAATAGTCAGAGTTGATCTTAGAACTAATTCTGATCTTCCATGACCAGCTTATGCATGATTAATCAAATATTCTCCTGCTGTTTTAATTTCATGTGTTAAACCCTGCATTGTCATTTCTTGATCAAGACATAAATATACCTTTACTATTTGTGATCAAATTTATCATCACTTTGATCAAAATCACAGCATAATGTTCTTTTGTGGTTTCATTTAATAGAGTAAACTCGTCAAGTACTATAAATAAATATAAAAGTAAACCTTTTTTCAAAGTAATTGACATGGAATCAGATTTTGATGATAAACTTAAATTCATTATTTTATATAATTATATAATCTATGAATATATACTTTAGAATTAATAATAATACCAATTAATTATTAAAATTTACTAATTTATATATTATATAGTTCAATTTCTGTAGTGATGCTTAGAGACAAGAATTGATTATAATGATTTCTCATTCCCAATTAATGGTACTTTCCAATAATTTATTGTTTATGAAGTTTTCTAACTTTTTAGGCACTATTCATAAATATTTTTAATATAGGTATCTTTTTCGAAAGTGTGCTATTTTATTAATTCGGTTTACATTTAAAATGTAAACTATGATATTAGAATAAGCAAAATTTATATGTAAATTAGTTTTTTTGATAATTTAGGTAGAAAATGTTTAAATAAGTCAAAAAAAATAGAGTAATGCTTGATATATCAATTCAATAATTGATTTATTTATACAAAATTGATGATATTAATATTTATATGAAATAAAAATAAATTTATTTTAGAAGCTCATTTTCCTCGTGTTTTACAAATTTAAGACTGAGAACTTAAGTCCTCATTTTGTAAATTATTTATTTAGTAATCATCACTACTTTACTCACATGTTTGACATTAATAATTTAAAAAAATATAATTAACACTATAGCTATCGATTCTTAGCAGGTGTTAACATAAAAAGAGATGAATCGAATATCTGAGAATTATCTATATTAATTTATTTAATAGATCAATAATGGATTTTTTTAAAGGGCTCAGTCATTAAATGCCATAAACTCATTGTACTTTGTAGCTTAAGATAAAAATTTGAAATTTCAACAAAACCTTGATATTTGCCAAACATTTGTTAGTAACCTGGAACTAATGTAGCAGATTGAAACATCATTTTGTTTTTGTTATGGTATAGCTGGTGATCCTAACATATAATATGATGATAAACTTAGATTGAGCAACATTCTCAGTATCACATCTACAATTTAATCAAACTATACTTAATTGTATTATTCCTCAAACACTGATGACCAATTTTACACATTTAAGCCTTGTCAAAATGTACCACCGGCCTGGATTCCTAAATAGCGGCCATGGTATAAATAACACAATCAAAGTAATTTAGAAATTTAATACACCTCTGCATATATTGATTTTGGAGGAGGTGTGTGTTTAACTCAGACGAAATCATTAACAAATGAGCAAAATGTCTCTATTGGTATCGTTGCGAATGATATGACGATGGCATAGTTTTCAACTTTTACATATAATTAAATTGCCGAATTTCTTTTAATTGATTTTAAAGGGTAAATTTTACTCAGTAATCACTATGTTAAAGGGTAAGAAATAGTAGATTACTTTTAAAATGTAACAAAAACTGGTTTTAATGAAACTGACTTTGGCATCCTGCTTAACTATTAATAGAATAATTCCTATACAGATCTATGCTAAATACCTATCAATAATACTTTTTGTTTATTTGATAAGTTAAGACAAAAACTATTTTATTTTAAATTGGGCCTAATTATGAATAATAAATACATTGTAGTTGCTAAATTTGATCCCTTTCTTTACTCAAGTGCAATGAATTCCTTGTTGTAGGAAATCAATGATAAAAATGATTAGATGGCTACACTTTTAATAGGCATGATAATTTTAGCCTTTTTTATCTTTTTTATCTCCTTCATTGTAACTACTCTAGTATTGTAACGTCCAATTGAATAGTTAATGTATTATTCAAATCGATAAAATAAATCAGGGAAATTTCTTTAGACCTAATTTCCAAAGATTTAAATGGGAACAAATATTGGTGAACTGAATCTAGCATTTTTTAATTTATTAAATTAACAGCGTAGTAATAAAAAAGATTGCTAAGAACGTAACAAATAATTATCCTAAGAAACATACTAATATCAGAAAAATATTAATTGTATGTATTTGAATATCCCCGATAAAATATTCCAAAATTTACTAGTAATTTATGATTTGAATATTATAGAATTTAAACTACCCAATATTATCTAACTGTTAAAATAGATTGATGTTGAGACGTGAACAAATCATAATATTTAATTTTATTAGGATGATCAATTATAAAACCTATCGTTTTGGTGAATACAAATCTGAAACTAATTTTAATAATTGTTGAATAACTGTTGAATAATTTATTATTTTTTTTTAGTCTATATAAATAGATTCTAACTTCTATTCTATTAAATATAAATTAGATAATTCAATTTAAAACCTAATGGGAAGTGATGGGCTCCTCCTGATTCTGATTTAAAAGACCTTGTTCTAACTTGTAAAAATGGCCTTTTAAGTTAACTAAATGGCCATAATTGCCTTGCTCAATAATTTATCCCTTATCAAATACATAAATGATTTTACAATTCTAAGGATAATTAAAAGATTTACCTTTATTGTAGACATCCTATGAGCTATTACAATGGAAGTCTTTTCTTTAAGACATTCTTCCAATTATTACTATACCAAAGATTCAACGTTAGAATCTAAAGCACTTGTTGACTCATCAAATAAATAAATTTTTGAATTTCTCAACAACGCCCTGGAAATAGCAATCCTTTATTTTTGACCCCCTGAAATTAGACTACCTTTGGTACCAACCTTTTTATTAAATCCTGAATTTGTTTGATCCTCAGATTGTTCATCCATAATGAATTCATAAGCATGTGATAATTTTGATTTTTAAATGATATCCTCTTCAGTAGCATTGGTTTAATTGTATTTAATATTATAAGCAATAGACTCATTAAAGAGTTACGGCTCTTAAGAAACAATCGAGATTTATTACCTAAGAAATCTGAGATCGTAGTCATATATTGATACACCATCCACTGTAATTTCTCCAGAATTAACATCATAAAGTCTGAAAAGAAGTTAGAATATTGTTGATTTACCACAACCAGAACATCCAACTAAACCAACATTATGGCCTGCATCAATTTTAATACTTAAATTTTTCAAAACAATTATGTTTGGTCTTTATGGATAAGAAAAGATAACATTCTTAAATTCAATATTACCAAGGATGTTTCTTTTAATTCTTGGATGTTAGAATTTCTATTCTCTTTAATATTCATCTTCAGTCTCTAACAGACTAAAGTAATAGGCAATTGAATTCTTGGTTTTATTATTATCCGATTAAAAATAAATAGTTTTGGCCCCTCCAACAACAGAAAATATAATGGCTAGAATGGTTTAATAAATAGCCAAAATTGGGAGATCATCATATATGTTCAGAAGGGTTCCCATCAAGAATAAATACCCATTAACAAAAAATGGTTTCATTTAGGCATACCCAGAACTGAACCCAACTTAGGCACCAAACTTTTTGACTTATTTAGGAGGCCCTTCTAATTGGTTGGCATATTAATTGACTATAAAGGTCTCTGCTCTTAATGAATAGACTGTCCTAATATTGGTTAAAGTATCCATCAACAACTTGTTACTATTTGATATATGCCTTTTGGGCAAATGATTGCTATGAACCCACAACATACCTTTCACTTAAGCATCCCCCTATATATGATATTGGAGCCAAACCAACAGCCAATAGTGTTAATTTCCATGATGATACAAATGATAAGGCAAATCCTACTATGATTGCTGAATAATATTGACATTTAAATCCTATGATATTTTGAAAGAATTATTAAACTACTCTGGTATCATTGGTTACTTTAGGAGTTAAGAAACCTATATTATGATTTGGGTTGTCATAAAAGCTGATTGGAAGTCTTAAAAATTTCTAATAAATTTCATTTTTCATTCTAATAGTTAAGCGTTCTGAATAGACACTGAAACAAAAGCATTCTAAAGTACTGGTTACGAAATATATAAACCCTAATATAAGTAGTGTAGTAGCACTGTTTTTAATAGTATCATCTAAAGCAATAATAAATTGTTATCTCTCATTTTCATCCTTAATGGAATTGACTCTTTGAGGATTATGAATCAATAAATTATCTATAACATCAGCTAAAATTTATGAAAATATTGGGTAAATCGATCCATTTCCTAGTGCTGCTATAGATCCAATTATAAGATATGGTAATTCTTTATAATTTAACATTATTAAACTCTTAATGCTTTTCCAAAATGACAACTCTGATCCATTCTCTGCTGCTTCTACTTTCACTTCTTCATTACACTCCTTATCTAACTATTATTTTACATCAACCTAAGTGTTTATGACCTACACTTTAGATTTTTCAAATTAATTATTCTCTTAACTAATTATTTTACTTAGTGATCCTCCAGGTATCTTTCTTTATGTTTCCATGTCTAAAAACGTTAGAGTTCCAAAACCAGTCTCTTCTTTCTATTATTATTTGGATATCAAATAGGAGTAATGTTCACAATTTTATAGTAATTCATTATGAGTGCCTTACCCTATGATTTCTCCTTAATTAAATACAATGATATTATCACTGTCTTATACTGTAGACAATCTGTGAGCTATTACAATTCTTGTGGTTTTGTTGAATTTCTCATCAATAATTCTAGTTATTAATGATTCATTTGTTCTGTCTAAAGCACTAGTAGCTTCATCTAAAATAAGAATTTTTGGGTTTTGAAGTAGTGCTCTAGCCAAAGCTATACGTTATTTTTAACCACCACTGAATTGATTCCCATTAAATCCCACATTTGTATCCAAATGATCTACTAATTCCGATGAATTCATCAAGTTTAACATTGTTATCAATTCCTCATCTGTTGCTCTTTAGTTGCCCAACTTTAGATTTTCACGTATTGTGGTATTAAATAAGGCTGGTTCTTACGAAACAATGGAAATTTGCTATCTGAATTAATGTGTATCAATTTAACTCAAAGGAATTTGATCTGCTCCTATTAAAATCTACCCATTTTCAATTTCATAGAATTTCAAAAGGAGCTAGCCAATTGTAGACTTCCCAGAACCACTTTCACCTACTAAAGCTATTTTCTTTCCTTGTGGTATTACAAATGAGATATTCTTCAATACAACGTGATCTGGCTTTGATGGATAACTAAATTAAATGTTTTAAAGTTTGATATCACCATCAAGATTTTCAAAACTTACTTAATTATTTTTCACCTCCTGTTCTTGACTCTCATCAATTACTTGAAATACTTCCATCGCAGCTAATTTCCCCTTTGCAAAACATGATAGACATGGACCAATCTTACCCAATGACAAACTTCCCATCAATACAGATATAAAAATAGTACAAATACTCCCTGAAGTATATATGGGACCTGAGTAATCAGGGGCAATCTATAATTAATTAATAGTCTTACTTAATCAGTCACCAGCACTCCACTGTAGAAAATACCGAGAGCGTAGGTAAACTATTAAACACCACACATCGATCCAAAAGCAAGCCCATAATACAATCCATATTTAATTATGGATTTGGATGAATGTAATATGACTCTCCTAAATTTTTCAGACTCGAATTCTTCACCATCTAGTGTTTTAACAGTTTTAATTGAACTTAATACCTAAAAATTAATTTGAAAGTTACTTCTTCAACTAAGGATGAGGATTCAATATCCGATTTTTAAATGAATTACTCTCTCCATGATGCTGATATACCAATAAGGGCAATAGTAATAGCTAATACAGGAAGAGCAGATGTAATCACCAGAGCTAGTTTCCATCCTCTATATTTATAAATTTTCTGTTTACTTAATATATCCTACTAAAAAACCGCTCAAGAATGTTGCAATTGAAAATCCGAATGTAATAACCTTGTCCCCAATGGCATCTGATATTGCTAAGATTTCTGAATTCACTTTTGTATTTAAGGAATTTGCGTTTATTTCGTCGTACCATTTCACTTATTTCGTCAAAAGTGATTTTAAGTATTGTCTTCTCAATCTTTTGGTTTAATTTTCTGATGTTATTGAGAATGTTGTATACATAATCAGAGTCACCAAAAGAGTGCAGATTCCCAACACAAACATGTAACTATTATACTAAACCAAAAATATATACATGGTATTAAGACCAGCCTTGTTTAGTTTGGTTTCGGCATCCTCATACGCAAAGGAGTCAGTCAGATTCCCAAAAATAATTGAGTATATTGGCATTGATAAACCATTGCATATTGCTCCAATAATGCTTATTACTATCCACACATAATCCATTTGATTGGCAAATCTGTAAAGTTACAAATAGGATACTGGCTTGGTTACCTTTCTTTTGGTTTCTAACTTTAGAGGATCAATTTCATTCGCTTAAGTAATCATCTTTTATTTATTAATAAGATGCTACAATCAATTAAATGTATTCAAAATAAAACGATTAGAATTCGTCATATCAAATAATGCTTATAATTAAATACGCATCAAATTTAATATCAGTGTTGCAGAATTTTTTCAATATTTATTTTTAAATTACTGGAAATCTAATTCGTATATAATATTAGAAATTTAAATTAAAATAGTTGATGTTGAAATTCAATTATTCGAATTTGTTTCCTTAAATTTCAAACTTCTATACTAATTAGATAACCAATTTGAAGTAAACTTATGATATCATAGTTATTTTATGTAAATAACAAGATTAAGGTACTTACTGTAAAAGAAGTGAAATTTCTAAATATTGAAATAAATATAAATTAAATCATCAACTTGTGGCTACATACCCTAGTAGAAAACAAAAGATTGCGGAGAAAAAAACATGTTAAATAGAAACAAAGATTTACGAATCTTTTTCTTAATAATTATTTAAGAGTGAAAGCTTTTACTATTCTAAACTCTTTTTTTCAATTTGTGATTTCTCGAGTTCATTTTACAATGATATGATTCGTTAATTCAACATTTTTATCTAAGGATCTTCCTTAACCTCATATTTAAAGCCATTCTATTTTTAAGGTTCATAAGAATGTGCTTATTAATTTTGAGTTTAACCATTCTAGATATTATTTTGAGAACCTGAGGATTGTTTTGAAAAGGTTTGGCATTGAATCTAGAATGTTGGTTAAGTAATAAACTATTTTTCGTCACCCTCCAATACTCTACTACTCTATTAGGATGATTCTTATATTAATTATTATTATTATTATTATTATTGTACTTATCCAATTCTCATTAGATGGCCATTTTAATCATATGTAACCTCTTACTTTACAAACATTTGATCTTCGTAATATCTAAATTAAGAAGCTGATTAGTTGATGATACTTGATTACTTTATTAATAAATTTTAATCAATAGTAACAATCTCAATTTTAATTTTCTCTACATATGGGTTACTACTGTTGGCCTCAAAGTATTATGTTAATGACTTTGGGTCAGTCTTATTGAAGTTTTGATCATTTATATCAGCGACCAAGATTTGCAATTTCGCATTTCCTTCATCATCAATAATACTGCTTACTTTAGAACTTTATGCATTTTACTGTAATTTTGCAATTTTATCCCTTAAACGAACCGATATAAGGTAACACCTGTATGTCTTGAGTGTTGTTGGTTCTTATCTTGAAACCACAATGGCTATAATTAAGAAATACTAAATACTGAGAAGGATAATTATTTAATAATGTTAAAGTTCCAATGAAGTGATTATCAATCTTAAAGCACTCTAATCTATCTCCCTATTAAATAGAAATCATAAATAAATATATTAAAATATAATGAATTTGGACTGTTTCAATTAAAATTTATTTTTGTATTTTTTTGTATGCAACTTGAATTTGAATTTCATTTCCAGTTATATAATTGATGAATAACATATATATGAACCATTCAGCCTGCATAATCTTTATATAAAACAATTAAAAGTATTATTAGATTATGTAAATATACTGATTATTTTAACAATAACAAATCAATCATTTATTCTATGCTATCCATTCGCTGAGATCTTTATGGGCATCCTTATATTCTTGAGAATCAACACTAACTGTAGCTAAGACTTCCTTCAATAAATCTTCCACTGTTGGACTAGCATAAAGTTGCTTTTCTTTTATTACATTTTGTGTATATAATGCTTTTTCGTGCTTATATTCAGCTGCCACATTACTATCTAAGGCATCATCTGGGTTTGGATCAATTAATAAACTTCTAATAGAAAGGAGAACTGAAAATACAGACAAGGCAGGACTCCATTGATCTTTTAATACATCTAAACAAACTGCTCCTGAGGCTTTGCTTATATTTGGATGATGCATTTTAGTAAAAAATGAAATTTTAGGAGGTTTGAATGGGTAATCCTGAGGAATTACACAAGTTAACTAATAGATTCCATTCTCAAATGGAGTGTTTTTTGGGCCTAACATTAATATTTTCCAAAGTCCAATATCATCAGCAGTTGGATAAATTTTACATTCACCATAATTTTTAGTTAGAGCATCATTTAATTCCTTTAATACTCTTCTTTCTCTTCCATTTCCGCAACCACCTATAGCCTTTTTACCTTCAACAGCTGTTTTATTAGCTGCCTATTGAATATCCAAAGCTTCTGCTTCTTTGGCTCTTTTTATAATTTCTTCTCTTTTCATCACTGCCTTATTTGATACGTCTACTGTTACAACCTTCATTCCTTCGGTATCAAATGGCTTTCCTTTGATGGCATCCAAATCTACTACATTAGTTGGATATTCCACCTTTTCTCTTCTACTTGTACTTAAAATACTTTCAATTTCAAATAGAGACATTCCTTATCCCAAGTCTCTTGGACAATAGCATCTTCCATTACTAGCATGTGTCAAGGTCTTTAAACCAACACAGTTATCTCCAACAACAAATGAATCTATGATTATTTTATGATCAAAGATCCTTTAAACTAAAGTATTAGGTTTACTGGCTGAAGCATTATCCTCTCCATCAGTTAATGCAAGTATTCTCAACACAATATCTGGATACTTTTATTTTACTTCCAATAGTTTATTAATGGCATAATCGATTGCATCATAACATTTTGTTGAACCACCAGGATTAGCATCATCTACCAGTTTTATAAACTTATTGAAGTCACTTGTAAACTCACATTTATCAAACAATGTTGATCCAAACCATACCAATTTCACGATGTGGTTGAATTCAAAGGCTAAGGTCTTGTCAGCAAAGGCTGAGAAGAAGGCATTTACTGCCCCCATTCTTGAAAGCTCTTTATCTCCAAAGAATTATGAACTCATTGAACCTGAGATATCATAAAGTACAACAATGGCTTCAGCAGGATCTTATTATTAAATTATTTAAGGAGATTCTGTGACATTATCTTATGATTGTTATTATTATTGTTATTATTGTTATTATATTATGTTATCTGCTACCTTTTCGACTAATTTGACGGTGTCATTTTATTTTAATAGTTATCCAATTATATCTGATGAATTAAGCATAAAATCATCTGAATCATTGCATTAAACATTATTTGGAAACAAACTTATTCCTTACTCTTATAATTTTTGTAAAATAATTTCTTTGAGCTTTTCAATTGTTTGAGTAGGATCAGGCACTGAAAATTTAAGTTTGATATCTTTGAAAATCAATTTTAGAACTAAACTATCTTAAATCATTTTTATTTATTAAATCTGTGTTGAATATAAAAATTTTATTTAGAAATTTTCTACAACACTGATTAATCCTGATGAGTTATTAGGATTATTTTTTTCAATTAAATTAACTTGGCAATTTGGTAACATTCATGAATAAAACATCTCTGAAAGATTGATCATAGGTAATTATAACAACTCTACGTTGATCGTTATAATATAAAAACCAAATTATTATATATATTAATAAGCAAGATAGTAATTGGGAATTAAAATATAACGTTAAAATATGAAATGATACAATAGAAAACTATTTGAATCAAAGTGATTTAAAATTAATCTTGAAGAAAATCCACTATGCTATTTCTATAAATTATTTAATTTTTATAAATCTAAACAAATTAGATAAATCAAAAAGGATTTTATTATAAGAATCTAAAAGAATGGATGTTTTAATGAATGGACCTCTAATAGACAATATCTTAAGTTTTTTATAATTATAAAGGTAAGGAAATATTCAGAAAATTGAAAAGCAATAAAATATGATTTAATTATAGAACAACAGTTTTCAAAACTAAGATTCATATAAAAATTTGATTATTCTTTTCTAAATTTTATAATTTTTGTAATAATTCTCATCATATTTTTCAATTAATATAATACTCAGAATCTTAAGTAAAAATACTTTTATTTTTATTCAAATAATCTAGAACCAAATCTTTATTATATAATGCTACTTATTTTGCGGTACAAAATGTATCATCAGGATATGTTCCATCTGGTCTTGGATGAAATTCTACTTGAAAAAATAATTATAGATTTAAGTTTGATGTGTCTTTATAATGATTAACCAAACCATACGTATGAGAGTTAATAGATTTAACTTTATCTACCTCAATCTATCCTTGGTTTGTCTTGTTTTTTTATATTTTTATGATACTGATATGATCGATAAAATTTGCAGAGTTTATGAAATCTTAAATTGGAATTGGTTTTTCATCAGGAGCATTCCTACCAATTAAGTTTTTCTATATTTTTTCATCTTATTTAAAAGCCACTTTTTTTTACTTTTTGCATTTCGCTTTGCATTTGTTGTTTTTAATCAATACATTTGTTGTATTTAACTATTATTGAATTCTTAATTTTTTTGAAGGTTTTGTTTTAGATGACTCTCTAATATCAATTTAAATGTTAGACATTCGTTCTTCTAATGAATGTATGTCAAATGATTATTACGGGGAATCTGTATGTTTTTTGACGATGATGGATTTAGACAAATTTTATGATTTTTTTTTGTATTTCTTTGAGGTTTTTTTATTTTTCTTTTGTTTATTCTAAAATCATATGAATATGTAAACTTGGGTTTCATTATTGATGGCCTCAATAGGTATATAAATTTCTTCACTTTCGTCGTGGTGAATTATGATAGATTCCTCCTTCTTAGGATGTTTAGATAGATGCTTTGCTTGTTCCTTTTTCCAATTATCTTGTAGTTAGATATTTATTTATCTTTTTGTGAGTTTAGGATTCTTTAACTTGAAATCCTCAAAACAATGGTTGATATAATCCTCTACTGAAGTATATTTCTTAATTATCGAGTTTTTTGAATTCATTTTTTGAATTTTATTTTTGCTCTTCATTCTTCGAATTTTACTTCAAATTCATATTATTTAAAGAAAATTTAATAAAATTATTTACTATTTTTATAAATGAATTGAAGTAATTTTTAAAAAGATTTGATTGAATCAAAAGAAAGATTGTGAAGCACGCCAACAACAATTCAGTTAACTATCATCACGACATTCCAAATCAAAGTCCTCAAAGATGTAAGTTAAAAGTATGTCACCCATAAAATGCCATGCTTCTGAATTGTTTCAGGAGCAATTTAACGACAAAGATTGAAAGAGTTAAGTTTATACTATAAGATCTTGGGTTTAATATAAGATACAGGTTAATTTTGTAATTAAATTTGTCATTAAAGTGATTTTACTACTAATAAGTTCTGATGCGAAAATTCTATAGTATTAATGATCCACCCAAATAAAATTAAAAATTTCAAACCTATAGTAGGTAAGGGATAAAAATGATACTATATAAATTTAGATTCAGGAATAGATTATGTGATTTCTTATAAATATTATCCTTGATATAAATCAACTACAGTATTAGGAGCTCTTAGAACTGTGTAGATTGGTTGCAAATATGACATCAGTGATCATAAAAATTTAATTAGAAATTAACAGAAGAAAGTTCAGTGGCTAAGAAATAACAATAATGAAATATTTTCACTTATTAAAAAATAACATATTTTTATATCATCGTCCAATCTTTAAATAGAGCTTTTTTGTATCTTTTGTTAATTGAAAAGTTGAGTAACATAAGGTTTCTACCTGACTGACTTTTCTTGTTAATTCAATACATTTTAGAATAGAGATTTTAATATATAAATATATTATATTTATATGCTTAAATCAATTAGACGTAAGTTATAATCTATAACAGAATATGAAAATGAAAATTATGAGGTATAAATAATTAAGATTTAGATTACAATAGAATTACTTCTACGAGGTGAGTTGAGTAAAACAGAGTTGGAATTTTTGATGAAAAACTTTGGGAATTTAAAATTCTTTGAGGAATAGAAAGCAAAACTTCCACTTTATCTTTATACTCAAATCTACAAGAACCTTAATTATGAGAATGTTAAAGCTTATGAATCTGTGTTTAATTATGGTATTAGTAAATGTTATGACTAGGTGATATGGGATCCACGTATTATATAATTCTGAAAGGGGAGGTCGTGGTATTGCTACCAAAGCCTCAGATACAAGAAGATCTCTTTAATCATAGATTGACAGTTGATTAGATGAGATAGCGAATTGAGAATGAGAAAAGGAAATAATTTAGTGATTTTAATGAATTCTTAACAATTGCATATTCAGACTTCATAAAGGTTAGAACCTTAAAGGCTGGAGATACTTTCGGTGAGTTGGCTCTTATAACAAAATCAAAGAGAACAGCAACTATAATATGTAGTGTCGACTGCCATTTTATGACTCTCTAGAAAAATGCTTTCGATCGTATATTATATGAGCATCATAATTCAATTCACAAGTAGCAACTAGCCTTCTTTGATAACATTCCTTATTTGCATGGGATACCTGACCAGCATCTGACTCAATTGATGCATTAAATGATTGAGATATAACCTAAATTAAACAGCACAATTTATAAGGAAAATGAAGAGTCACACTCAGTTTATTTTATAATGACTGGGGAAGTGGAATTATCATATCAAATAAATAATCGATAACGGATTGTAATATCTTTAATGACTAAAGGAGCTATTTTTGGAGAAAATGAAATTCTTAAAGGAGTTAAAAGGTCTCAAAAGGCTACATGCAAGAGTAATGAGACTATACTGATGACATTGAGTGCTCAATAGTTTCTTTCAACTTTAGAAAATCATAACTTAACTAATGATTGTTCCAAGAAGTCAGAGTTAAAGGCAGAGAGACATTCAAAATAAATACTCTTGAGGAGGAAGGCAACTGAATCGTTACTTACTTGTCGTCCTCCAACCAAGACCATTTTGAATTTAGATTCAGAAATAACTCGCTTTCATTCGACTAGACAGATTTCTTTGAGCAATAGACTCAGTAATCATCCACCAATTACCAGCACCAATTGTCTAATCCCTATTGAAATTCCACATTATATCAAATTGATGCCACAGTATCAAAGATAAACTCATTCAATTTTTAAATTAAGTAATAGCAATAGACTAAAAAATCTACTAAAAACAGAAAGAAGTGAATTAACTTAATTAAAAGGATCTTCTTACTACTCAACTACTTCTCAATAATCTCCAAAGCACTGTGTTAATATACACGTGGAGAGATTAAGAAAATCTAGACAAAGATGAATCTTATTTCTATAATGTATATACATATCAAGCAGAATATATGTTATTAATTAACTCATCTTACATTTCATCTACATTTTCCTTGAGTGGTAAATCTTGAGTCTCCCTCAATTTCTATAAGGTCAATAATCCAAAAAGTAATAAAAAAAACATCCCTATTGATGAATTCAATCCAAAGGCATGGCAAAAGATCACATATGAATCTTGGAAAATGAAGAGGAATTCAGTCAAAAATGAAAGTCCACAAAATCCGTAATGTCTCAAAGAAGTTGGGAATATTTCTAAGGCGTAGACCTAACGATATTATAGGATTATAATACATTGATAAATCCATAGGCGAAACTTAAAGTCAATCTACACATAACTAGGACCATCATAATAAAGGTGTATACCAATTTATCATAGAAGGTTATTAAATCACTGGCTGTTTTATTTAAAATTAATAAAGGCAGAGCAGCAATTAAGAAATGAAATATGGCACCCAAAATTAGTATTGCTTTGATTACTTCCTTCCTTAAGTAATTTAGAGAAGCGTAGCCACTGATTAAATAACCAGTAGTAGATACTAATGATAATAGGAGATAGGTGTGATGTCTTTCTAATCTTGAAAATCTCTCTATTTCTTTGGCTGTTTAGAATTAGCCTAAAACTACTATGCTATACAAATATAGAAGACAGAACATTCTAATTCTAATTGATTTGTATCTGAAAATAGAGGAAAAGTTGTATCCTTTTGCTTATTCATGGATCTCCTCTTAGAGTAGGATATTTTTCATTTTATCCTTCAACTCTTAAATTCTGACCTCATCTTCTAATACCCAATTCTCTGGCATTTTTCTTTCATTTACACTTGCAATGTAATTGATTGCTAATCTTGCCTCCTCAAATTTACGTCTGATTACCAAAATTCTTGGGGATTCCTACATAAATTTGATCAACACTGAAAATAACACTGCTGGCAATCCAAACAATAGGAGCATTGAATATTGCCAATTTAAATTAAACATTTCTATAAGTCTTGGAGATATCACTTCACCAATTCCGTAACATGTTAATAATAGAGCTGGTCCAAATTTCTAAAGATTCTCACTTGATATTTCAAAAAACAAGATCATCGATGAGTTAAAAAATCCTCTTGAAAAGAAATTAATCGCGAATAGTGCCACACTCAAAATATAGGCCGAAGGGGAGAGCATACTTATGCAACATACGAAGCCCATCATTAGTAATGTTTCAATCATTACAGTGCTAAGTGTATAGATATTTAAAAGTACTATCTGCCCTATCTGATTTCCATTTATTCACCGTAGTACAATGAACCCATGCTGCCTCCAATATAATAGGATGTGACCAATATGAATATTTGAATTTTATCACCGCACACCATTAAGAAGTATTTGATCAAACTACCTAAATCTGAGTGATCCACTAATGACACCTTATTTTCCTTCGTTTTGTATTATTCACAAAATGCTCCTTCAGTACAATTCTAATAATTCAGATCTTCTGAAAGGCATTTATATTGCTATTGATGGAAGAATAACTCTGTCATTGCTATGTGGAGCATCCCAGCAATCATATACTACAACCCCATGATAATGAGTGCTCTTCTTTGAAATGAGTGTCCATTCCCAGCTTTTATTAAAGCCTATTCAATTGTTAATACATCAATGTATTTAGGCATTTTTAGTTTTTATAAAAATGTTCAAAAAAGAACACTATCAATTTATACAAATGTACATTAATCACTAAACAAAAATCTTCAATTGAAATTTTGCAACAAAAGAAATAGTTATAAAAACAATACCTCATGATATAATTGATAATTCAAGTATCTTTCTTTTTATTGTGTACTATCAATAATTAGTTCTTTAATTAATGATTCTAATAATTGAACTACACAGATGACAATTGTAAATTGAATCTTTAGTTGATGGAATACAAAAATTTGTATTTATTTAGTATCCCTCATTATAGTTAAGTATTAAAACTAATAATTTAGAGGAATATTGATCTTGTGAGAACAACTAAATAAAGGTTTCTTAGAAATTTAAAAAGTATTTACAACAAAAAAATAATGGTAAAGATCAAAACAGAAAACATGATGATGATTTAAATAGTTACTTTATAATTTATAGGTGAACTATTAGTTTATCTTCTAAAATATTAGTGATTGCAGAGTTAATTAACCAAACTTAAAAAATAAAAATAAATTTTAAATAGTTTATCTCGATATTTCCTTTTATGATAATAAACAGAACTTTCCTTTGAATAGATTAGAGAAGTTAAGTTTACATAAATAATTATTTCTTTAATGAGTACTAATATCACTGGCGAATCCTCTTTAAATTATATAAATTATGCATATCAGAATTAATAAATTATTTATTATAAATTGAGCAAACATATATTCTTTGTAATCATACCCATTTAGAAAAAATCATAAAGGCAACACATCATTCAATTGATTAACCTGGTTTTGGAAAGAAATACATTATTGATTTAGGTTTGAGGAATAAAATAATTTTGATAATTGAAACATCAATTGTACAATCATGGGCCATTTGAGTATTCTGTTCATTCAAATTATGACAAATGATAATATTATAAATTTAATAAAGAATTATTATTTGATATCTAAATTCAAACATTAAAAAAAATACATATATTAATATTATGTAAGTATAGAGATAAGAACATAGCAAGTTGGCAATAATAGGTAATGTTGATTCAGGCAAATCAACGTTGGTTGGAGTGCTAACAAAGGGAATTTTAGATGATGGAAGAGGAGGAGCAAGAGAGGTTTAAATTTTAATTTATGCAGCGAGTTTTCAATTACAAGCATGAAAAAGAGAATGGAAGGACATCATCAGTAGCATAAGAAATAATGGGATTCGATGAGAATTTAAAGCAAGTGCTTCCTGAAAGATTCAATTAAAATAAAAATAAATATTGGAGTCTCGTAGTTGAAAAGAGTAGGAAGATAGTTACATTTTTGGATCTCTGTGGTCATGAAAAATATCTAAAAACTACAATATTCGGTTTGGTAGCTATGATACCAGATTATTCTCTGATTATAGTTGGAGCCAATATGGGAGTATCAAAAATGACAAGAGAGCATTTGGGAGTGAGTTTATTTTTGAAAATCCCATTTGCAATAGTTTTAACAAAAATTGATATAGCTCCTTAAAATGTCTACAATGAGACTATCGAAAATATAAAAGGCTTGATTAGAAGTCCAGCAATTAAGAGAACAGCCGTAGTATTCGATGAAAAAACTGGATTGGATGAAATCGATAAATGGGCAGCACTTATGCATGGGAATAATGTTGTTCCAATGTTTCAAGTCTCCAGTGTGACTGGAATTGGATTGCAATAATTGGCTCGTTTCATAAGCAGAGTACCAAATAGAGATGAAATAAACAAAGCCTATTAAACAGTAAATGATCCATTCCAATTTGACATACAAGAGAATTTTAATGTTCCAGGAGTTGGTGTTGTTGTAAGTGGAATAGTAAGAAGTGGAAAAGCAGGATTGAATTAACATGCTCTATTGGGACCAGATAAAGGAAAAAGTAAATATTTCATTTATTGTAATTCATAGCATTCAAACCAGTAACCATCAAATCTATACACATAAATAGAGTACCAGTTGAATCAGCATAGGTAGGAGAATTCGCCTGTTTTGCTCTTAAGCCATCTAAGGCTGGAGATAAATTGGACAGAGCTGATTTCAGAAAGGGAATGATTTTAATTGATCCAGCTGTGAAACCTGAACCTGTTCTAGAATTCGAAGTATATAATTGTAATTAACTTAGGCTAACATTCATGTACTCCACCATCCAACTACAATGAGTCATGGATATTAAGCAGTTATGCATTGTGGTGTTATTAGATAAGCTGTAGAAATGAAGAAAATATTCTAACATGAAGTATTAAGAACTGGAGATGTAGACACAGTGAGGTAAGACATTTCAATAATTAAAAAGATTACGATTTCTTTATGCTGCCGAGTATCTTAAAACTGAATAGATCCTTGTGATTAGAGAAGGCAGAACTAAAATATTTGGATATATATCTAAACTTATTACAGATAAACAATTAGAGGATGAAAAGAAAGTTCAAGGAATTCCCTAATAATAATAATAATAATAATAAATATAATAAGTTTGATTATTTTATAATTTATGATTAAAATCATTACTCCTTAAGATAGAAGATATTTTGCATAACCAAAACAAGATTAAGTAGTTATGAGGTGTGATCCCTTAGCTATTGTACTCTTTAAGGAATTTAGAGCGAATCATTGTAATTATTGTTTATAGGGATCATAAACAAATCGTTGTTCAATTTGCAAATAATATTATTATTGTTCTGTTTCTTGTCAAAAGAATGATTGGAAATAACATAAAAATGAATGTCAATTATTGAGTAAAATTACTAAGGAAATGCCATGTAATATTTTAATACTCATCAGATTATTTCAGAATAATATCGACATCTAGAATTTTTATGGGGATGTGGACAAAGACATTGATTAAGAAACCTATTAACAAGTTTTTGATTGTGCTGCTTATATTGTGAAGATAGCTTAATTAGAAAATGAAACTTTTGCGAAATTGTTGTCAATACAAGTAAAAATTCATCTAAATACATTTACTGTAACTGACATCAATGGTGACACCTTAGGAATTGCAATATATACTCCTGCTAATTTTTTAAATCATAAATGCATCAAAACATCAGCTAATTAAAAAAATGTGGCTAATTGCTCTCATTTTTTTAATCAAAGATAATTAATAATAACAACTAATAATTCTTTTGTTTAAAATGAAAATGATCCATAGGAGCTCTGTATTAGTTATGGAAATATTGTTAATTTTAAAGATAGATAAAAGTTTTTAAAAGCATAATATGGATTTATTTGTGATTGTGATAGGTGTATATAAGAATAAACAAATAGTGAAGAAGAATCGGATTTATTGAATATTAAATAATAGGAATATCTAACCCTATTGAATTAATAAAAATTCAAAAAAGCATTCACTTTACTAGAGGAGATTATCGCTCTGATGCCTAAGTATTATGATAATGATAGACATCCCTATTTAGGATGGAAAATGAATGAAGCATCAAAATTGGGATTTCACTTGAACTATCTTCTAAAAGCTGAAAATTACAGTATTCAGGCTATTAAATTATTGGAACCCTTTTATAGTGAAAATGAATAATATAAAGAATTATTGGGTAGATTGAAAGATATCAAGGCTGAAATCAAGATGTAGAAATGATGACATAATATATTTTATGTATATAGTTATTGTTCTTAACTTTTATGTCTAATTTTATATATAAAAAGTAAAGCTATATTTTATTAATAATAAATTCTTGAATAAATGAGAGAAATAATACATATAGGTTTGGGAAATTGTGGAGTTAGAATAGGATGCAAATTTTACGAATAGCTCATCCAAGACTATCAAATAGAGAATAATAGGACATGTGAAAAACCAGCTGAAGGAATTGAAGTACACTTTAGTGAAATTGGGGACAAAAAGTTTGTTCCTAGATCAATCTTATGTTCAAGAGATGTCGAGCAAATACTGGCTAATCCATAATCACTAATTTTTAATCCTAATAACTATTAATTGGAGTTGGATGAGAGTTTGCGTAAAGAGATGGAAATATGTGATAACTGCCAAGGAATATAGATTACTCATCATTTAAGCACAGACATCAGTATGTTATAAGATCTACTTCAACATTACGATAAAGTGATTTAGACTTTCACAATCTTTCCAAATCAGGAGTATGGACATGATATTGTTAAAAGTGCATAAAGTTTGAGGTTTCTCGAAGGATTAAATGTGGTTGCCTTTGACAATTCTGGATTGAATGAATACTATGCAAGATAATATAAATCCACTTTGACCTTTAATGATTACAATGCCTTAGTGGCAACTGTTATGAATTCAGTAACATCTCCAATGAGATAGAGCAATACATACAATTTAGAGAAGATGTATTCTGTGTAATCGTAAATGAATGTGGAGGTTTGTAAGTTGGTTTAGGATAAGCAATCTCAAATCAATCTGTAATAGATGGGAGATACGAAACTATTGATTGAGACAAATTAGAATGTGAATGAAAAGATCATTTAAGCCACTCTTTTAGCAAGAACCAATCAGTTAACTCCAAATCAATTGCATTAGTAATTGTAATCAACTGCGAAATCATTTTACAATAACATTATCAATTTAAATTACTAAATATCTCCATACAAACAGGAGATTTTGGTGTCCTTGTATAAATCCTCTCACATAAAGTTTAAATTGTAATAGTTGAAGAATAACACCTAATTATTATAAACCAGAAAGGCCTTTAATGAGGTGTATCAGTGGGATGAGAACCAAGGCAATCTTGAATATTTAAATAAATTGGTTTCATTGTGTGATCAAATAGTCAATACTCACTAAGAACAGCAATAATAGCAATAGCAATAGAGTTCAGTTTAAGCATCAAGTCCGATATCAGTGTCTGAGAACAAGATGGACAGACAACGGGATTACATTAAATCGTCAGAATAAGTTGAAGCGTCTCCAAAGAAGCAAATAACTGTATCATAGTCAATTGCTCTGGGATAACCAAATGCTATACAACAGTAGAATGTAGTGGGACAGTAAGTCATATCAAGAAATGGATGAAATTAATAAAATTTAGTTTAAATTTATATATATAATAAAGAATATGAGTCAAACAATAAGAAGAACAAAATTTCGAATTAAGGATGTAATTGATAGCAATCTCAATAATCAAGAGCAATCCGCTTAGAAAGCTATATAGTCTACATATATCAAACAAAACGTAGATGACTTCAATTCTCTAAAATAAACTTTGGAAGATCGCAAATTAACATTTATAAAATTTGCATTTCAATAGCAGGAACTAATAGAAGATCGAAATTTGGGTCCAGTTCTCACAGGATTGTCCAGACACCAGAATATTGGGTCGATGTCAGTTAGTGAATTGATACCAAAATCTTAAATCCACACTTATCTGCTGTAGGCGTAGTAGGACAGACCGAAGAGAGTGTTGAAACGATTTGCTCATTGGGAGTGGGACAAGGATTAAGGTCGAGATAAGAATCCAATGAGTTATTAGTTCACATAGAGAAATGAAGCTGAGATAAAATCAAGATTAAAAAAAAAGGATGGGGAAATTAGTTTGAGGAAGAGGATCCTGTAGAAATGGTAGAAACATTTACCCAGCTTGACAGGACTGAATGAATTTGGAAAACAATTTACAATGGATCATTCTTCATTGAAAAAGCCTTTTTCATTAAGTCCTTCTCCGAAGCAAGAGTCATATCGTCAAATTACAAATTGGTTGCAGGAATTGGAGGAGTTGAAACTCGACAATGAGAAAGTGAAGAAGTATAAAGTGATTAAATTAGAAAATTGGAAAGGACATTGCAGAGTTTACATAGAACATGACTAAGTTGGTGTTTATTTTTTGAAGAATTAAATTTATATCAAGCTGATGATCTCTCTTAGAGATAAACCTTAACGTTGGATAACTTGGTAGCTAAGATCTCCTCGACTTATCTGATGATGGAGATTTCTAATTATCTGTGTTCAGAGTCTTCAGCATATTGAGTTCTCCATGAATCGCATTCGGCTTCCTTTTATTCCTTTCCTGATGAGGCAGCGTTCAATTCGTCGGTGGCATCTTCCTTTCTCTTCTTTTATAAGTCCAAAGCTTATTAGTTGTCTTGGAGTTATCTTTCAGAGTCTTCTCTGGCGGCACTCAAGGATTCTCTTTATGAGGCGATTTCGACGACCAAAGCTTCGAAGTCTAATTAGGCTTAGATTTCGGTTTATCTGGCATCTTCAAGGGCTTCAGCCAATTAATTGCTGACTTCACCTAATTTTCCGAGGACGTTGTTCAATTGTTCAGCTGAGAAGGTTGAGGCAACTTACATAAGAGCAAGGATTGGGTTGGATGCACCAATCTTGTTTAATTAGGTCAAGGCAGCCAAGACTTCTTAATCTGGTTGGATTGAGCTCAACTTTTAGATGATGACTTCAACAGCCTCAATGACGTTTTCGGTTTCATTCTCGAATCTGATGAAACTTTCAGCATCTTCAGCTCTTTATTCTCTGATTTGGGTTTCTTATTCGTTCAAGATGTCTAATTGGACTTATTTGTTTTCAACATCTTAGGTTAATTATTCAACCTTGGCACTGAGGGTTTAGATTTCTTAGGTTGATTCGGTGATTTCGTTGGAAGCGAAGTCAATTCTTCTGTTGTATTAGTAGATTTCTGTTTCGCAATCAACTTCATCTTAAGCGTGCTTTTAGTCAGCTTCTTATTAGTTGAGGATGAGGTTTTCTCTCAATTATTGTAACATTTTGGCAATATCTCCCAATGGGGCCTTGTTGTTGTATTAGAGAGCAATTGTGTCTAACAATTTTCTTCCTAATTCGTGTTCTTCCATGGCTTCCAATTGTGTGAAAACTGCCTTGCTTGGATCGTTGGATCTCTTAACAAAGACAGCTTGTGTGAGTGTCAATCCCAAAAGAGCAATAAGAATCAATTTCATATTTAATTTATGTTTCACATCAAACTATTATTCCTTTTTACAATCACACTATTCGTTTTTACTAAATTATTTAATTTCTTTTATTTAACATTTAATCTCATCAGATCATAAATAACTATTTCTAACATTCTCAAACCAATTCCAATATTAGATACTAATCCAATTTCTTAATAAGTTAAACATTGTAGTTATGCATGAAAAATAAAAAAAATATCTTCTTATTTTAAATAAAAAACCTTTTTAATTGATGAAAAGTGTTATTCTAATTAACTCCATTAAGGATTAACAGAATCAGAAACTCAATATATGAAGAGAAAAATTATTTAAATAAATCTTTTCTATGGATTATTTCCTTAAATTTAGAATAAGTTTAAGACTGTTAATATCATAATAGTCTTAAATATTTTAAAAAAAATATTACTATTTTGAATTATTGAATTCTGCTATAGTCTGGATTTATTTGAACAAAATTTTAAATGAATTAGATTATTAAACAATGAATTTAAATTATTTATTCGATTATTAGTATACTAATACATAAATTTATGATTGGTTGCTATTATAATATATGATTATTATATATTTTTATAATATACATTTTCACTTAGTCAAATCTTTCCTCTTGTTAAGTATGGCTTGTCTCATTTTGGCTACATCTTTTTCCCCAGGGTATTCTCCATCTTTCAAAGCAATGTTGGATGCTATCTTATCCCAAGAGTTTTTCTTTGGTAGCATGAATAACACAATACATATTCGCTCTTATTTTGAGACCTGAGTTCTTAAGCCTGTTGATTTGCAGTCTTTCGTGCCTCAATGTCTTTTTTCAATTCCCTTCATATACAATATACATATAGATATACGTTTAGAACTGAAGTAAATATTGTTAACCCTTCTCCTTTCTTTATTATTTTTAAATTCTTTCTTCCTAATCTTTCTCCCTTACAAGTTTGATTCTTTCTTCTTCTAACTCTCTTAATTTTTCTCTTCTCTTTTGTTATTCTGCACTCTAAATAGGAATTAGTCTGCCATTAATACCACTAAAGTAACTCCAGCATTAGGTGCAATAGGGATTTCAAATGGTTATCTGGCTTAATTAAGAATTCCAAAGTACCATACCTGCATCATTAAACATTAATGGTTGAGCTGCAATTTCAGGCTCTACATATGTCTCAATTGTGCCAGCTGGATCATCGAAAAATTCGTCCATTTTATAATTTAATAAATAATTTATTGGAAAACAAAAAAAATGTAATTGGTTTTTTGAATGATTATTCGAGTACTAAAATCTGAAAATAATATTGGTATCCTGATTAATTTTTGCATTATATGTAAATCCTCATTTTCCAAGATACAATGCATCCATACAAGATTTACTGGATTCAATTCTAAATCTTTTACCCTCGAACTCTTCCTTTCCATATAGAGTGAACACAGCATCTTTGGGTAATTTGATACTTTTAATTTATCCATTGTAATCTAACTTAGCTTTATTATCACAAATCTTGACCTCTTATCCTTGATAATCACAATCACTATATAAATAAGCACAATTTTAATCATAATATTTAACTTCTTGATTACCAATATAAAATCCATAAAAGCTAAGTGATTTAATGGTTGATTCGTCCCCTAATTATATATATTTATAATTTACAAGTTCCAAATTCAACTTTGATTTGATTGTCATCATTCTCCTATTCTTCATTTACTTCTATTCTAATGTGATCGCTTAAGGATGTAAATCCTGAAATACCCATCAATTACACAAAATCTACAATGTCATTTGGGATTTCATATGAAGAGACCAATATCTTTTATGCGTCTTTAGAAGTTGAAAACCATGTGTGATCATCAGAATCTACAATGATTCCCAAATCATCAGTCTTGAAACTGTTCTCGAAGTTGGATATAAGAAGACAAAGCTTGAATTCTTTGGCACCACTTGCTGCAATTTTTACAATGTCTTTATTTAATTCGACTATTTCCTGATTGAATTATTTCTTGTCTTAAAAGGTGGCTCCAACCAAATACGAATTAACTAGAGGAGTTGTATCACTATCATAATTGAATAGAGGCAATTAGATTTCTGATTCTTATGACTTAACATATTCAATGTGAACTAAAGGATTATCAGTGGCCATCCAATTATATGAGATTTAATCAATATGATCTCCTTTAACTCTTATGGTGAAACCTCGTTTAATTTTAGCTTAGTACCTTATTAATTAACATTCAAAATTTCACTCATGAATGAAGAACCACTCATATCCAATAAACTAATCGAATAAGCAATCTTCGGAGTTCTTGAGAATTGTTTTTTGAATTTGATATTTATATCTACATCTTTATTAATGATATTTTGAATTGAAACTCCTGTCTCTGATTCGTATAGAAAATGCTCAGCCTAACACAAATAAATCAAACCTAGAATGATTAACCAATTCATTTCCGTTTTTAATAATATATATTATATAATTATACACTAGTTTATCATATCAATATTTTAGATGTCAGGTCTTTAATCACCTATCCTTTCTATAACTAATAATCCTCCATGTAATACACTACTTAATCTAAAGTAATATCAAAATGAGTTGTGAATAAAATAGTGCTATTTTATTTGAGTAGGTATTTTAAAATCGAATAAGCCAAGGAATGACCATCAATAGAACTAGTTCCTCTTCCCAATTCATCAATCAACAATAAGCTATTTTGGGTATCAATCATTCTTCGAACCTCTTGCATTTCCACATAAAATGTACTTTCTCTTATTGTATCATATGCACCCATTCTACAATGTATTTCATTAAATGTCTTAAACTCCATCTATTAACATGGGACATAACACCCCAACATAGCCAATATCACTAGTAGCCCAACTGATCTTAGAATTGTTGATTTTCCTGCCCCATTATATCCTGTTAAAACGATACATTTTTCAATCGTCAGATTATTAGGAACACAATTTTAGATTAAAGGGTGGCGGAAATCTCTTAAAACTAATTAGTTTTAAGTTGATAAAGTGGGGAGACACTTGTGTTAATCATTTTCTAAATATTTGGACATAGCTATTAAGACATCCAGATCGCTAATTTAATTGATTATTTCTTAAAAATACTCTTTATGTTTCAATATATTCTCAATTACTTATTAATAGAATAACTGAATAAATATTTTTAATTAATCCAAAAGTTTAATGTGTTATTATTATTTCTTTTAAAGAAATTGAGTAGTGTATTTTCTATAACCCTTTCTTTTATTTGAAAATAATAACTATTAAGGCGTCTTATATTCTTCAGGCATTTCTATTTCAAATGCTTAATATGTAATTTTAGGGTCATTCTCATAAAGTTGACTCTTTATTCTTAAGTATTCATCATTAGCCTCATCTTCCACTTTTTCTAAGCTTTCTAATATCTAATTATACTAAGTTCTTTCTTAATTTTGTGGTACTAAAACATCAAGATTTTCACCTTCCCACACAAACTCTTATGAAATCTTCTACAAGATATTATCATTTAGTTCTTAAAGGTTTCTTAGTTGTTCACTTTGATAATTTTATTTGTTAATATAAATCTTCTGTTTTAATTACACCAGAATATATTTTACATTATTTAGGAATTATTTCAATATTGAACTATCTTTTGGGGCATTAAACACTCTAGCCATTTAATGTTGCAAAGATCCAACCCTCTTAATTTCAGCTAAAAAACTGTCTCTGAAGACTTAGTGATTTCTCATATCCTATTATGCCAATTATCTGTCCATTATCCCATCGATTGGAATTTTTCTTAACGTCATTTACAATTTTCTTTAACCCTCTTTAGTTACTGGCTAAATCAAGGGTTTGAAGAATAACTATTTTATTGCATTATCAGATATTAAACAGAATTTTGAAAACAATGGAGAATTATCAATAAAGGTGATCTATGATATTCCATTAATAAACCTTTCTTTAAAGAATATCTCTAACTATTCGAAAGCACTATCACCTTTAGCTGCATTTTTTATAGCCAAGGTCTTTATTTTTTCATTTGTTATTATTTCAGTAATCTTTATAAAATTTAAATTCTCATCACTCGTTTTATAGGCTACTTTGCTGATGGTATCTAGCACAATGGCTTCATTCTTATATAGTGAAACCAAATAATTAGTTTCAATATTTTATAAATTCTCTCCCAATATACCAAAACCCAATAGTCCCTTGCTATAGATTCCAGTTATAAAGCGATCTCTTAATTAGTTTTATGTCATTTGAAATAAAGATTATTCACAAAAAACTATTTTTCGATCTGTTTACATAATTAATGTATGAACATGTTCTATTACAGATGCTTCATTTAATCCTATCATATAATTTGGAATTTTCCATTATAAATCAATGTACCTTCTAATAAAGTGAGCATCCTCTGAATAGGCCAAAAAAAAACTGCCCCTCTATAATAATACGAGATCTTATTGATAGTCCTTTTTGATTTCTTAGTATTGAGCTTCCAAAGGTGTTAGATCAGAGATAGGATTAGACTTCGATTTAGATTTCGACTTTATTAATTGTTCACAATCAAATAGAGCATTATCAGAAAGTTCAACATCAAAGCAATTTAACTTTTTAGTTTTCATAAAACCTAATTATAATTAATATAGAAAATGAATATTGTGTCTTGGATTATATTATCTAATATGAGTAACCAAAACATTAGTTTCTTGTTTTGCCTTATCAACCTATGATTATCAAAACTAATTCATCAAAAGTTTATAATATTTAATTTGAATAGTAATTTTGAGCATGAGTTCAAAAAATTAATAATAGACTTATTCATAGATGTATTCAGAAGAGAAGGTAGTGACTCTATCTAACATGGAAGTTAAGTGGTTAAACTTATTAAAGTAAATTTCAAATGATGACTTGGATATGTTGAGGAGATAATTTGAAAAATAAAAATAATCATTAAAGGATATTGAAGAAAAAAATGAATAACAAACAATAGAAGAAAAGTGATAGAATAAAAAACCTTCTTATCTCATAGCTTTGTGATTTTAATTCATCATTTAATTTTATATATATAAACCTTGTTTTTCAGCTTCAAAGAATAATATAAGGGATTAAATGATTATATACTTTTTTAATTCTTTTATTACTTAAATTTTAGAAGATAAAGCCATCTTTTTTAATTTTAAGTTTTTAGTTAGTATAAGATTAAAAGTTACATATAAATTTTGAAACAAATTGAACTCTATATTATGTCATTTTATTTAGAGATGATTCATAATAATAATATCTATAATAGATTTATAATGATTGAGTTTAACTTATTGAATTTTATGTTGTTCAGGAATAGTTGAATTTTTTGCAATAAATTAATTTCCTATCTCTCGCCATTTAAGAGAATCATAACGATTATTTATAAAGGAATAAGAAACTATTAAAAAATGTAAATATTGAACTTAGAACTATTGTTCATAATTTATTTTTTTTAATAAATCAATTTCTTTTGCTGATGAATTGAGCGGTGGTTGATAATTTCTCGCTGATGTGTTCTTAAAGTCTATCAACGATTTCATTTTAAGCAGCTCTAAAGAAGGATATTATTGATGATACCTTTCAGCAGTTTAGGTTTTCATAGATTTCTGATTAGACTGCATACCATGCTTATTATCCAGCAAGTCTCTCTTCACTGTTTTCTAATTCCAAGGTGTGGAATTCGATCCATGATTAAGCATCTTCAATGGTATCCTTTTATTCTTAGATTTAGACTTCCAATTAAGCTTTTCTTTCAACCAATCTGGTGTGTTCATTGCTCAAATGAACGCTGAATTCAGCCCAGTGTGCAGCTTATCTGTCTTCAACGTCCTTTATAATTGGATTAATTAAATACAGTCTTGGTAGCCTTTTCTGAGACTAATTATTATCTGATTTCGCTCAAATAATTAAGCAATCTTGGTCAAAGCCTTTTGGTTGACTCCGTGAGTGGCTAATTCGGTAAGAGCAATAACGACTGGCTAAGATGGATAATAGAAATAAAGAATTTACTTGTAAGAGTTGGCTGTGTGATGTGTTGTCGGTGAGTCTCTTGTGAACTGTTTCATACTTTGATTTAACTTAGACAAATGAAGCACCTAAGCTCAAATGTTGGATGAGTTTGGCAGCATCATCAATAGCTTCAATAACATCATCGATGGCAGCAACCTTGGCAACGAAGGTTTCGTGTTATTAGTTTCTTGTGGCTTCTTCTCTAGCATAAGTTTATTCATTTGTTGCAATGTCTGAAATTGTAACTCTGATGTCTTCTTCAGAAACAGCCAAAGCTTCGATTGTGTCATCTCTCAATTAAGTGTTGGATGAGATTTGATTTTAGTGATACAAGATTTCCTTTTCCAAATCCTCGACGATCTATTACATTGTTAAATATTCTTACTCTGTTGTTTGTGGTTGTATCAACTTCAAAAGTGTGATCATGGTCATTTTAATCTTATTATAATCCAGCAGCAACACCATTCAATAACATATTAACTTCATTGGCTGGTGTTTAAGCTTATAAGTGTGCCTTGATTGCTGACAACACAACATTTCCAAATGGATTAGAATCAATCTAAGCCAAGCTTGCATGTGTATCTACAAACTTGGAAGCTGCAAGAGCAAGAACCAATGTCAAGATGGCTAGTTTTTGCATATATTTAATTTAATGTTTTAAAAACGGATCGAAAAATGCTTATGTATGTAATTAATTTATAAATATTTATCCCCATTTTCTTATAATTTTCCTATAATCATATATATCAACTTTTCATATTATTCAATTAATCCAATTTTTCTACAATCTCATCCCCTACCTCTCTCTTTTTGCATAATTTATAGTAATTTTTATATATCCTCAATCCTCATCATTACCAAATTTTTATTAAAATAGAATAATTAATTTATTATTTCTCTAGATATTCTTAATTCTAAACAAAGACCAGATAGTAGCATATTTTTATAATTCCCCTCCCATTATTTTCATCTTACTTAACTAAATCCTTCTCTTTAGTTAATCAAACTAATCATCTATGACAGATACACTATTAATTAGATTCTTAGATTTCTTATTATTTACTTTTGAGTCAATTCATTATTTTATTCTATGATTTCTTGAAAAAAACTAGAAATATTAATTAATCATATTATAATATGGCCAGATAATTGCTATATAATTTTAATGAATTTATATTATATAGTCTTTATTAGAAATAGCTAGACTGATTTCTAGTATGAAAGACAAAAGGTGAGATTGCTAGTGGTTTATGAGGTTGTTTTAATTTATTAATTAAAATCTTGCAAATATTCAAAAAATAATTTAATTTTTCTAATGTCAGCTCCATTTTATACAGTGAAAGTATGCTCATGATATTAATTAAAGGATGTACCAGCTTAAGATTTCATTCGCGGTTATGCAGAATACTTGAAAAAAAATAACAAGATCAAGATTCCAGAGTGGGCTTCAATTGTTAAGACAGGTCTTGGAAAAGAAACCTCACCAATTGACTAAGATTGGATGTATGTTAGAGCTGCAGCACTTGCTCGTAAAATTTATGTTAGAGGCCATTGGGTATTAATAATTAATTAAAACTTCAGGGTGTTGGAAATCTGACTCATATGTTTGGTTCAGTTAATGATAATGGCAAACACGAATCTGGATCTGGAAAAGTCATTAGATATTTACTCTAATAATTGGAAACTATTAAAGTATTGAAGAAAGATAACAAATCTCTTTTAAAGAAGGGATCAAGAATTGTAACCAAAGAGGGATAATAAGATTTAAATAGAATTGCAACTCAAGTTGCCTTAGCTGCCAGAAAATGATTTATAATACATCACAGAAGTACATTATTAAACATACAGAATTATAATCATAAATATATATTTAGATAAAATCAAAATTTTCTTCAGATTATTCATTCAAAAAAATTTTGATTCCAAAATAAGCTTAAGTTTTATTTTTAAATATTATATTTCTTCTTTTGCATGCATATTCGAAATCTCTTTTAGCCATGAATCACCATCATTAGATTTAAATGATCCTTCTAAAATTTTATTGCATCACAATATCTATCAATTCTATTGCTCTCCATTCAATTTGCTCATAATTAGATACTCAATCTAAATTAAGGATGTTTCACTTGAAATTTATATTTATGTCCATATTAATATTCTTTTAATTTAATATAATTATCAATATTGTTCAATACTAATGACTTGATTTTAAGATTCTAGTAAGGGATTATTGTAAGTCTGCTAATTCATGATTGTGTCTATAAATGTATATGCTTATTCTTACCCAACAGTAAATGCACCTATTTGAGTAGGTGGGATTGCATTCAATTTTGCACTCAATAGTCTTATATCACTTTGATTTCCACCAAAACCTAATCTGCCCTGATTGTTACCCAAAAATACAGACGATTTGGAGGATAAATGATGAGGTTGGAAACTTGAATGTGATAATTCATTATTGAATCGAGTGAATTTAGTATTTTAGATCTAAAGCTCTAAACCCAATTTTGAATCCCAATTTTTGAATCTATCCAGTCTTACTTTAGTCTTTTAGGGAGATTCAATATAATTTGTATTGTGTTAAATATGAGAAGAATTTTTGTGAATGCTACTAAATACAATTTGTGAGGGTGTTAAAGGGCTATTATAATAATGATAAATACTGGTATTCCCCAACTACTACTCCTTGTAAGCCTTTGCTTTATTTTGGTGATGAGTCTCTGAATATTCTCATTCTGACTGGAGACATATTAGTTGACTAACTGGTTTTAGTGGTATAGCTAGACTCTCCAATTTTACTAATGGCAGTTGATAACATTCCAAGTTAGCTTTTTTTTGGTTTATTAACTTTGCTGGATTCCAAGCTGGCAAAAGATTGAGCGAACATAATTTTATTTATGTGTAATAAAATTTAAGTTTCCCCTTTTATATGAGTCAAATATTATTAACAATTAAAGTCTAGAAAAAACTTATAAGATGCATACTTTATCATGATATTAAATCACAGTTTGGATCCAATGAATTTTAAATATACAGTTATAAAGGACAAAGTGTCAAGTAGAATTTTGTACTAATAATCCTATCGTTATTTGGACAATATTTAAATATCAAATGCTGGCAGAAGTTAATTAAATGATTTTGTGAGTTCACCAATTTTAAATATGATTGATTGTTAATTTTAATGACAATTCAATTCTAAAACAAGATTTGCAATCAAAAATTTACATTTCATAATCTTATCCATTTATGGTTTTTTTGAATTTTTAATCACAAAAATAAGCATCTTTACTTTAATCCATAATAAATGTTCAAAATTATCGATTGAGATTTTTAATAGACTTAAATGTTGTTTTAAGTTTTACAATAAATTATGTGTTTAAAAAAATACACATTTGTTATTCATTTTTTTAACATTTACTATTAAATTTAAGCTTCTAATCGCAGGTCATATTAACAATTGAGCTATAAGATACTAAGTTTTTTAATGTTGGTGATATATTTTAATCTTTAACAAGGGCAATAATGATTAAATATTTAAATCTTTGCTATTGAACAGTAACGTAATATTGTATAGGGTTTAAACTAAAATGAATGATTGATGCATTTATTATTTCAAAATAAATAGTCAGATGATTCTATTATAAAATACTTAAAGTTACATTAATACCAAAATAGTTAATGGTTCCAAACTAAAAACATAAATAAATATGATGGGGTGTTTTCTAGATGACTAGAGAATAGCAATAAATTTAAGATTCATTTTTTAAATTGAATATATTTGTATTATGGAAATCATTTTCTTCCAAGGCTGGTTTATGAGGCTAAGGATCTGACTTAGTCTTTGAACAATTAGATGACAACATCGATGATAGCGTTTTCCTCTATAGATTATTGTGATAATTGGTACCGGCTCTTCTGACAGTTTCGGAGGCATAGAATTCTCTTTTCTCTTCCAAATCAGCGGTGGCTCCAGCAACGGCGTTCAAGGAATCTTTCCAGAGTTTAAGGGCCTTGGCTTATTAGGCAAGAACGGCTGGGAGTTGCTATAAAAATAATAAACATATGATTGTACAGTTTCTAATTTCTCAACAAAGACCGGTTCTTCTTTCTTATTCTGAAGTCAACCAGGCAACTTCGGCATTAGTATCTGAAACGTATTTGGCAAGAAGCAAATGCCAAGCATGGATTTCTTATTCTTATAAGGGTAGCAAGAGTTGATTCTAATTCAACTTATAAATCTTATAAGATTTAGAGGACTTATTCTCCGGTTGTGCCGTCTCTCTTGACTTCAGCAAGTGATTAGAATTTTTAGAGGGCATCTTATTAGAAAAGATGGCTGTAAGCTGATAATTTATCGGCGATTGTTGAAGCCTTTTCAACAAGTTCGACTCCAGCATTGTTTGTGAGGAAACCAGCAACGTCTTGTGTCAAGAGTGTGACAACTCCGATGGCATCGGCGTGATCAGCAAGGGATTTAACAAAAAGTCCATTGGCCCAACATCTTTAGTCTTGGAGTTAATTGTTTCTTCTAACGATTTCAGCAAGTCTGGCTTCAGCCCAGGCCAACCATTAATATCCATCCTTAATGAATTAATTGTTTTGCTTACTCTGACTTAAGCTTCAACATCTGTTCTGACAGCACCAAGTCTTTCCCATTATTGTTTGTTGAGTGCGGCAACGTTAGTCAAATCACCAATGACTTGGGAAAAGATTTCTACACATTAAAATAAAATTTACCTTCGTCTGTATTGTTCTTTTTGTCAGCAGCAGCTTACACATTCACATTCTCTGTTTTCAAATCTCTTAAGAGATTGTAAACGGATTCAACGGCATCATTTCCTCTTGTGCCTGTTTGGAGAAGCACGGCGAATTTGTTTGTGTCAAGTGCAAACACAGCTGCTACGAGGCAAATCACAACGAATGTTTTCATATTTATTTTTAATAATGCCAAAAACGGAATAAAATTTCTTCGTTTTAATGTTGGTATATATAATTGTTTTTATAATTCACACCTTAAAGGACTATGGAAATGTTTCACTTCATATAATCTTATTACCCCATTATTATTCATTCCATCTTTATTAATCCATTCTCACAATTTATTTGACTCAACTAATTCAAAATTAAACAATCCATAATAGAAAAGATACTGTTACCATTAATATAAGAATCTATCAATTTTTAATGAAAATTTGTATATCTTCAGGATCTAAATAAGAATATCATATAATCTATGGACCTCCCAATATCATAATTGAACTTATCATAGTACTTTTTTTCATTAATTTCTCTTTGAAATATTAAAAATCTTATGTATTAGGTTTTAATTAAAAAAACATAATAGATACCTCATCCAGCTATCTGGCTGATATTAAATTTAATTAAAATAATCCGCCTATTAAATGATTGATTCAATATCAAAAATTTTAGAGTTAAAAACTATATATATGTATATTTAAATTAAATAGAGATAAGAAATAAATCTAAAAATTTAATATTTTTGCAGATGTTGATAAAAAATTTAAATTTAATATATTTTGGAAAAACTTAAGTTGTATTTTAGAATTTTATAAAATCCAAAATTTTAAGTGATATTTTGAAATGAATTGAAATAAAATTAATATATATATTAAGATGATTATGTGCACTCTTTGTGAGGACTATTTAATAAATGATATTGTTATTCTTATACAATGTGGACATCTTTATCATATAGATTGCTTGAACAGACATAACGAATAAAATTATACAAAAATATGCCTAAATTGCTAAAATGGGACTGACTCCATTTAAATTCAATTTTTAATACATTAACCTGATTATATTGCTGAATAGTAGTTAAACTAATTAAAGATTAAGAGTAAATCTTTTTTATCAAAAATTGAATAAGAGATAGAGCTTTTAATTAAAAATTATAAATTCCTCTTGTTAGACTATTACATCATTGTAAGTGATCTGTAATAACTCACCTCAAATAAAAATAGGCAAATCAATTATCAAATATTAAGCTCCAAGAACAAAGCAGATAGGATTATAGATGATTAAGATTTATTTTTATCCTTCCAATAATAAAGTAATTGGAATAAAAAAGAATAAGATTACTATTAAAGTATGTAAGATAAATATAATAAAATATATCTTAAGAAGATAGACTATTAGGCAATTAGTAACTATATAGATAATATTGAAAATTAAAATGATATTGTTATTTATTTCAAAGATATTTGTTTAATACAAAATCAAGATGAAAATTCATATGATAAAAATTTAAGGTGCTTTTTATTTTAGATTTTTTAAATTCAGAATAAAGTTAAGAATGTTGAAGAAAAATTAACTCATATTCAAAACATTATAAAGTAATAAACTTGTATCCATAAACTATGCACACTTTGTTCTGATAAATAGACCACATAAATTGCAATTAGAATGAGTTGTGGGCATATTTATCATATAAAATGTTTGGAAATGGCAATCAAACAAACTTATTTTTGTCTTAATTGTTTAAATCACTTCCATACTTCTATTGTTCAATTTTAGGTTTAAGATTCGGAATAAATCAAAATAATATAAAATAAAGAATCCTTCAAATGGACTTTAAAAGATTTAGAAATAAGAAAAATATAATTATAACTTGAAATATCTAAACATGAAAAAATTGATAGGGATTATGCTAAAGTTATAGAGAATTTATGTGAAAAGATTAAAGAATTGATGAAAACATCAAAAGATTCAAAACAAGTTAATGAAATCCCTTAAAATCAATAAGATTTAAATATAGATATAATAATGCAAAACAATCCAAACTTTGATCATATATCGAATGAAATAATGTGCCTGAATTCATTATTTGAAGATGAAAACAGAGTTCCTCAAACATATGATAACGTATTCTACTTTGTAGATATTTGTTATCCATAGAATCATTGTTTAAATGCATTAGATTAAAATTTATAAAATCTAATAACAAAAAGAAAAAAATTGAATGAGAGATGGGAGCTTTTAGAGGAATAGATGCAGATGACTTTAGATCGATTAGTAGACAGGTATAAATGGAAATAGGAGTAATAAAATAAAAGGCTTGGAATCAGAAGAAAGCCACCTTAAACAGAAACTAAAAGTTTAAATGAAAGAATGAATAATTTTCTAGGATTTCCAAACAATATGAAATAATACTTTAACAAATTTTAATAGAAATAAAGTGATAGTTCTGATGAATATTCATAAACAGATAATTTTTTTTGATATTATCATATTATTTTTAATTAATTAAAAGAGACTCGTCATGATTCACCATTGCATAACTTTATAACTTTTAATCAATTAACTTATATATTTATGAATGCCTTTACTATATTCTTAATAAATGCATTTCACTAAAACAAATTGATTTATCTTAAGATTAAAATTCTTTTTGCGAATTTCATTTAATTCATTATGCAATATACAATGACATTATATGAAATCTCTCTTGCAATTACTTCATATTTTTAAGCTGTATATTTAAAACATGATCAGCAATGATTTTGAAGGTAAAGAACTGTTCATTAAATTGAGAGCAGTATTTTTCACTTACAATAAAAATTCTTTTCTAATTAGATGTTTAGTTATTGAGTAAACCTTCTATTACATTTAATCACCTATTTTTAAAAGTTGTTAATTGAGCAATTTGGTTTCAAAAGGAACTTAAGTAATAATAAATCAATAGGAATCGAGTAATAACATAAAGTGAGACCTCTACTATTTTGAAATGCTATTTTACATTAAATTAAATAAAAATATATAAAATGGAATACCCAGATGGGTACCTACTACGTAAGAATGTAACTAAGCAAGCTCTATTTTCTTGGGACCCTAAACGTACAAGTACTAAATTGAAATTGTGCCAAGACTAATTATAAGTGCTAGCTACAGATGGATCTGGATTTAAAAGTGCCATTGGTGATTAGGTATTAAGATTGCTACTTTAAGGAATTCACTCCAGGTTATAAATATTACTATGAGATTAAAATCTTGAAGGGTAGTTTAATTAAGCTTGGCGTATGCACCAAGAATGGGCTGTTCTAAGATGTAAACTCAATGCTCCACCTAAGCAAGCTTTCAGTGATAACGAAGAAGGATGGGCAATCTATAATGGTGAACTGAGACACAATTCTAATTCCACTGGCAATAAGTATGGCAAATAATACAAGAAGGGAGACATTATAGGAGTTATGCTTAATATGATTGATGTACAAACTAACTAATTCAATTTTAAAAGGGCTAGTTATCTTTTTCAATAAACGGAGAGAATCAGGGAATTGCCTTTGAATGCAAAGAGCTTAAAGAAGTTCCATTATATGCTGCCATAGCTCCAATTTATAAGGAAGATGGCATCGAATTGCTAATGGCAGTCAGGGAAGATTGATTCTTAATTAATTTAATCATTATTCAGGGAAATCACACCATAATCCTATTAGCAAATTTATTCTTTTTGCTTTTAAATACCAATCAAAATCTAAAATTTAAAAATATTTATAAGTTTTATAGAGAATCGCTTAGATTTAAAATACTGTGATAATTTAATTTCATCATACTTATGGATTATTATTGAGAAATGCTCAATTAAACTGATAAAGTATACCCTCATATTATACCATGTGAAATATATTTGATCATTTCCAATCCTTCTTTATTTTTTAAGTCAAGATTCATTTAAGATCTGTTTAAGAGTTCTTAGTTTATTTTGGTTTTGGAACTTAAATTAAATCGCTAAAGTCAGTTTTCTTATTTCTTAATTGTAGTGATGTGGTTTATTTTGTTTCTTAAAATTGCTATGGTTATTATTATTATTATATTAATTTGGTTGAAACTACTCATTTCATTTTATTATGAAATATTTCTTTGTATCTTAAAATGCGGGTATGATAAATTCAACTAAATACAACTCTCTTTTCCTATGGATATCAATTCAAATCATTTTAATAATTAATATTTCAATTCTAATAATAAATTAAAATATAATTTGAAATAAGTATATTCCCCCATTAGGTTCCATAATTTTAACCATTTGAATTGGTTTTGTTGCCATAATTGTAATATTTTGTTTTATTTATAATATATCTAATTAAACTATGAACATTTAATAAGATTAAGTTTATTATTAATACAGTTTCAACTTAGGTATGAAACTAGAGGTTTTATGAATATTTCGTTTCTATTTGAAAAACTAAAAATAAACCATTTAAAGAGCAACTTTTTTAATGGCTTGTAAACTCATTTAATAAATTAATGTTTCCAAATCTAAATCCATCATCTAAATCAAGAGGTATATGATAACCTAGTCGAGGACAGCCCGTTAGAGTTATATTCAAGAAGAGAAGGCTAGACAAATAGATCGAGAGAATCAATTGTTATTTCAAAAAATATTAGGCATTACAATGAAACAAAGAAACAGTTCAACAACTCCAACAAAAACAACATTAAATTATAAAACCAGAAAAGACTTTCAATAGAAGATAATGGATGAAAATTAGAAACTGTTCACTAGAATAAAATAACAAACATCGTATTACAAAATTTAGAAATCTTAAACAAAATCTTTATCTAAATAAAGAGCAAATTCATCTGTAAATATTTACAAATATATAAAATAGTATTTGCCAAGTAAGAAACTACAAGAATTATATTAGAGTAAATTAGAGTAGGGTGGATTAACTTATAAAATAAGAGTTATCATAGATGGACAGTATAGAAATTTAATTTTTTTAGATTATTTAAAATAATGGCAACGACAGAAGAACAATCTTATACAAGAGTGTTAGAAATGATGAAGAGTGATGGTAATATAGGGTGTAAATTTGAATAGGAATTCTATTGTTGAAGAATGTGTTTCATAATGATTTTCAAAAATTGATAGAGAGTTTATAAATTTCAGATAAGATTACAATCAAAGGGATATAATTAATAGAGACTCACGGTAAATTTGGTTGATAAATATATATACAAAAATCAATTTTGTTCATCACTATCAGTTTCCCATTCATCATCATTGTTTTCAGGTCCAGTGATTGGTCTGAAATATTCTCGTTCTCCTCTTTCGTGAAGTTCACCCTACATTTCCTCATACATTTATTCATATATTTGTTTTTCTAATTCGTCTTCCTCATTATGAGAATCATCATCCTCATTATGAGAATCCTCATCAACCCAAGACAATTGCTCATCTTAATGGAAATGCAGATTCCCTTATTCGTCCATAAAGCATTCTGTTTTTAATTGAATTTTCTTATTTTGCTCATATTCTACGTTTAGATCTGGATGAGAATCATCTTTATAAATGAGATCCGCCATGGTTCTATATGAAAAACTAGCAAGAATTTCTTAGGCTTGCTCCTTGGAGAGTTGATTATAGGGCTTTTTGAGATTAGTCGAAAGTTATGGTTTATCTCTTTTGAACCACTTGAACATTAAAATTATTTTAAGGCTAAGAATTATTAAAATTTTTATAATATGTAGGGATGCAATAGATCGTAAAAAATCGCCATCTGTACAGTTGGTTTGCCAGCTCGAGGAAAAACGTATATTTCTCGGAAATTGAATCGTTATTTTAATTGGTTGGGCTACAAGAGTAGAGTATTTATAAATGGGAATTACAGAAGAGAAATATGCGGTACGGAATGCAATTCACAATTTTTTGATCCCCACAATGAGACAGTACAATGAACAAAAATAAATATAGGCTTAAAAAGCAAGGAGTGATTGTGCAAAAATGGCATTACAAGATTTAATATAATTTCTTAAGAATGGAGGAGATGTAGGAATACTTGACGGAACAAACATCACAAGGGAAAGAAGACTCTAGATTGAGAGTGATTTGAAACAGTCTTTTAATGGAATTCAAACTCTGTGGATCGAATCCATATGTAATGATTCCAAAGTGATTTAAAATAATATCCGACTGACTAAAATCAACAACCCAGATTACTGCAATGTGAACTCTGATGAGGCTACAATAGATTTCCTGAATAGAATCAAGATGTACGAGCAAATCTATGAAACTATAACAGACGATGAGAATCTCTCATACATCAAGACTATTAACGTCGGAGCAGACGTACAAAACATGTTTCCATGCTTAGATTATAGTTCATTAAGTCTATGGCTTTCTGTTGTCCAAGATCGTATCCTTTATTATGAATCTCCACACCTATCCGAGACCAATCTACTTATCCAGACATGGAGAGAGCCAGTACAATGTTGATGATAGAGTAGGAGGGGATTCCGATTTATCTGAGTTAGGCGAGATGTATGCAGACAAGTTGGCAGATTTTTTCTTTAAAGAGTTCCCAACTAAAGAAACGAAAAATGAAATTATTTTCTTTACATCCACAATGCGAAGAGCTATTCATACATCTGATGTTGTGGCTAGTAAATTAGATATTTAACCATTGCAATTAAAGACATTAGATGAAATCAATGTAGGAATATGTGATGGAATGACATATACTGAAATTGCATAGAAATTTCCCAGTGATTTTTAAGTATTCATTTTATAATATTATCACTTATTAGGAAAGGAAAATCAATAAATTAGGTTATAGATATCCAAGAGGAGAATCATATTTAGATTTAATTAGCAGAATCGAACCAGTGATATTTGAGATTGAAAGATCTAGACAACCAGTTATGATAATAGCTCATTAAGCAATTTTAAGATGTTTATATGCTTACTTTCATCAAAATGAGATACCAGAAGTACCCACTCTGGATATACCATTGCATTGTGTAATAAAATTGACTCCGGCTGCCTACTTTTGCGATGAAAAAAGAGTGCTGATCAACCCTTAAACTGGGGAAATCTCAATTAAGGAAGAATATGTATAAGAATTTGTGAGATCAAAGAGCAAATAGAAGAGCTTTATTGATTTATGATTAGATTCATCAAATGTTAATGGAGTGATCATCATTCATAATAATATATTTTATTTATATATTATGTGAAAATAAATATTCGTTTTTCGATTTTTAGCACAAAATAATCCTCAGACGTATGTCAATAATAATTTACAATAAATGTTAAAACTAACTCTTTGTGTATTGTTGGTGCTTGGTGCAACAGCCATCAACGTCTAATCCTCCATCTGGACTAGTCGTGACTAAAAGGCTCTTGCTTAGATTCACTCATCTGGTTGGGGCAAGTTCATTTTGAATTATGCCGAACTCCACCATGTCAACCGGAGGTATTCTCTCTGAACTCAACAGCGAAATTGAAAAACTCGTAAACCCATATCACTAATAATTAAGGTTGGTGAATTAGAAGAGGAATTAGCTGGAGTCCATCACGAATATAACAGAAGAACTGACGTTCATAACAGAGAAGTAGCAAGACTTGAATAAGAAATCTAAGACAAGGAAAGAGGTTACCAATAGTTTCTGATCCCTTTTAGAACTCTTCCAACGCTCACGATTTCTATGATAATGTCCTCATCCCATAAAGAGATAGATTTGCTGCCTAACTTGAATAATTATAAGAAAACACTCGCCTAAAACAGAAGAACACTCCAAGAATCCACAGTCTAAAGAGAAAACGATCACGAGACCTTTGAAGCTTAAGTTGTCGAACACAACGATGCTATTGGTGCCATCGATGAATGCCTCTAATTATTGAGCACAATCGCTACCCCATCTCTTGCTTAAATCAAGAAGGTTTAAAAGAACCTCACCAAAATCCAAAACTCTTTGAAAAAGCACAACTAATTCCAAATCTTTGTCAAAGTCCTTTTGGAAATCACAGTCGAATCCAACTTCGCCGATCAAGGTGCTCTCAGAGACGTATTCTATTTTCTCATTCCTAGATTATTGTCGCCTTCAACAACTTGAGAGTTGAATTAGTTGATTCTCTCAACTAAATCACAGCCGATGAAGCTTAAGCTGTTACCGACTTCAACGCCCAAGTTGTCTAATTGAACTAAGAACACGCTGAATTCTAAAGAGCTGTCGTTGTTAAGAATGCTGAAATCGAAGCCAACGCAAGTACGATTAACATATCTAATCCATTTAGCCAAGATTGAATAAACCCTTGACCTCATCGATGAACTCGATGCTGATTTAGCAACCCTCAACGGATAATTATAAGCTGAAAACGATGACTTTGCCTTTGCCACCGATGTCTACAATTCAACCGTTGCAGAATACAACAAAGAAATCAATGCTGCCAACCAAGCCTTAGAATTGCTCACATTAACCAAGATTTTAAGATTATGTTAAATCATAACTCAAAGGAGCATGATCTATTCAATAATATCATTCAAAAGTTATCACCCATTCTAGCAAATTTTTATTTTTTCTATTCTCTTAGACTTACATAATCTCAAATGAATATCTTCCACTTGTAATCAAATTTTGGATTGACATCTCATTATCTTATTTTATCTATAAAAATTTCACAAAACTCTGATTTTTTAATCAGATGACTAATTTTTAGATTTTAGATATTACTTAATTTAGCATAGTACCAAATTAAGAAAGATGTTTGAAATATGTTGATTGATCAAACTCTTTAGCTATTAAAAACCTTCTCTATTTTGCAATTAATTTTATACATTATTTTTTATAGACCTAATTTATCATATCAGGAGAGTTACAATTTAGCAAAGTACAATTAGGGTCATTTATGCCTGTTAACGAAATAATCGAACAATTTAATAGCTTATATAACTCAATATGAGAGGTCCAAGAAAATCCAAATATATTCCATAGTTATTAATATTCGAGTATTGCAGCAATTTGATTGTGATCATTCTGATAAGCTAAATCGACTAATTTATCATTTCTAAATAAAGATGATCTTTTTGATTAAATAAATCCTGTGAAAATAAGCATTTTTACTTTACTACCAGAAAATAGGATCTTAAGACTATATAAACATTGGTTACCTTTGGATTAGATTTCTAAATTTAAAGTACATCGTGAATTAGAATTACGATATCCTTATTGAAAAATTGTTTATAGCAAACAACATTTTTTATTACTGATAAAAATAGGGACTGTATACACTAGTAATAGACTTAAAAAATTATAAAAATGGTGCAATTCAAGCGAATTCAGTAATTAACATTAGATTTGTTAATTCTAATCTGAAAATAGTAAATATCTTGCTACTTCTGGACCTAAATCTAGATAGCTTTAAATAAGAATCTTTAAAAATTTATGAATAAATTGTATTGTTTATTTTCTATCCATAAATTTTATTTTATGTCCAAGCATAGCCGTTTTATATAATAGTTATGTGGAGTAAGACTAATGTTTGTATTGATATAATTTATTAATTAAATTTGAAAGGATATGAATATATGTCTTCATATATATGTGTTGTAAGGTGAAAGTATCTAATCCCAAGATTGAATTAATAATTTGTTTAAGATTACAGCAGTTATTACTCTTGTTCATTTATTATTTTAATTCCTAATTATAAATTTTAATAAATTTTTCGTTTAATTTTGAAGTATTTTGTTATTATATAAAATAATAATTTGTTATCAAGATGGACACAGAAGAAGAATGTTTCTCTGGAGATGAAATAGATCAATTTAATTGTCCTAAACATTCATTAATTTATACTAGTATCTTTAATTTTTAATTAATTAGATTACTGTACAACTACATAATAATTGCTGTGCCAAGAATGTATGATCAAATGCAGTTTGAAAGTATAAAACATTATTTCAATAGAAAAAGTAAGATTCTTAATAGAAATTAGGCTTTGAATAACATTAGCTAATAAAATAAATAATAATTGTAGAAAGTTCAAAAAATCATTAAGAATTTTAATACTTTAGATGATCAAATTCAAAAAGAAAATATTTAAATAAATAAAATGTCTCAACTCCAAATTTAATCATTAAGTTCAATTTGTACCTAAATTGTTGAGATTGTATAATTGAAATTTCAACAACTGATTGAATAAGTTGAAGTCCATAAAATTAAGCATTAATAGACTTTACAGGATTCCAAAGTACACCTAATTATTATTTTTAAAGTGCATAATTGATGAATATAGGGGAAGAGGAACCCAATTGGAGAAGAATATTGTAAATTAGTAGAACACCTCTGGTTTTGAACAATTGAAAAAGTTTCGAGAATATTACACTATAAATTGTAAGACAATCAAAGAACTTGAAAACGAATATGATAATTTATCACAAGCACCTAAAATTTAATACTAGTAATTGTAGATCAGAAATGCAAATGACATTGTTAAACAAATCTCTAATCTATTATGTATTTTAGAAAGAGACTCAGACTATAGAATTAAAAGAGTATCATCTAAATTGTTTTAATAACCAAACACTACAAGGGCAAGTCCATTTTCCAAAAAGGGGTTTACTTAACATAGCTAACCTCATTTTAGTTTATAATCATCAAAGCACCAAATACGAAAGACAGAAGTCAAACAAATAACTTTAGATATACCAACAGATATAAGTTCAATTTTAGACAAAGCATCACCTGAACAATCAATTATTAATGATTTCTTTAGTAATAAGTAATCATTAAGTGAGCATTCAATTTCAAAGATGGAGATACCTATTTAAAATCAAACTCAATTTTATATTATCGGAGGGTTATTGAAGGGTCAAAGATAAAATCTTATTGAATTATTTGATATTTAATCAAAGTAATCTAGTTAACATGACTTTTTGGTATCGAACCGCTATGGATTTTAAATAGCATATCATGGAAATCAAATTCTATTGATAGGAGGGAAATAAGAAGGTATTAGAACAGCTTTATGTGAATCGTATGATCCAAATTTAAAACAATCCAAGATCTCTTAATTGATACTGACCAAAGGAGTTAGTGGGTTGGCATCAAAATAAATAGGAAATAAGTTATACATTTCAGGAGGGAAAACAGATTCAGGGATTTAAGACATTTTTTAACTTATCAATTTAGATACGTATTAAACCAAAAACTTATAGTCTGTTCCTATTAAATGTTATAATCATACATTAGTTTAAGGCAATGAACCAAATACTTTGTATTTATTTGATGAACAAGGATGTTTCAAATACGATATTACAACTAATCAATGGAAAAAAATCAAATCTCCTAATTAACCAAGAAGAAACCATGTTTCTTTGACTCTACCTGATGGTATTTGGATTTTTGGAGGAAGATCTGGCAAAAAATACATTAAATAAATTGAGAAATATGATGAAACTGATGAATAATTTTACTAAATGGGTGAATTGGTCTGTCCTACAATTAAATTTGATGCAATAGTTAGTGATGACTATTAGTTTGTGTATTTAGTTGGAGGAAAGACATAGGAAAATATTCCTAGTTCAAATATTTGGAAGTATTTATAATTTATATATAAATCTCATTAGGTATTCCATATTGACAAATTAATGTTTACTTCACAGTTAATTCACAAAGCCAAGATATTCTCATAAATTGATACCCAAGAAAGGTTGACTTTAATTAATAATGTTTATTTAACTATGATAACTTTCAATTCTAATAAATAGACATTAATGTTACTTTAAAAATCTTTTTAGTAAGTAAATTAAGATATCAAGCTATTGTTGTATTTATTTTTTTTGAAACTCTTTTTTCTTATTATTGCTTCAGATTCATAAATATTAAAAAGTCTATCAGCATTAATTTGCTAACATTTCAACTTTCTTTAATTGAAAATTTATAATCTCTTGACTTATAATATTTCTTTTATATGTTTTCTCAATATTGTTATTCATTTAAAAATCGATTCACAATTCTGAGTTCTAAATACAATTCAATAATTTACATTAAATAAGCAACTATAACTAAATTATTTTAAAATTAAAAGTTATGAGCAAACCATCGCATAGTCCAAATGAATTGATTGAATTTGAAAACCACAATCGAAATTCCTCCTTCGGAAAGAGTAAAATCATTATTTGAATGTAGAGTTATTGTCAACGGTTCCAAATGTTCCTGCCTTTGGCTTTGGAACTTCTAGTAGACATTAGGCATAACAAGTATACAGAGAAAATAGACTGATGGAGAAAGGTAAGCATAGCCCAGGTCCAATCTATAATCCCACAAAAAATTTTGATTAATAAGCAGCTAGAGCTCCTAGTGCAGGAATGGGAACATCTACAAGATAGAGTTTAAACTCAAATCATTATGATCATTATAAAAGAAAAGATGTCGATGTATTGTTATTTATAATCAGTAGTTTGAACCTTAAAAAGCTGAGCATCTTAGAAAATGGTCTGCAGGAACAGTTAGAATTGGGTAAGAACAGCGATTCCTATAGAAAGAACTGACAAAGACCCCAGGCCCCAATTATGATGTAAACTAGAGAATTCAAGGCCCTAAATATACTATGGGTAATAGAAGAGCTCATTCTGTTTCTTTTTCGACTCCAAGTAAGGTTGGACCTGGAACTTACAAACCAAAAAAAGATTTTTCAACAGAATTGCAAGAACAACCTAAATATTCATTTACTAAAGCTCCAAAAATACCTTAACAAAAGAATATAGATAAAAATTAGACATATTACGTGCAGTATAAATGTATTCTATGAATTTAGAGACAGTATTGGAGCTCAAGTGGCATCTACTAAACCAAATAAACCATCTTTTAGTTTTGGCAAAGGAATTAGAGAAGCTAAATTAGCTATGTACAAAAACGATTTTGTAAAGATTGGGGTTAATATAAAGATCCCACATCCAAAGTTTTGAATTAAAATTGTTTCACAATAATTTTATCAGAATTTCAGCATCTTTAAATCTTTAAAGCATATTCGAACTTTGTAAGACTATCACAATCGCATCGAAGTCATCAGTTTTATAATAACCACTGAAACATGGACCAGCATTTGATGTTATTCCAGTTTTTATGCCCTCCCATCCTTCTTTTTTCAATAACTTATTTGTGTTTTTCCATTTATAATAAGTTCCCTAATTGCCTTATTCAGTTACTGCATAAGTCTTAAAACATCTTGTGTTTACAATTTCCATGAATTCTTTAATTTTGATGCATTCCTCAACTAATTTAAAGATGTCCAATGCACAGGAGACGTTTAATGTGTCATTTAATCCATGAACTGAATTATAATTAGTTTTATCCATTTTTAAATTTTCAGCATGATTATTCATCATCTATAAGAATTAAGTTCTTAATTAAAATTTATTTTTTTCTATTTCTAGTTCACAATCAATATAATGTCCATTGCAATATCTTTGAATGCTATCACAAGTTTTTAAGAAAGCTATTGCATAACTTAATACCAATGCTGCATCATTTCCAGATGGTAACATCATTGCAAATAGTAACTACCTTACATTCATAATTCCTCCTGCATTTAAGAAGGCACTCGTACCATCTATGCATTCAGCATGTCCAGGTATCTTTATTCTTATTGATTCCATATCAATTCGTTTTTCTTCTAAAAATTTTAGTGTTGTGTAGCAAGTCATCACTTTTGTAATTGATGCCACCTCACTTTTTTATTGATCTTAATATGCATATATCTTTTTAAATATTGTTTCCCCTTTATTTCTTTTGAAAATCGCCCATTTTTTAGAGCTAACCTTGTGTTTTATTTTAGAACTGACTGGTATTGAAATTGACAGGACATCCGTTTTACTTCCTTAACTAACTATGCTCTTTTGACTCATTATACTCAAGGCTGTAGAAACTGGCTTTTTTGGCTGTTATTCTTTTCTTACAAAATACTCTTATATTAAGTCATTAGATACTTGTTACTTCTCTCTACTAAATTTCTGCATATTTTTTTATTCTATCCCTCATGACTTAACCAGGTAATATTGGAAAACTATTTATTTATAAGGTTTGAATTTGTTTTTTCTTTTTCTCTTCTTATGCATATCGTTACAAAGCTTCCAAATAAGTTTCAATGTAAGTGTAGTCTGAATGATTTTCACTTCTTTTCTAATAATTGTATAATTCTTACTCTTTATTACATACTCTCGTTTATGTAGTATCTTAAAGGAGTCTGCAATGGTTTATTATTATGAAGCTTAGGTGTAGCGCTTTTAAGACTCCTACCTTTTAATTCAGGAAGGGCCATTTAGGAATCATCGGAAGTAGACTGAGCACTTTTGCGATGAAATTTCTATAATGATACTGATAATCCTTCCTTTGGATTCATATAATTTTTTTTATTATATTTCTGTAATATAAGTTTTATTTAAATACATAATAATAGATAGCATGTTTATATCAAATTGGCTTTAAATACTTGTTATTATAGGAAATTTAAGTCAGATGACACACTTCGATTTTTATGTATAGAAAAAAATAAGTTTATTTAACGTATGTTAAATCTTTTTCAAGATATCATAAATAAAGTTTATTTTTGTGAAAATTCTATTCAAAATTCTATTCAAATTCTCCTTATTATTTTTAGCTAATATTCCATACTTCCCATATTGATTAAGGAATATTTAATCAAAGCGCTAAATTTCAATAATTTATCAGAATATATCAAAAAGGAAATAATTTTTATGATAAACACACACTCCCTGCTGTTTCAATAATATTCACTCAAAATTTATTTAGGAATGCTTAAGGTTCATTATTAATATAAAAGATTATTAAGGATTAATTCAAGATATATTAATCGTTTCTTTTATTTAAAGTAGAATTTCTGTCGATTTTTAATTAATATTTATGATTAAATAGGCTTTAATATTAAAAAATAAATGGAGTGCAAAATAGTAGTAGAAATGAGCTTATCAATTTATGCTAAATTAAAATTATTTTAAACTTATTAATTAAACTTTGGTCGATAACCCTTTTATTTCAATTTTTATTGCTTTAAAATTTGTCACAAAATGTAGTTGTCCTTTTTGTTAAATTTAGGATCATTATAGAAATTTGATAAATTTTGATTATGAAAAATATGAAGTATTTGCAAAAAATAAATTAAATATTATCTATGAAATATAACACGCAAATAAAGGATCAGGATATATTAAAAAAGAGACAAAACAAGATTGTCGCCTTTTCATTTATTTCAATAAAATTCCACAATGGTAAAATTGTTAATTTTTCACAATAAATGTATATATAAATCTGAATACTAAGCTATTTTTATAAAAATCATAAAAAAATTCATAAATTTTATTATAATTATATTACAATAATTAGGTTGATTTAAAAGTATAGCATCTCTATACTCATTAATATTAATGGTAATTTAAACTTTCTTTCATTTTCCAATTTTTCAACATAAGAATTATTTAATTTATAATTCAAATATTATGAATACTTAGGTTTTTCAATATAATCACGGCCTTCCAATAACTTATTTAATGATATTTTAAATCTACCCTTGTTAATATAAAAATAACATAGCCATAATTTTATATTCTTTCGATTTGTGATAAAATTATCTTATAACAAAATATTTGCTTGATGAATAAAGCTACTATATTTTGATTAAAGTTAGATTTATTTAATATCTCAATACATATATAAATTAAATTAGCAGAATGTTCAAATTATTTGAACCTTATTATAAAGGATTGATTTTCTTGCTCTCATAATTTTTATAACTTGAATTCACTTAACCTTAGATATTTTAACTCGTCCTCATAATATTAAACTAGCTATAACCTATTGCCTTTAAATTTTACCCTATTTATAACTCAGGGAAATAATTTGAGCCCACCCTTTAATCGCTTCTTATATCATCAAGACCATACTTATTCTTACTCAGTGAACAGTCGAATACAATAGTAGTCTGTTTTTGCTTTGCATTTTAATAGATGGTTATAACATTCACACTTTACCTAATTTTAAAATCGAGAAATAAATAATTTCATGAAATAAGAGTGTCTAATTTAATCCTTTAATACATATGTCTTTATTATTACATGGTCTCATCCACATTCTATTGCTGGTTATTAGAGATATGTATGTTGAGAGTAACATAACTATATGGTATAGTTATTGGAACCATAATGATAATTGAAATTGGAGCAATTATAATAATCTCAGATATTGTATATTAAAGTGGATTAATTTTAAGAGTTTCTACGCAACTACCCTTAAATAATAATACGGCAAACTACTTCATAAAACCATTAAGAATATTTCAGATAATAATTTTTTTCTTTTTTACTCATTACAAATTGAGTATGCTTTTCTAAAACATTCTCAATATTATCATATAATCTTTGCATATTTACTAGATTTTAGAATTAAAGATATATGCAAAAGAGAAATGTGCATTAACTTCTCTTGTTTTTGCATCTATTGGAATTGCCATTTCAATGGAATCTCTTATAATGTAGACCAGAATTAGCTATAATTTATGGCTATTGGTATCTCTTATAATGATATACTTACTATAGTATATATATAATAGATAATTGCTAACATTATAAACTTTGGATGTAAGAAAATTGAAGTATCTTTATTCATATGTCGAAAGCCTTGATGGGAATGTTCAGTAAAATATATTAAAAATGACTCTGATAGTATTTGAACACTAATAGAATTGTTTGAAGAATCAGTGTATTTGCAAAAAGGATATGAACATTAAGTAGAAAATATTCTAACTTATTGAAATGAAGTTTGAGTTATTTTTAGAATAGAGAACCAAAAATATCTAACAACTTATACTTGACTTAGCCTAAATATTATTCAGAAGAAGGCAATTTGTAAAGGCATAATAAGTGATCTTTAAGGTTTTCCAATCCAAAGATTATTATCAAAATAAATACAACTCATTCAATATATCTTTGACCACTCTTTGCCTTTTAGATTTTTTAAAATATTAGATTTAGAATGATGTTCTAATCTAGATGATGGAAAGAATGATCCTCACTAATCCAAATAATAAATTAATTGCTGATTCCTTAAAATAATTCTCTATAAATGAAAACAGTGATCAATATATATAGATGAAATTAAAAAAGACAATCTTAGATAAAAGTTAATTTTATTACAATTTCATTGAGCATTCAAATAAGTTATAAGGAGATATAAATTATCCAATCAAAATTATTAGACAATTATAATAATTTCGAAATGAATTAACCGAGAGATATTAGCAATTTCCAAGTATTTATTATAATGTTCTATATAGCTTCTAGCAATCAAAATGTATTAAAATTTTATCTATTAGAAGTCCTAAATAACTACATCGAAGCTTTTGATCTAAATAAAAATAAAGCACTCAATGACGAAAAATATTAAATGTTTCATGATTCTGTCTATAATAAACTATTTGGGTAGAATCCATCGTATATAGTTGCTGAAATTAACAAAGATCTTGATATAGTAATTATGAGGCACTCGAAAAAGGCAATGAACAAATTTCAATCGCTTTATGGATCTAAAAAGAAAAACATTCTCGACATTTCTGTGAATGATATAATACCAGAATATGTGTACAAATAGCATAGAACACTGATTGAGCAGTTCTTCGATGAAGGAACTAATAAGTATTATTAACAATAGAATCTATCATTTGTAAAAGTGTGTGATAAGATTATGCTACCAATAGAAATGATGGTTGGTCTAGATTAAAGCAGTTCTTAGGCTTTTTCATTTCTGGTATTTTTCTATGAATAGATGGATTATAGATCGTATTTAGTAGTGAATCAATCCTTTGATATTATCAATTGCAGTGAAAATATTAGTAACCAAATTTTAGGGAATAGTTAATATTCCCCAGGATTCACTTTTACAAAAGCCCTCGGAACTATATTTAATATCATACCAGACTTTGATTCTATGATTTAATCCAATGAAAAGAATTTCTTTAATCAAAATATACGACTCTTGAGTTCGAATGCAAAATCAACTTCTCAAAGATATCTAGATTATATCTGTAATATCATAATAGAGAGGAAATTTAAAAATGAAAATATGTGTTTCATGATTACTTTAGATAATATTAGAACAAATAATAATAATAGAAATTGCAGTGATTCTAGACTAGAAACCAGTATATTTTAGAGGTAATAAACTCAGGATTAACTCTTAATTTAAAAACTTGAGAGAATGAAAGAAGATATAGAAGAGGATATTGATAAAGTCTTCCCATATCAGGATATTTTTGATATATCTTTAATTAAAAAAGCTAATCCTCTAAATTAAAGTGAAACTCATCATGTGGACTCCAAAATCTATATGACTGATCTATTGGTTGATCAGGAACAAACTAATCCTGTGTAATAATAATTTTAGGCCAATAACAATAACAAATTATTTAGCCCCAAAGAATCTATGTATTAGGAATTTATAAATAAGAAAAATTTTACATTCTAGAATGAGATCAGAGATTTTGCATCTGGTTCTTCAGTAACAATGATTAAAAAGTCAAAATTTTACAAAAAATTTGAAATTATTTATTCACTTTGCAAATCCTTGAAAAGTTCCTCAAAATTAATGAAAGCAAATTACAACTTTGTACTCTTCATTCTCCTAATTATAGTTTATATAATAATTGTAAGTATATTATTTAACCTAGAACTTATCACTGATATCTAATATTCGTAGTTTTATATCTGATATTAAATTGCTTTCAGTAAGATACGATGTAACAGGTCCTTTGGAGTCCTTCTCAGTCTCAAGGTTTACTTAAATAAACTATAGAGAAATGCTTAGTAGGAAAGTGATTAACTCTTCCTATGCAACTTAATTATAAATATTTCCCAAAAAAAATTTGATGTAGTCATTTGATAAAATGAAGAAAAGTATGGGGAATGTACTACTAAGAAGTGAAATTGATTAGATTTCAAATATCACTTATATGCCTATTATGTTGTATGTAAATACTAATAATACTGGACAAGAGTATAATGTAAGCAAACGATCAGTGATAATAATGACTTTGAATTATTAGTATGAATTCAAATTACGCTTAGATGGACTTGGAGGAGGTTTTGACAATCCTTATTATTATTTTACTTATAAGGATTATCAAATAGTAAAGTCTATGTTTGATAATTTGAATGTGGTTATTTTGGATATTACTTTAGAGAGATCAAATTAAGAAAAGTAGAAATGGATGTTTGGATATTTTCCATTTTTGGCGTTAAATTTTTTGATAACTTCAATCATAATTTTATAGGTAGTTCGACATAACAATGAAAGGAATGCAATTATGATATATATATCTTCAATAGATTTAAATGTTATTGAATAAGAGAAATTTAGATTAAATTATCTATCATAAATAGTAGTTTAAGATATGGATATAGTAAAAGGATTCTCGATTGATATCGATTAAGTGGATAAATAATTAGAAAAATCAAATATTAAGCAAAAGACATTTTTTTCGAAAAAATCAAATTCAAAACTTATTAATAATAAACCAATTCTAGGACTCACTCTTAGTATTGGACATTTTCTGCTGTTTGCAGCATTTAGCATTTACTTATTTTTAACATTCAGAACATATTTCATAAAGTATGCAAACACAGCAGTGTTTTATTAGTAAATCTCAGATTTAGGTGTTGATATACCAGCTATATATGCACAAAAAGAAATATTATTTCGAGTTAGCTTTAGATATCCTTTTCTCAACTCAACTGATGTGGATTAAACCTATGCAGTTATTTTTAATGCCATGAATTCAGTTAAGAAGTATTAGCAACAAAATCTTGATTTACGTAATAAAGATTATTTGTTTGATGAGTATTTACTTGACTTTTTCACAACTATAAACACTGGAAATTTATGTGAGTTTTAGAGCGATGAATTAAAATAGGAAACATAATCATTTTGTTCTTAAGTAATGCAGGGAAATTTAGTTCAAGGTTTCTCATAAACATTAATTTATATATTGAATTCTGTTGGGGTTCAATAATCAGATACTTTAAATTTTACTGTTCAACCCGCATCCACATTATTGGAGTTAGAAGGGTCAACGATTTTGACAGACATTATTGAACTTATGATAAATTAATTTTATAACAATATCGTGAATTCAACCTAAAATTTAATCTTAGATTAAGAGGTAAATTTGTAATTAACTATTTTAGTTGTTTTGTATTTTCTACTTGGTGTTTGAAATCCTGCTGGCTGTTTTCTACTTTGCTAAAGTTGACAAGCACAATCATTAGCAATTTTTATACTTGAAATAAAGTGTGTATTTGTTCCCTCGTCACACATTAATTTTTGATGATTCCTTCTATAGGAATTTTAGAAGTATAGTGAACGAAGAAAATTTATTGGATTGAGTGGATTTGATATTTTAATTATTTATTGTTGTTTAATAAATTCAATGTAAAAATTAATTTTTATTATAAAAAATAGATAAGGATCACTTTAAAATGTTAAATGGGAAGATTAATGTCTAAATGAATCATAATTATTTCGTTGACTTAATTACAAAGGCTAATCAAACTGTGAGATCATTGAATTCAAAATTCCAAAAGAAACAAATGAGAGATAAAATGGACAAGGAGTACTTTAACGTTTTGAATGGCAAAATCAACTTCCAAATTAATGATAAAGAATACATAGATTTGATTGCAACAAAAGCTAATTACACTGTCAGACCATTAACATTAAGGTTGAGAATGCAGTAGATGAAAGCAAAAATGGATGAGGAAATTAATGTAAGACATACACATTCATAAGTAGATTTCCAAATTGAAACACGAGAACATCTAATAATAATAAAATTTAGATGACTACTATAAAAATATATTCTTTTTGCACAAAAAGCGAAAAAACAAATTCATCAATAAAACAATGGTAAATCAAGGAGAAACAAGAAGTCCTCTAACTTAAAGGAACTTTACTCAATCTTCCCCTTAGAGATAAACATAATAGTTCAATAAAACCATGTTGCCTTCTTCCCCGCTGATTCAATCAAATAAGATTAAGGTACAACAATATCAAGATTACCTCAAACTCAATCATTAAATCAGTTAACATTAGGGATAATTAAATGTATAGATCTTGAATCTCTTGGAATAAAAAGTGTAAGCAATTAGTTAAATTAGTCACATAGCCAAATCGCTGAAATAGTCATGCACTAAGTCTGGAGTCGATTCCTATGAGCAAGCATTAAAAACAATCCAAGTCCTCAAACAAAATATAAATTAATAGGTCATAAAGGAATGTAATTCCATTTATGAAGAAAAATAGAACCATAAGTTGAACATTCTTGAAAAAACTTATACTGTAAAATGCATTATTAATTCAAGTATTTTTTAAGGGTTATGGACGTAATTTAATAGATGGATGATTAAATATACTAATATATGTTGAACTATAAATCCAAAAACCCAGTGCATGATCACAACTCTATTCTTGAAGATATAAATTAGATGAGAGATGATGCATATAACGAAAAAGTTCGAACTTTCAGTAAATATCACGATATAGATCAGGAAAAGAAAAGGGATAGATAGAAACTCAACAAAGTTAAGGCATATTTTTGAGTTATTAATTTTTATTAAAGTAACTTCAATTAATATAAATTTAACCCAATAAAATCAGGGTTAAATTATCATTAAATTCTTAATAGTTCGAACATTAAGTATGTTTTAATAAAAAAAGGATGATTAATCTAAAGTGATGCTTTAAAGGTTCAATTATAATACTAAACTAACGATATTCAAAGATTCGTAACTCTATTTTTTTATTAGATTTATTAGAGCTCCTTAGAATAAAAGGCTGAACTTCTTCAATGCTTAATAAGTATTTTTAAAAGCAATATTATTCAATTTAGAGAAAAGAATAATTATAATATATAAGATAAATTAGCTTTTCTAAGATATTTAAAAATGAATAATGCAAGACTGTTAAAATATAACAATTATGTATGTTCGAATATTTAGAATGAAATTCACAACTAATTTAAGCAAACAACAAATATAGTTTAAGATTAATGCTCTCATTTCTTAATTCAAGTTAATTGGAGGAGAGACAGTAAAATTAATAACGGAAAAGATACAAACCTGTAATTTTAATGTAAATCTTTTACAAAATGAAAACAACATATTTAACAATCAAAAAATGATAATTAATTAATAATAATTTAACGAATACAATAATATGCAAATATAAGTTCCAAAAGATGTTGTCAAACTTTAATATGATTTCTAAAATTTACTAAACAAATATCATGGATTAGAATAGTTGTATATGAAGTAGTCAAATGAAATATTGCAATTAAAGAAATAAAATGAAAATCTAAGATGTAATGTTGAGAATTATGAATGTTAAAAATGCAAAAAGTACCAGAACTAAATAGAGGAAATAAGAGAGGAAGCAAAATAAAAAATAAGTACAATAAATAGCTTAGAGAATTAATTGAAAGAAAAATAAATTAAGAAAGATGAAATCTAAGCATAGGCATAAATTGAGTTACAGAATAAAGTTATATACTTTGAAAGTTTAAATAAAGAAGTATTAGAAAGATTGGATAGAGTAACTAAGGACAATTAACTATTCGATATCTTATTGAGGGAGAGGGATCAAAGAATAGAATCTCTGAGTGAAGTTATTCAACAATAAGAGCTTCAGATCTAACAGGATGCAGAAAATGATAATGCCTGGAAGGAGAAGTTTATAAAAATCAATAAAGATTATCATAAATTACTACTAGAATATAACTCAACAAAAGCTGATTTAGAAGCTTTATATGTCAGTTAAAGAAGATGAAGTGATTTCGAATGAGTTAAATTATTTACTCCATCAATATTAATTTATATTTAAATACTTATATAATTTAAATCAAAACTTTCAAAAGTTTATACTTCATTAATTGCACCATAAATTAATCTATGGTAACCAAAGAATGTGTAAATCAGAAATTGATAATTAGACTACTCAATTTATTTATTCTCCAAATATACAATAAACAGTTAATAGCCCATAATCAATAAATATATAAATTATAATTTTATGCAAAATACTAGCCGGCCTTCCCCCCATTATACGAAATCTTCTCTAGTTAAGTATGAGCATTATGATTTAGACAATCTATTCACCAATAAGTATAACCGTAAAAGAGTTCATTTACACGATGGCTGCAAAGATTATTTTGCATCAGAGATAAAAATGAATAATAATATATGACAAATATGATGGAAGTATCCAACTTTGATGAAAGTCAATAACCAACATTGAAGATCATTACAAAGTTTAGTTAATATGATGAATATTTTTCAATTTAAGATCCAATTAGAATAATATAAGGAAGTGATGTACTTTGAATATTAATAAGTAGTCATAATATCCATTCGTAGTGAAATTTAATGAAAAGAAATTGCTCGACATTGATGACTTATATAATCAATCACTTCCCCCATTGACTGGATAGGTGGTTCTATTAATCACACAAAATCCACCTTTAGAGCTAATTCACTTTATAGAAACTCAAGCATCTCAGTTCATCATTTATTTATAAACTCCAAACCTTGAGATTCAAGAATACATTTCAAATTCTTCAACTACAAAATAGCATTCTAAGCCTGAAATAATTATTGGAAAGGTTATTGTATTAAATTAGTGTAGTTTTCTTTCAAAAAGAGTTTATCATTAATCGATCAATACATTTTTATGCCAGATTACTCCCACGAAGGTAAATAGCAAGTTGTGGAATGCATTTCCTTGTTATTAAGATTGATACCACACGAAATTGATAAATTCACATTTCTCATTAAATTGTAAGGCAACCCAATTTAAGATATTTTTTCAATGGGATCTAGAATGAATGAAGCATTTATATAGAGGTATGAGAGTTAATTTTGGATCAATAAGATTCTGAGATAATGTTAAAATAGAAATGGAATAGTATTAAAATAGAGAGATCAGAAAAAGACAGGTTTTGAAAAGTCACAATACATGATGTTGAGCAATAGTATTAATTCAAACAAGGGGTTCAATTTAACCGTTGAAAATACCGAGTTTATAATAAATTTAACAAAGTATCAACAAGGGAGTGGGATTATCCATGTATTTTAGTGTAAGATTTTTCAAAAGGGAGTGGAAGGCAGGACTAATAATCATTACGATTAAGCAAAATTATTCTGCTCTTTAATATTCTTAATTAAGGAGTTGAAGGGGTTTAGTCAATATGACTAGGAGGATTTTATCAACTTAATGAAAATAACTTAGTAGTCTTCTTTCTTATCATGTTGCTTCTGCATTAATTTGATGAAACAAGAAGACTTGAAAGAATTAAGTTAGATTAAGATGCATTACAAGAGATACTTGGAAATTCTGATTTGTTGTGGAATCATAACAAATGAACAAGATAGTTACGTATTGTAATCCATTTTCAATAAATGTTTGAATTGTCCAATCTATGATGTTTCTATACCGAAAAGTGAACACTTGGGCTCTGGAGACAACTTCTCATAGCATATAATCTAGGCGGAGGAAGCAGGAGAAAAAATATATTCAGTGGATTACGATTATGCATTATCTTAGAAATCTTATCAAATAGTTCTTGGACTTTAGTAGGATTTGAATTATAGTGAATTGTAAATTGAACCACAAAAACGATTCCCTTATTAGGCTACAACATCTATATAAAATTCGTTCATTGAATGAAAATTATATCTGTATATTTTATGGGATTTGCTATAAACTCAATATATATTATGAGTATTATGGTTTAATTTTTAAATAAAAAAATAACAAAGATTTTAATTAATGAAGGGTTAAGCTGATTAAAAGAAGGAAGCAACAAAAACAGTCAAGAAAGTTAAGACAACCAACAAAAGCGCACCAGTGAGGTAGAGTTGAAATACTAAATGTAGATTATGGGTGAAGGCTGCATTCACAGGTTTCAGAAGATCAAAGGTTTAATAAAATGAGAATTAAGCATTGCTCAAAATTCAACATGTGGAAGATGTTGCTTCAAGCAGATTCTATTGGGGAAAGAGAGTTGCATACATTTATAAGGCCCATTCACTTAAGAACAACACAAAATTCAGAGTATGAAATTGATTTAATTCAGACTATTTGGGGTCGTATTAGTAGATCACATGGATCAAACGGAGTTGTGATTGCTCGTTTTGGCAGAAATCTCCCACCAAGAGCTATTGGATCAACCCTTAGAGTATTCCTCTATCCCAACAGAGCTTGAAAATACACACATACACAATACAAAATAATACATTAATCAATTTTAATTATTTCAATATATATATATATAAATTAAATAAGCCAAGAACCCAAAGGCTTCTAATTAATATTAAAAACATTCTGAATTTTTTACATTAATTTTAATCCTTATTAATAATCAAGAGTTTGAAATATAATATTATGAATATTTTCTTATTATTTTTTTATGGGGCCATTCCACATGTGTAATCAAATGATACTCTAATAAATGTCTAAGCTATTTGGAGACATGGAGCAAGAGACTTCTATTATTGCAATTGGGGATGTGATAAAAATAATATTCCTGATGGTGATGCCTAAATTCTTACTCCTGCAGGCATGAGACAATAATATGTTTTGGGAAAATGGCTAAGATAAAGATACATAATTGATACTCAACTTCTGTCTCCCTAGTTTAATGAGAATGAAATTTATATAGAAAGCACAGACTACAATAGGTACAAAATATATCAATTTGAGAACCATTATGAGTGCATATAGCAACTTATAAGGAATGTATCCAGAAGGCTCTGAACTTCCAAATGTAACAGAAGATAAGTTGTTGCCTCCTAATTCTGGTAGTAAATCTCCTTCTATAGGAAATTATGCTCTACCCAATAAAATTTAACTCATACCAATTCATACAAAAGAAGAGGAATAAGACTATGCCTTATCAATTTATTGTTAAACTACAGGATCAACAGTCAAATAAAACAAATAAACCGAGCTATATCAGGCAATAAACTCTGCAAATTAAACTTAGGAATTATTCCAAAAGTTTAATGCAGAATTAGGTCTTGTTGGAGAGTAATAAGTAAATGATATAATTGAATTGGCTAAATGGAGAGACACTTTTACATGCAATAGATATAATGGTGACTAGTTGCCTCCAAAATTAACAGCAAAAACATTGTTTTTTATGGACGAGATTGCATTACTATCCTTTAGTTTGAGATAGTTTTAAAATTGGGAACAATCGAAATTGTATTCGACCCCATATCTAAAATAAGTTATCGAAAACTTTGATAATTTTATTAATGGGAAATCCAAAGTTAGATACAGAGGCTCTTCCTCTCATGATTCTACGATGCTAGGTATTATTTCCTGGTTTAAATTTGACAAGCGCTTAATGTTAAGCTGATATTTATTTAAAATAAGAATAATCAGACATCTTCTGTTTAACTGAGGTATCTTAATTAATATTTTAGAATATAGAATTCTCATCTAATCTAATAATAGAGCTGTACAACAATACCATAAATGGATTATTTATTAGAATACTTTATAACGGGGAATATGTACCAGTGTGTTCTAAGTCAGGAACCTTTTGCTAATATGATAAATTTAAATCAATCCTCACTTAGCAATTTGTGGATTATGAAAAAGAATGCAATTTGAAGAAGGAGATTTAGAGACCAGTAAGAATACATAATAGAATTTATAAGGTCATTTACAAGATTCCTCTTTGGGTCATACTATTTTTTGTATTAGTGTTACTATGTACTTGCGGGATTTTTCTCTTGGTTTTCAAGGTAAAGCAAATGAAAGATCCAGATGTTTCGGAATCTACTATTTCCTAATGATTGTCAAATATTTTATTTGTTATAACAATATTATAATAATTAACTTATTTAAACAAAGATAAGGTGAAGAGTTAAGTTGAAAATTATATACAACATACATTTACTCTTAATCATTTTTATTTTCTACTATTTTACTTTAGTCTTTTGTGCAATCTTGCTAGTTTTCCCAATCTTTTTGTTTTCTTCTTCTTGATGTTTTTTTTTAAATTATTTATTGGTTTTGATTTCTACTCAATCTCCTATATCTCATCTTTATCTATTTCATCAACTGGTTTTTTCTTCATTGCCTTTCGAATTTCTTCTATGATTTTTTCATGCTTTTACTAATTTGATTTCTTTGCAGTAAGGAGAGTTTAGATTTTCTTCCCTTATTAGTTTAATTCCTTCTCTTCCACATTTTTAATGTGAACTGCAGATTTAACTATCGGATTAACTACGACTTCTCCTATTTTCTTAAATAAAAATTCCTAATCAATTCTGGTGAATTGGATATTTTAATTGCCTTTTTAAAATTTATTTAAATTGTTTAATGCAAACTCATAGAAAGCCTTTTCTCTCTGGATATCATCGTTGTAATCTATGTTTTACACATTTCCATTGACGACAATAAAGGGGTCTGTTTGTTAACTTTATAATAATTTGATCTTATTGTTAAATTTCTATTCAATGCCTTCTGGCACTGCCCCTTAATTTTTTATCATTATTTAAAATATTATAAAACATATTTGATAAATGAACTAAAAGAACAAACAAACTTCATTTCTTAGTCTTCTTAACTGGCTTAACATCAGATTCATCATCATCATCATCCTCATCTTCATCAAATTGGTCATCGTCATCTTCATCTCCATCTCCGTCTTTAGCTCCTAATTCGTCGTATTCATCACCTTCTTCTTCGTCACTCTAAACAATAATTAGATATTAGTATTACGGAGAATTGAATTTCTTATCCTTCCTTGTCCTTGTTATCCAACACTGATAATGATGGGAGGAGCTCGAAAATTTTATTGAAGTATCCGGGAAGTTGTGTAATTGGGTTGTCAGCCAAATCCAACTGTTGTAATTACTTAAGTTATTTCAAGGGCTCCACTTCCTACGAATTAATGGGGATATCTTACTTCAAATGTTTTAATATTATTATCTGCAAGACTTAAACATGCTAATTTCTTGAAATTTTTGCTGATGTAGGTTATAGCTGACCCTTCTAATTGATTTGCCTCCAAAATTAGATTTTCCAAATTATTCAATTTTGGGAATCCCTCCAAGTTTTTGAGTTGGCATTCGACAAGACTCAAACTCACTAGATTCTAATGTTATTGAATCAGATTTGCTGATTGAGAATCAAATTGACCAATTGCGATTCCCTCAATATCTAAATCTTCCAATTCTCCATTCTAAGCTTCTTATTGTGCAGTTATTTCTTTTTTAATTGATTCAAGAGTGGCAGCCATTTATTAAAATATTTATTAATAAAGTCATTTAATTCGCTTTGAAGTTAAATAATTAGAATCTTTATAATCCGTATTTGTGGCTTATAATATTTGTTTATATTTTATTAAATATTGGAAACATATAAAGTCGAGTTTATTTTCTTATAAAATTGGATCCCACAACCGATAACAACTACTAATGTTTTTACTCAATTCATGAATCCAAAATTATTTAGTTTCAATCATTGTTATTGATAATAAATAATTGTATATTATTATTATTAAATCTAGTTTATAAATTCTATAATTTAGACAATACTTTTGAAAAGATTAAAATTTTAGATTCCAATTTAAATAAATCAATTTTAATTCAATTAATTACATTCTCATTCAGAATTGACTTTATACATATATACATAATTCTTAATACTGAAAATCACATGCTCCTTCCCAAAACGAAGACATTAATGTATATATTATATATGAATTATTTAATTTAAGGAATCACCCTTAATTGAAATCAAACCTCTCTCCATCATTATTACACTTTAAAATACTCGGACAATAAACCCATATTTTCATCCACAACATCTGGTTCTAGTGTGTTCTTAAAAAATGGCTTAAATATAAAAATGCTATTACATGTCTCAGAGCCTCCTGGCAAGAAATTCTATTGACTGGATTCAATTACAATAATTTCTAATTAATTATTGCCAATCATATATACCTTCAACAAATCCAAACCATCCTAAGTAAGCTATGTGTTTTAGAATTATTAATCCAGCTTCCGTTCCAATTCTTCTTAAAATTAAGAATTCTATATATTACTCATTATATGTTACAGATAAAACTTATACATCATCCTACTTAGACGATATACTGTCACAGATCAACTTCATCTACTGAATCTCGCTATCTCCTGCAAAGAGAGGGGCATTAAGGACCATTTGAGCAAATATACACCCAATAGACCAGACATCGATTGCTGTTGTATAACAAGAAGGCTTAAGTAATAACTCTGGTGGTCTGTACCACAGTGTTATCACTTCATAGGTGTAGGATCCAGGTAGTTACTGGAAGGATCTAGCCATTCCGAAATCACCAATTTTCACTTTGCCTTAGAAAGGAATTTCTACGATACAATACCATCCTTGCTAATCAATATGTTCTAAGGCTTCAAGTCTCTATGCATACACTTCTTTTTATGGCATTCATTCATCCCTTTTAAGATCCCGTGTAAGATTTCCTATTTATGATACCCTCACAAAATTACCTAAATCTTTTACATATCCAATACATTTGATTTCAAATAGGTATCCAAGTCAACATCATAGAATTCCATCACCAATCTGATGCATTCCTAAACATATTCAATTTCAATCAATCTTGTTTCAATTTAATTATTACTTCACAATATTTTCACATTAAACTGTTTATAATATTGATGTTTCTCTCAAGGCTACTTACGATATCCCCTAATCTTGTGACTAAATATAATTTATATTGACAACCTGCTTCTTTATCTTCTTTATAGCAACAATCTTCCCTGTCGAAGTATTTATGGCTTTATAGACATCTCCATAAACGCCAGATCCAACCTTCCCTAACAATTAATATTTTGAGATCTGTGACATTATGAAAAATAAATATTTCAAAAAGCTTATTATTATTTTTACAATTATTTTTCTTATTTTTATTCAAAAGTTAAAACAGGTTTATAAAATAGGTAATTGAACTCCCCTTCTCAAATATCATTAATAAACCAAAGTTCATCTAATAGTATATTAAACATTCTTAGATATCAAGAGTAGTATTGCTAATCCGATTACATATTAGATTTTGAGAATTGTAATTTTAGATTTGTAAGGATAAATAATCAACGCAATCCAAAAAGCATAAAACCATAAAATCTGTCTGGTATTCATTTCAATTTAACTATTAAATAATAGCAATTGTATAAGTTTTATAAACATAGATTTGATTTTGACTACGAAGTATTTCTCAAATAGAACTACCTTAGGAAAAAGCACAATTCACAAATATAAATTTTGTATTTAATAGTAAAACTCATGCAAGATATAATAAAAACAATCAGTCTAATTTTAATTTTTTTGATTCTTCTTTTAATTATTCCTGATTCTACAATTCCGCTGCTTTAATTTCTTTTTACTAACTTTGTTAGGATTCAAACTTCTCCGACCATGCGCCTGTCATCGCCTTCACTAATTCTGGAGAGCGTAAAATATCTATCAATTCAAAATACAATAAATTTTCTCTTAAATTATAAATATTTAATATACTTTCCATAATTTTCAAGCTATCTTGCTACAGATACAGCCTAACATATAGACAATAAGTCATCTGGCTAAACCATTTATGTAAAATCTAACATAAATACTTGAGAGGAGAATGTGCTTCTGATGCATTTTGCAATGAGAAGAATTATGGTAGTGTAAATTGTGATAACACTTAATCCATTTGTTAAGACTGAGAATTTATCACAAACTACAAAATACAATAATCCATCAGCCAAAGTAATATTTGATTAATTTGACAATAAACTGCTATTTCCAGCATACTGAAATTCCCAATTAGACACTCCTTAAAGAGGATTTTTATTCCCATAAGAACAATTAATGTTAAGGAATACATTCTAGGCTGTTTGAAGATTACTTTTATATAGTGGAGTAGTGTTGTAACTTGTTTGAGAACTTTGATATATCCTGAGGGCTTCAATGTAGAAATTAGGTAACAAGATTCCTGAGTTATCACAACTCTTGGCAGCCTACTTGACATATTTCAATACATCCCTTCCCAAACCTACTGTGCCATTGACTCCATTTATCAAAGGATTGTAAGGATATGAAAATTTATATAATGTGGGGAAGTTAAATTAGAATCTTCTACGAAATATAAAAGTTACATTAAACATGAAATTGTAGTTCTCCTCATAAGATAAGGTTTGATCCAATTCTCTTATCAATTAATTATACAGTGGAAGTGAGACTTGCCATTTTTAATTCGAAAAGTCTGATAATTAAAATCTTTAGATTCCCCCTGCATTATCTATTTATTATTTAGTTATATCCTGTTTGGTTAGAGCTTTAATTTCCGATCTATCTCTTATAATTGGCAAATCTAATCCAAATAATTGACTGGATTGATAGAGCTCAACGTTTAAGTTAGTGTCAACATTTACTAAATTAATAGTGAAGGTTCCACTTACAATTGGATTGTCTTAAGCAGCAGGATTAAGTGCAGAGAACAAAATTAGGGGACCAAAAATGCAAATTAAGATAAAAATAACAAAGAAAAAGAAAATGATTTTGCTTATCTTTGATATTTCTAATCCTAATTGTCTTTTCATTATCTTTTAGGAATTTATTTTTGTAAAATACAATTACCTATGGATATCCTCGAGAGTAAACCATTAATAAATATCAAGTGATGTGTATAAGCAAGTCCAATCCATCAATACCTTTAAATCATATAAAAATGGAATTGAATAGAACGTTAGTGCAAAGTAATAGCTCAGTGAATTGTACATATACAAAAATTGGTTTCTTATTTTCAATTCTCGATACCCATATCTAAGTTAAAGGGCAGATAAGTAAAAATAAGCACAAAACAATAGAAAATATATTACAATAGAGGTATCATATTCTTTATAATTATCTATGTTTCTGTTCCAAAGCTACAACAAATAACAATAGACAAAACAGAATACCAATGTTAGAATCACTACTTGTAATACATACTCTTAAACAAACTAAGTTTTGTATTTGTTCTTATACACTGCTTTTTCTTGATTCTTAATATATTTTTGATCTCCTCTCAATTCTATATATCTCTCAACCATCATAAACAACATTTAAAACACCAATGCTAATACTAATTGAGCAGGCACTTAATTATATTTTAAGTAACCTTAAATATTCTGTGATTCTCCAGTCATGAAATTGAAAAAGAACAACATATACAAAAATAAGATTACTTAAATGGAAGCGATAGATAAATAAAGATCTATTCCTGGTCTTGCATATTCATAAGACATTATCTTCTCAAAAAATCCTGGTTTATATTTATCACCTAAGATTTCAGGATTAGCTGCAATCTTCCTTTCTAAATCATTGCCTATTTTCAACATCACACTCTCAGGCTCCTTCTCCAACCCTGAATTTTCCAATTACAATTTTCCTTATAATTAATTCTCCAACTCTATTCTCTCTATTTCCGGATTGTCAACTCTACCTATTTCTGACTTAGATCTCGATCTCTGTATCTCTGATTCTTACACTATCTCTTCCACCATATCCTTATTAAAATTGTTTAATTTCAATCTGATATACCCTTGAAAGATATTTTCTATCTAGGTGAAAGGGTAATCGAAAATGCCAAATGACTTCTGCAAGAATACTTAGAATGTAATCAACCAAACTGCAAATATTTCATAGAACAATCCCAAAGTGTTACTATTATCTAATACGTAATACCATGGAATATACTATATAGGTTCAGTTGGCTTACTGTATGATACTCCATACATTGAGTCTACAAATATCATTACAATAATGAAAAAGTATAATGAATATGAGATAACCCAAAATATCTTAGTATTTGCATCTATTAATCCCCACACGAACATGACTATTGGCAAGACCATTCCCAAAAGTGCATAGTTTTTGAAATAGTAACAAATAATGATGATGTTGGTTATAGTGTCCCATTTAATCAAACAATATTTAAATATATCTTGCAGAAACAAGCTAAATAAATGCATCGTTTTCATTTATATCAACTTATTAATTGGATAGTTTTATTTTGTTTATTCTAAAACTATACGCTCCTTCTCATCTATGATATGAATGAATCTAAGTTCCTTGCTTAAGTTATAATTCGTTTCATATTAGTTCACATATTTATTATATTATTAACCCTTATATGGTTTATACAATTTCTTATACTTATTCATTGCTTTCTAAATAACCTTATCTAATGCTGCATCATTTAATTTATCTTTATTTTTACATATCTCCTGATAAAATCTTCTGTATATTTTCTCAAGACTTCTCATCTCATCTTCATAGGATGTAGTATCATTCATCAGATGATTCTCTAGTTTGATAAAGACATGTCTCTGTAGTCGTTTATTTTATTAGAGAATGTAATCCATCAAAATATGAAATGGCATAAACTTTATTTATTGATTGTCGTTTCTCATCCAAATTATCATTTTGATGTATATTTTCCTAAAAAATGATTATTCTTAAGGAATTTAAACTTCTGGATCTGTCATAAAACTGGCAGTCAATTGAGGATACTATTACACATTAATTGATTTTTCCTTTTAGATTGATTAGATCTATATTTCCCTTAATCTTTTCTTCCAAATAATCATCTTTCTTTCTATCGTGTCTGTAATCTAGTTTAGAAGGTTCTTCTCCTCTTGCAATTTTAATATTTTTTTATATTGTTGATAGTTGTAATTGTAGGCAAGACCTCTTGATACCATCCTAGATCTTAATTTCAATTTGGATTAATAATTATCCTAAGTGCTTTTCACATGGTTGGATAATTATAAATCAAAATACAATGAAATGAAGAAGATTAAGAAGATCTGTCCATCAATTTTTAAATGAAAGGCCTCCATACAATAGAACTCTAATCCATTCCCTACATCTAATCGAACAGTTGGAGCATTCACACACTATTCTAAGAAGGTTGGGATTTTCAATAAGGTAAATAGGGCAATTATGATGGCAGATAAAGTAAATATTGCCTGATAAAATGCTTTAATTTTTATCCTTTGAGAAAAAGCATAAGGCCATCTAAAATGGAATTCTGCAGCATATAAAAATCCAATCACTATAAGTAATTACAAAAGATTAAAAATTGATCTATTCATTTCACATAACCACAACACAAATCCAAAGAGAATCAAATGATAATTCATTGTCATAGTTTGTATCAAGACATGTCTGAAACTATAATTCTTCTATCTCCATAGATTATATGTAATAATGATTTGACTATCACTGTGATTACTTAGGACCTTTTTGCACACTATAAATTCGTTCTTCATTTTGATAGATTGCTTATAAATTTGATTGCAAAACCACTCTAGCATTATAAAATATAAATAAATAAAGGATACTATGAGACAATTGAATACAATGACAATGTTTAGCAATTCATTAGTCTCACATTTCATATCTTAAAATGCACTTTGTTTGAGTTAATCGCAATCCATTATTTCTGTACTTTCAAAACCTAAAAAGGCCAACCAATAATTAGATAAATCTGTTTTTGCCATTACATTAAAATCATCAGGAGTTAAATCAAAATAGTTCAATTTAGGTACATCATTTATTGAAGGAGTCCAATTTAATAGATAAAGGAAATATTAAAATAGGATGGAGAATATTGCAACAGAATTTAACATTTTCGTGGTTTTTACTGTAGCACTCATTTAAAACAATATAACAGATATTATCAAGTAGACTAATGAAAATATGGTATTGACTAATAAAGTATTTGACAAGTAGAGTAAAACGAGGAATCTTTAGAATATCTTAAACAATGATTCATGAAGTAAAATCTTTACAAATCTACTTTTATTTTTAAAGTAATTCAAAATTAATACTTCTCTATCAAATGAATTATATTCACTATGACTTTTGACAAAAACGACAAAATCGTATTTTTAATCAAATATTTCTTTACTTTCTTCATAAGACTGATTCTAAATTCTTGATTCCTCTATTTTATTCATTTCTTATGTTTCTTATAGATTTTCTATGTTTTTTGTTAAGTCATCTTCTAGAATCTTTGTGCAAGCAGTATCAATCACATTAACAAACAATAGAAACAAATAAAACCATGAAACCTACCACATATTTGATTCAGTTTGAACGTAATTATTCTCATTGCAATCATTATTATTTGATTCATAACCACAATAACACTAATTTGTAATTATGTATTATCTTGAATATGTTCCAAAAATGAAAAAACTAAGTACTGTATAATCCACCCATAAGGGGGGATCTACAATTACTGTAAATGACTCAGTTGATAGAAATTAAGAGAAGTATGAAAGTAAGATACAAAAGGCAGTGAAGTAGAAAGAGTACAACCAAATTTTTCTTTTGAGTTTGATTCTGGTGGTTAGGCGTAACAATTTGAATTGGTCATTCAACCTTTTAATGTTCTTGGGTTCATCAATATGAGATATATCTGAAGCAAACTCAAGGTACAACTATTTGAGAAGATAAATTTCTAAATCTATATAACGTTTTACATTTTTGTAGTTTTGTTAAGCTTTATTACTCATCGAGAACATCTAATATTGTATTGTGAACACGATAAAAATAACTTAAATACAAAGACAACAATATGAATGCTGCTATTGATCTCAGGTAAAGTACACAAGATATTACAATATAAATTGTAATTATATCAGTATTAATATGAGCTATTCCAATCAAAATTGACTTAAGCCACTTCTACTAATCTAATATTCTTAAATCCAGAACATTTTATGTATTCGATTCATTTAAATTTTAATTTTGTTATTTCATTTACAATTTCTTGAATTTTGATAATTAATTCAATGCAAAGGCACCAAACAAAATGTTTAAAGTGTCTGCCAAATATTCCATTCTTAAATTATCTGTAGAGTAGGCATATAGACCAACTTCCTAATAATATAATTAGAGGTTCTCATAAAATGTTTAAAATCCTTCTGATTTATCCTTTAAGTCTGGAACACAACTAAGCTAATAAATTTTAAGATAATTTACAAAAATGAAAATAGATATCTATATGAAAAGGCAAGCAGCAATAATTACATGTATATATACCACATCAATCTTAGTTTTATGTAATTAATCTAAGAATTTATTGATTTAACATGATATAAGAAAACAATACCTATATACAATAATAATACATTATTGAGATAACTGTAAGGAGTGAATAGCAAAAAGCATATATTAATTACATAAGCTGTCCATATCAATGAATGGCCATATAATGTTTCTAAAATTCCAAAATGATATCTAAAATTGGGTGCAGTTTCTTTCACACTCTCAACTTATGAGATGGTGGCAATTAATCTCTAAAATATGATGATTTATTTACATTTGAATATTGATCATACAAAGTAGTATTATATCCATAATATTAAATGATGGTTAGATAAAATAAAAGCCAATTCAATACTAATTAATGATTCAGCATGTTAAGTCCTAAAACTTAAACAACAAAATAATTTGAATAAACCCCAAATAAAGTGTATACATATTTAACGAAAGTGAGGACACTCATGTAAACCAAAAGAATTATCCAATATTTTTATTGAAAAGGAACTTTCTTCCCTTTGTATTCACATTTATTGGATTAATTAACAATGAATATTATCAGAAGGAAAATCATTATAAACTAAATTATATTAATTTCATTGAAGCCAACCCAATAGAGCAATATAATCACCATAAAAAAGCCAATTCTAAAATAAAATGCCAAAAAAATGTTAAACCATTTAGTCTTTCCTTCAATTTCGTTAGGTTAAGTTTGTATTTATTTTTCTCTTTCCTCCTACTCCTCTATTTATTTGATGAACAAAAAAAATAAACACAAAGTACAATTCATCAAAATTGAATTAACGACTGAACTTTCCTAATAAAAGAATCCAAGTTTTTAACAGACTGTTGTTGGTAAATCATCTACACCTTTGTATTAACTTGAAGGACAAAATTAATAGAAATTATCAGGTCTATCCAATCCTGTTATATTGCTGTAATAGAAAGTAAAAAAATTGATCAATAATGAAGGAATATTACAAAATATTGTAGCCAGGCGAATTATTTTAAAGTTTAATGTAAACCCTGTTAAAATAAGCCAACATACTAATAAAATTGAAAAATATGTCTATTGGAGTATGACTATACTTAAGGACAATATTTGTAAAATAATCAAAGAAATCAATGGTTTATCTATGGTAGTTTTAATAGTTTCCAATTATTCATACCATGCTTTCTCAATTTTATGAAAATAGGTTGCAGAAGATTCATATTGATTTTGAAAGATTCTGTCGATTTTAGGACTTTCTTTTGATTCACGCTGCTCCTACTCTTCAATGTCTTCATCTGAGATCTCCTTACTCTCTTCAGAATCAATATCTTTAGAATCTTCTTCCTATTAATTCAAGTTCCCAGTTTTTCTTCTCCCTTGAGGGGAATCATTGAAATCTACGGAGATGTTACCCATCTAAATTTTAATGAATTCTTAAAACTATTTAAAGTCTTTGTATTATTAGGAGATCTCTGTTACAGTGTAATTAAATTGATTTTTGATATTCTGTGTTTTTATCTTCTCACTTACTAAGCAGAGCATATTGATTACAATAATAGAGAAGATAATGAATAGGATGGCTTGGGATTCATAATTTGAAAAGTAGCCAAATAATTAGAACCCAGTAAATTATAAAGTGAAGGATGCTGCTCTGCTATTTTAAAGGATAACCTTCTATATTGGTGTGCTGATGAAATACATAACAACTAATATTACCATAATTACTATCTTCAAAATTATAAAATATTGTTTATCTACTAAATGATTGTTATACATTCTCAACAGCAACACCAATTAAAACCCCCACATGATAAGACCTATTAGAGATTTGGTACAGCAAGTTAGGATGATCAAACTAAGTAACATAATCAGCTAAATATTAATTGCCAATTGCTTACAATAAAAAATTTGGTCAATATAGGACTATCTGATAATTCATAGAATTCTTATTTCAATTCGACATTTCTGAAAATTAATATAACTATAGCCAAAGCTAACATTATGCAGTTTGGTGCAAATGCTAAGCCCTGTTCAGATGAAGACACAGTGATTTTACCATTTATTAGTGTGAAATAGACTTCCAGTCCTCTGAAGTTTTCAATTGACATCATTGCATAACCCTTACTATATTAATTTAAATTACTCCATTTTTAGCTATAGGGTATAAGGTGAGCTTAACAACCAAAGAGATTGCGGAAACTATAACAAAAACATACCAAAAGAACTTCTTTACATCATTAAGAACCAACCAATATTGAGTTATAAAGTTATTTTCAGATTGCTCCTAGTTCTAGTTTGTATTATGAAACTATTCTTATTATGCAGCGAATTCTGCTAATGGATAAAGTCTCCCATCTTTAACCTAAACTCCTTTATAGCTACTAATATAGGAGTAATTTAAAATTAAGAGTAAACAGATCAAATAAATGGTTGAGTAATAAGACTGTATTAATATGCAATAAATTAATAATCCAAGCATTCCTATGATGTCTAAAGCTTAAATAATCTTCCTGTATTTTTTTGGTTTAATAGCAAATTCAGAAATTGGTTTTTCAGGTGAATCCTCTTTTTCATTTTTTGAATTTGAATCTCTTTGTAAATCAGAATTATCACTTTCTGATGGCAATTGTGAGTTGCTTTTTCCAATTGGAGTGGGGATTTCAATTTCTCCCTTTGACGATCCTGAATTATACATTTAATAAACTATTAATATTTTTAAACAAAATATAGAATGGATAATCTCATGGTTTTTTCTAAGAAGTCTATAGCCATTCTTCTTCTGACATTTTAAATATGTATAAATTGTTGGCTTCTCTATCTAGGAAAGTATAAACTAAAGTAATTTACATATGATTTCAGGTTCTGGCAATTCATTTGGATTTGTCACATTGAACTCATCCTTGAATAACATAGGATCGTAATGTTAAATCTTTGAAATTAAGTCTGGTCGTTCTATTTTTCATATAAATATCGTTAATACATAGTTATAGGAATGCTGTTTATAGATAACCCCAAATATGTTTAGCTTATGGATTAATCATAAGGGCACTTAGATACAATCTTGCTGCATCCAAATATTCTCCCTTGTAAGAATAGGCAAATGCTAAATTGACCCAAACTCTCACGTAATTAGGTCTAAGATCCAATGCTCTATGATAGCAAAACATGGCTTAATCTGCTTCACCAAGATGTGCAAGGGTGGCTCCTAATTTGTTCCAAATCTAGTAATTTTTGGGTTCAATTTGAAGTGCCTTCTTAAAGATCTCAACTGATTTTTAATAGTTTCTTTCAATGAAATAAAGTACAGCTAATCCATTCAACAATTCAACATCATTAGGTCCTTGTTAATGAGCTGCTTCAAATACTTAAATCATTCTTGCATTCATGCATTTTATTTAATCTAAAGTATAATCATAGATATTTGTGTTGTCTGGCACAATACTATCATCAACAGGCACCTTGTAATTTGGATTTCTAATTAACCATTATTTTAAAAAGGACATTGCTTTGACTTCATCCAAAATGTTTGTGCAAGAGATACCTAAGGCACTCAAGGTATCTAATTCATTTGGGTTTTATTTCATAGCATTCAAGAAGGCAGCCACAGCTCTTTGATCTTGATCATTTTCTTGATGTAATCTACCCAAAATTCTCCAAGCGTTGGAATCTGTTGGATTCTTTTAAATGTGAGCTTCCAAAGCAAGGATTGCTTCTGTATTCTAACCTTGATGCACTAAATTCAAAGCTGCTTATAAAGGAAAATCCATGGCCAAATATTTGTTATTTTCTTAAAATCTATAAGTATCATTAGAATCTTTATAGAGTTCAAATTCCTATAAATCTGATGCTGCTTACCAGGCTTCAGAGAACATTTTATCAAAGTCTGTTCCTGTATCCATTTCCTTAAGTATTTATTAATAGGTATCTTCAAGCTTCTTTTAAAATTGATCTTCATTTTATAATTCACTTTCATATTTTTCTAGTTTTTCATCCCACATTTTAGAGAACTTCTCTTCAACTTCTGTTAGATCTGATTACTTTTATTCAACATTCTTTGTGGCCTAATCCCATCCTTCTTCCAATGTTTGGATTCTCTCCAAAGCTGACTATTCTACTTTATCACCCTTCTAAGTGAGCAATTCATTGCCCACTAATTTTAGATTTCCATTCTAGATATCCTTCATAAATCTCAAAAATTTAGACTATTGAAATCTAGGATCAGGATCCTTTTCTAGAGCTTAGACTAGGTCATCAGCAAACCTTTATGATTTTTCACTCTAAGCCTAGACATCCTCTGCATTTTCATATGCTTCCTAAAATAAATATTCTTGAGCCATTTGATCTGCTTGATATTAGATTTCTGCTTGTTGCCATTGAAAATCCATCATCATTTACTACTGTATCATTGCTTACTCATATTTCCTTTGCTCTTCCACAAACATCTTTTCCATCATAAATCTTTATTCCACATTTGCTTAATCATATTGTTTGGCCATGGTATCCCATTATTGATTCATGCTTTCAAGCAATCTTTAACGCTCTTGTAATTTCTATTGGACCATAGGATCTTATTGAACATTTATCTATTATTATATTTATCTAAGATTCTTATATTAACGATATACTATTGTTATGTTTGGCCAAACAGCATTCTATCCATAAATTGCTTGAATGGATTTTGACTCATCTATTAAGTTCCATCAGCAGTGCAAGCACCACCTGTATAAATATTTCTGAAGGCCATTATTAATTAAATGTTAAATAATTTATTTGAGTCATTATGTGTAACAAGTGCTTTGGAGATCAGGTCGAATCTTTATTTCTGCTCTCCTCCCTTTATATACATCAATGAATAGAAATACTAATTCAATGCTAAGACCATCTACCTGCTGGATAACGTCATTGTGATTTATACGATAGATAATTGCATCAAATTTGTCAATTAAGACTTGGAAGTGCTTTCCTCCTACACACTTCCCCAAATACCATTAGCCATATATCCTTATAAGGATTTCATAGTGCTGGACTACCAATACGAATATTAGGTTTGTAAAATCGATGAAATCGACAACCTGATAAAGAAAAACAAAATTGTGAGTTTTGCGCCAAATCCCACCAATTAATTAACATATGTGATCAAACAAAAATTGATGGAATGCAATGTCGTCTACTCTCATAAATTTATGGATATAGAAATGGGTGTTGAACAGATCTACTGCATATCCAAAACCTAACCTCACTTCCTCTACCAAAGCATTGTATTTCCCCAACTAACAATCATCGACTTGCATAGATGCGAAGAACTGTACCATATCGAATTTGGATCGTAAATCGAATAGATATTCCTGTATCATAACACCTTTTTACTTCAAAGTGAGAACAAATTGTTCCAAATGCAAAACCAAGAAATTGTTGAATTCAACTCAAACATCTAATTCAGAATTAGCTGTGTAGTCGAATTCAACAATCAAACCTTTTTTGGATCCATAAACGATAATTCCATCCTCGTTAAGGATAATTAGATTATTAAAGAGTTCTATAATTTGGGCTAAATAGTAGACATACATCCTTGTAATCAAATATGTTTCATAGCAAGTTACAATAAGAAATATCCAGTAAGTCTATTTAGAAAAGGAATTAATGAAAATGTCTTGGAAAGATACAAATTAACAAATGAATTGAGACCAAGGAAGATCTTCTACATAAATCCGTCCTTGATGATGCTTAGCTTCTCTTAGACCTCTGAAATCTACACCATCCCTCAATTCATTATTGCAGACATCAAAGTGATCAAGAATTAAAAGACACTCTTTATCCATTAACTCTCCAGTATGATGTTGTTACAAATTACATCCAATAAAGTGATATTCCTGCAATCATATGAAAATATCATATATCAAGAAGAGTTTTATTAGAAGATAAAGGATTGCAGATTAGATTTAGCTAATAAAGCCTTATATCTCTACTTAGGCAATAATGAATTAAGATTGTACACAGTCAACGATTCCAACATTACATTGATCTCTTAATAAGTAATCAATCGTCTTAGTGCATTCTAAATCATAAATAAGAAACTTCACTATAGCACTTGGTTTTAATTTGAATTACATAATTTTAATGACTAATAACATTATTCCATCAATAATATCAACAGTACTATTGTATCTATTGAATAAACTCAGAATTTCATTTTATTGGGTTTGATTGATGGTAATTTGGTCACTTTGGCTTCTGATACATACAGAGTTCACAAAATATTCTAAATTAGCAACACTCATCCTATTAAATTGATGAAATTTAACAATAAAGTGATAATATTTTCACATCATATTTACATGATTGACAATTAACTTTAATAAATTATTGTGAATTGGGATCATCTCTACGATATTAGCTTCCAAAATGACAAACTTATTGGGATTGTTTAAAATGAAATCTAAATGGTTACTTTGAGTTAGGGATCTAGTTCATAATGCAGAGAATTAAAATTCATCAAGAACTTAGAGATTAAAAACTTGAGATTTTTTAAGGATCATTTGATAGTTTTAACAACTTAGAATTTATTGTTGAGCTACTTCGATGATCAATTAAAAACACAATCTCAATAACAATTTTAAATAGAAAAAATGGAATAATATAATAACATATATTTGGCAGGATTCACAGAATCTTAATAAGGAAAAATCAATATTGTAAATGAATAGCTATAATTAATTTATAATTATACATATTCAGAACCAATCTATGATCTCAAATTCCATTAAAATGTTATCTTTTTTTCAACTGAAACTGCTATTCATTCAAATGATGGATAATTTGTACACAATTTCAATGTTCCACTCAAGGGATTTGACATCAAAGATAAATACTTCTTAATATATGAGAATTTCAAAGTATTAATTTAACCTATATTTTAAGGGAGCCCATTTATTTTATTATGATGAAAAGATGATAGCCTTAGGAAGTTTGAATTGTCCTTGTCAATATGCTTCCTTTTATTACGACGATATCATTTGCTTCTCTGAAAATGATGTAAAAATTGCAAAGTTGAATTTGCTTACATTCACTATTAGTGAACAGATGGAAATTGCTGTATCAAACCCCATTGAAGTCACTTGCGTTAAGGATAGGTATTATGGAACTCTATATGGTGTATTAGGATATTATGAATGAATTATAATCATATTGTTTTTATTTTTAGATTCAAAATTTTAATTTAAAATTATGTATTAGGAAGACACCCTTAACATAAATCAAATTCAATTTAATCAACTCTTATTGGAGGCTCACAGTCAATTCTAACTAAGAGATATGAATCAGGCAATAAGATTATATGAAGAGGCTTTGAATTGTCAAGAGGCTGGAAGAGGTAAAATCAAATATAAATTACAAGATATTGATAGAATGGCTATAATCCTTGCTAATTTGGGCATAATTTATTTTCATAATTGCGATTATAAATAAGCAACCGAAAAGCTAATTTAAGCATTCACAATGCTGGATAGAAAGAATGATTTCAAATGTGCATTACTAATTAAAATTTTAGTAAATTTAAATTCGATATCAATTCTAGGGAAATTTAGCTATTATCAAGTTAATAACAACAGAATTTTAAGAATGCAAAGATTATAATGACTAAGCAATTCAATTAATTTTATCAGCGTATAAGTTCCTAATTATTTTAGTTAACCCCCATTGTAATATCAGCTTTTTAAAGAGCTAATGTACATATATTACAGGTTTTAATCATTTGAAGCAATGGGAGATGGCAATTTCGAAAATCTAGAATAAAAGTGTACTGAAATTTATATAATACTAATGTAGATGATGGACAGAGTTTAGCATGCTTTTATTCTTCTATGGGATTGAATCGCGAACTATGTGGAGACATGGCCCTAGCTTTTAGGTATCATCAGAAAGCTCTAAAATTATGGTATGAACTTAAAGAAAATGGATTTATTGTAATTACATTAAGAAGAATTTTAACAATAGCACAAAATGAAAGAATGGATTGTAAGGATTATGTGTAATAATTATAAAAATGTATGTAATCCCCTGAATTAAGGGGAATAAGCCCAGAAATTTTATTTAAGGATTGTGAAAAAAAATTATAATGTGCTAGAGAAGTATATATTTATTGCATTTTCCATTTAGATAACCACATCATTGCAAAAATTAGAATAATAATTGAATTATCAAAAGAATTAGTAATTATTGTCATAGCCGTTAACGGTTAAATAACAAGATGAATTTTGGAAACTAGCTCTAAAATTAAGACTCAAAAGAGCAATCTAATATTGCTACCATCAGTTGTCATAATAGGAAGTTGAGAATGCATCTTTACTATAATAATCTATTACGTAACTCGAACATTCTTTAAAGTTATTGGACTAACAATAACCATATGAAAACTATTTATAGAACTTGCCATTTACAAAGGAATCAGTCAATATAATCAAATCTCATTTATTGAAATTCAATCGAATCTGTTTGAAAATATAATTACAACCCTTTCTCAACTATCTTTATTAGTTAAAACTAGAAGATGATTAAGGACAATAGCAATTTTAATAGCAGCAATTTAATTCAAAATTTTAGTCTAATTAACCATACAATTAGTAAATTTAAAATTCGAATTATTAAACTTAACAATAACCATAGTCTTTATCTAATAGGTAAAGGTAACTTGACTCAATAAATTCATAATACAACTCTTAACAAAGTTAGGTTAATAATGAATAATAAAATTAATTGAATGTTCAATCCTATCACTCAACAAATGATTAATAAAATTATATGGTAAGAGGCTAAAATCCAGTTTAGTATTAAAATAATCAATACCAATAATTTAATAACCCTTTGCAGAGTAATTATCCACAAAATAACCAAATTGAACAGCAAGACTTCAAATAGCAGAAGTAATAAACAATGTATGCGAATAATTATGAATAACATTAATTAAAAAATAGTGGTTAATTTGGATCTTAAATTATTGGTGTTACTGGAAATAATCAATCGAAGATTAATACTGCCTAATAATAATAATAATTATTATAGTAGTAATAATAATCTTAATACTAATCATAATAATAAACAAACCTAAAATTCTCAAAATCTTAATAGAATCCTTAACAAATAAAATAAGGTTAGAATATGACAGTTTCTCTAACAAAGTCATAAAAATTAAAAAATGTAGGTCTTCTTAACGCTGCCTATAGAACAGTCATGTTGGGGGATTAACTTACTAAATGCAACAAGTCTTCAAACGGAAGAATAGAAAGATTTTTCATCCTAGCTAATGACGGCACTTTTAGATGGGCTCAAAATAATAAACATATTAATGATCCAAAATCTGTGAACTCCTATTTAGTTTCAGATATAAGAGGTTTATTGTATGGAAAAGTAACTGATGTTCTTAGAAAATCATACAATGACAAATTAGAACCTTGGTTATGCTTTTCTTTGGTAATGAAAACTAGATCTATGGACTTCTATGCTCAACCATTATAAGTATACATGTACATTTCTACTTTAGATTAACTCATGGGTCTTTGCAATGTCTGAAGAAATAAAAAGAAGGAATCCATCAGCATTTGTGATTACACCAGGGAAAATGCTTTGGAGAAAAATAAAGATTATCTTACATTGGTATTTTGTGGATAAAAAAAAAGAAAAAGGAGGAAGTAAAAAAAAGAATTAGCGCGAAATTAGATTCGCAAAGCTATTGTTATTATATGCAAATAATCTATGTAGATTACCTTAAATATAATGATTATTCCATAGTTTTATAATAAAATTTTATTTATTGACACAGTAAATCCTAAGATTAGGCTGATAAATTATTTATGTTTTTTTCGATTGATGGTTACATCGGAATTATCTGGAATATTTGATAAAGTTGAAATAATTAGATAAAATAACTGAAATCAATATGTTAATAAATGATTGAGAAATCAGATCAACACCAATGATTTTACAATTAAGATTATTGGTAAAAACCAATTAAGAGGTTAAGGTAATTTAATTTAACAATTTAATTAAAATTTATTATCATCTTTATAAACTTAATCCTTAAAAATAGGATTGGTAACTTAAATCTTCAGCTTCAAAAACAGAATTTCTTCGTATTTCTTTTTTACTTTTGGTTCTAAATAAAATTAAAGTTAGAATTATTGGCAAAAAGTATGTAAATAATTTTACCAATGCATGTATAAAAGCATTCAGTGAATCTGAGAAATTATATCCTTCATCTCCAAAATGACTAATTATTCTACAATCAGACGAAATCATATATAAAAAATTAACAATCAACAAAATTACTGATCCAAACAGGCTTATATAACACAAGATTCTTAATAATAATATTCAATACTTTAACTAAAAAAAATGAGATTTTTATTGCTTGGTTTATTATTCATTTATAAGAAGATTTTAAATATTCTACTAAAATCTTTTGTTTAATTTTTAGACAACTGCAAGAAATCCTATTTACGTTAATAAGCTAACAGATCTGAATACTGTAAATGAAATTTCTAATCTAATTTTAGATATTTAAACTTACGTTTACACATCATTTACTTAGATATTGCTTCTATCACAGACATAATAAAAGTTGTAATATCTAGGATTATGAGAACTACAAAGATAATTCGAATTATATTATAATTTTTTCTTTAAGTTGAACCTACAACTAATTTTTTTCCAAAATAGAATATTAAGCACGCCTAATATACTTAAAAAATCAATTCTTCAAGAAAATAATATGTTCTATGAATTCTTTTCAGATTATATATAAAATAAACTAATATTCCTAAAATCTTACAAATGAGCGAAAACATAATCAGTACTAATATTTTCGTCGAATTGCTCTTTAATTTTCTGCATTGTTTCCTAAAAATTAGAACAATAGTAATTGCCAGACAAATCAAACTCATTATTTCTAAAATCCAAGCTCTACAATAATTAATAAGCTTTCTGATATTACAAACAACATTCAAGAACTAAAAAATCACTAAAACATTCTATTGCTCCTTTCATTGTTGAAAATTCCTTGTAAATTAATTCCTGTTTAAAACAATATATATTTATTTTATATACAATCATGTCATAATATGATAAGTTGTAAAATTCATTCTATAAGTTCTTGTCCAATTTAAATCTCTTGGTAACCAAGTTTAATTTTATACTTAATGGCTTTTTTAGACATATAGAAAAAATTCACAAGTATGTAATGAGATAACGCAATTTAATTGACTAATTTTTCAATTTTAATGATCAAGTCATCTAGCTTGTTTGATCATATATATTTATGAAAAAAATAGATATGGTTTCTGAAAGACCTTCTCCATATAAGAAAAGTTTCATATATGATAAAAGTCAAAGCAAGATGATTACATTTTTAAAACACAATTAAAATAAGGAAACTATATTTTATCAAAAGTGCTAGATATTATGCATTCTTCTCCCGATAAGGATTTCTGACGCAATTTCATTTCGTAGCTCAACACAACGAGGCTCTAATTGTGTTGAAAATAAACTATCCAAACAAATTAGAATAAAAATATAAAACAATAATCCAGAATCTGCAGATATAATTCACTTGCACTTTTGTTTAAAGTAGTAAATCATCTGTAGGGACATAGTTCAATAGTTCATAGAGGATTTTTAGCAAATTTAATCGATAATGTATTAGGATTGTTAACTTTTTTGGCAAGTTCGGATAACTTCTTATAGCAACAACTAATTTAAAAATCAGTTACAGGAAACCTGTTAAAACTAATGATGATTACATGACAACGGCAGAAATCGAGAAAATTGAAGGAAGGAAAGTTTTCCTCAAGGTGAACATATTTGACCAAAATAAGGCAATTTGCAACTGAAGCGACGGCTGTTTTTTGATAGTTAAATGGGAAGGATATATCTGGAAAATGCTTTAGATAAAATTAGGTCAGCGACTCATGTTGATGAAAAATAAAAAAATGAAGGTATTAATTCAATTTAGTTACTGATGCTCTGTTAAATCATAAATCATGTGTATATTCGAATAAAAAAAAGGTTAAAAATTAATAATATTAAAAATGAATATTTAATAATTGATTGACTTGTTTACTCAGAGATATAATGGACTTCAGCCACAGTTTTTAGTTAAAGCCCCTGGAAGAGTTAATGTAATCTAATCATAAATGGTAGTTAATTGGTGAGCACATCGATTATATGGGGTATGGAGTATTACCATTCGCTTTAGAACAATCTTGTTTTATGCTATTTGCTATAGATGGAAACGACATACAGATTTAGCATGCTGATGACCAATAGTTTAAACAATTCAATCTTTCTGTGAATCCCAAGGAACAATACAATGAAATCTAAAATTATGTTAAATATGTACTTGCAGGATATAGGGCAGGGATTTAATATGGTAATGCAAATTAAGGAATCAAGATGTTGATTAGTGGTAACGTCCCATTTTCTTCAGGATTATCTTCATCATCATCTTTGGTAGTGGCATCCTCTTTAATGAGTTTATAAGTTAGCGGAAAAACCTAATAAGATATTGATAGACAATAGTTTGTTGATTAAATTATTAAATTTGAAAGAGAAGCAGGCACAGCTTGTGGAGGGATGGATTAGACCATATCAGTTTTTGGACAAGAAGGCTCTGCGTTATATATTGAATTTGACCCATTAAGATTAACTTAAGTCAACTTACCAAAAGGGTATTCATTCATCATTGCAAATTCATTGACAGAATCAACTAAGCTAGAAACACTTGGAAAACATTACAATAAACGAGTAGTTGAATGTAGAATCGGAATCAAATTAATAGAATTAACTTTAAATCTTGGGACGAATTTCAAAACGATGAAATAATTATAGGATTATTTACAATTATCACTTGAATCCATGGAAGAGCTTTGTAAATTTATTCCAAAAGGAGAAATAGATCTAGAATAATTGGAATATTTGCATTTGCCTGTGCTTTTAGCTGATATCCCTTACTTTGAATTAGTATTAAATTAGAATAAAAGTGTAAATCCTTACAATAGATTGGTTCATGTGGTAAAGGAAGCTTAAAGAGTTATTAAATTCAAAAATATATGTGACTCTAAAATATCAGATGATGCTAAGGCAATATTATTAGGTTAGCTGATGAATCAAAGTTAAAAATCTTGCAAAGATTTATATGAGTGTTCGTCTGAAAACATTGATACATTAACAAGTTTGTGTATTAAGAATGGAGCTTTGGGAAGTAGACTAACTGGAGCAGGATGGGGAGGCTGCACAGTTAGTTTAGTCAAAGAGGCAGACGCTAAGAATTTCAAAAACAAAGTATATTTTACTCTTAATACTAGATAATTGAGTTCTTCTATAATCACATTGAAAACTAAGATCATATTTTTTCAACCTAACCATCTTAAGGTGCTTCCATCATAAAACTATGATTGTAATTATTCAAAGGATTTATATTATTTGGTTTTAATTTTGAATTTGAAACTTAAAATGCAAGTAATTTTTCTTTTCTTCTCTAAATATTTATGAAATTAGATCTACTCTAATTGTTTATATTTCTTATTACTAAATTTTATATATTTCAGTATTTATTAGCTACGATTATCATTCCTATTATCGAATTCATTTATCAATAAACTTTAAATATCTCAAAACTAAATTTTAGTAGATCATGATTAGAAAAATAAAGTAATTTAAATATATTAAAAATTTTCAAAATAATTAAGATAGATTTTATTTAATTATACTTTTTAATAACTACTTACTATTTAAATTGTTAATTGCAGAAATTACTTTTGGCCAAGCACTTTACTTTAGTAAACATTATAATAAATATTATTGTAGATCCAATTTTATTGATATTATATTATATCAATTATATTCGATTCAGAATCTAAGGCGTTGTATGAAACTTTTAGTTTCCATATCAAATCTGGTTTCAAAAATATCAATGCATTCAACAATAATTTCTAATTAAGCATTTCTATTTTGTTATTAATTAAATTTACCTTTATTCGGTTTATTGTCTATGGGCTCTATCGGTGTCGCTGCAGGTTTAATCCCAATCTGCTTATTCAGTAGATTTATTGAAGATAATCTTAAATAAAAAATAATAAATACAGAATCTTGAATTGAAATGTCGTTCTTGATTTCTAATATTTTTTATCCAATTCTCTCATTAGCTGCATTTAAATCAGCCACACTACCAGACAATCTTCGATTGGCCAAAAGTAATCTCTCTTTTTGAGTTAAAAAGTCTAATTCTCTTGCATCATCTGCTCTCATTTCTTCTTTTTGAACTTAAAAGATACTGTCAACAAGAGTATCTATGATTTTAACCACCTTTTATGCAGCATTTTCTTGAGTATTTTCTTCTTATAAAACAGTCAAGAGCACATTGACCATACTATGGAAACCTTTCTTATTTGGGAAATATTTTAAAAAGTTTTGATGATGATTCTTAAGTTCAGCAAAACTATTCTTCTTCAAAGCCCCAATTCCTTAAGATAAGATTTTCTTTGCTTCTTAAAGGGCAGAGACTAATCCTACCAATTCATCTCTTCTTTACTCAAATTCTGTCTAATGTAATTTTATAATTAATTACTCTTTAAGCATTTCTAGCTTCTTGTAATACAGAAATTCTATCCAAGTTTCTCTACTCCTCTCCTTATTTATCAAATAATTATTGTTTCTTATCATTTTATTCCTATTAGAGTAAGGGTAGTCTTTCTTCTGATGTAGCTTTACGTTCCTTAGCAATAGTTAATACAGCAGCTGCAGCACTTGAAGCATCTTAACATGTTTTCAATTGTCCAGTTATTCCTTCATCTTCAGCTCTTTATTCATTGTTTAGATCATCTTTCATTTATTTCAAGAGATGAACAACTGTGTCCGCTGGATGTTCTTGAGATAATTAGACTTAAAGTGTTTAGATAATTGTCTTTCCAAAATCACTATTTCGTAATTAAGCAAAAAAGCCTTCATCTCTAGCAAGTGTGGCTCCAATCAAAAAAACCAATAAAATGATCTTCATTAATTAAAATATTCAAAAACGAATACACATACTCATATCATAGATATTGATGACTCTTTCCTAGGCTATTGTATATCTTATCCTTCTGATTCATCCACTTCAGATGGCTCCTCAGAATCAACTTCCTCTTCGTCCATTTAATCTTCATCCTCCTATCCATCTTCACCTTCTTCTTAGTAATCCTCCTCATCATCAGGATTCTCTTAAAAATTAGGCTAGACATTATAATCTTCATAAGAATACCATTAGTAAATCTGAAGGAAGTGTCTTCTGAACTTTTGAAGGACTAACACTCAGATCAACCTTGCTATTTTAAGACAATAAAACTGATATGCTTCTGGCTGCCTTTTCAAGAGTCTATATGGTTTTATTATCAGCCACAACAGCACTTTTCGTTTTAGACAAAGTCAAGGATTTCTTAGCTGAAATTTATTGTTAGAAATTCATTTGCAATTGCTACAGCTAACCTGTTAGATTTGCCAATTATTGTTTCAATTTCCTATTTTTATCCACAGCCTCCTCATTTTCTGCTTCCAAAATTAAACTTTATTTTTTAACTCTGTAATTTTCGGATTCTAAGTTCTTGATTTTCTCTCTTAATTACTTGATCTTTTGTTCAAGTGATTTCTATTAATATAAAATTATATTACGTTATTGTTCTCTAAAATCTATTAAAATTTGTCAGAACTTTGAGGAGAATCTGATACTAATTTCAAATTCCTTATAAATTTACACAATTAAAAGGTATTGATTGTCAAAGCATAATCTGGAATTGTAGGATGAACACACAATACTAAAGAAATTTACAATTATGGCCATCTTAGAATTTATGTCAATTCCTTTCCTTTGTCCTTCATAGCTAAAGATTCATTTAAGCCTTCTTCTGCATTTTAAAACTACTTTTAATTCAGATTTGAATTTGATGTAAAAACTATGAACTTCTTGACTTGAGATTCTTTGTTAAATTATAATTCTGTTTCAATGTACAGTTTTCTTATTTTCACATATTTCTTACTATTATCTTTAATGGTCATTTTAAGTTTGTTGAGTATTATTAATCTCAATTTTGATATTGATAATTCGATTTCTCTTACTTTGCTTTCATTATCTCTTTTACTTTATTCTTTGTTGATAAGCACTTCACTATCACTGGGATGCTTAGTCTAGCCATTAAAGAATTCTTCATATACAATCTTTACTGTTAATTATTTGTAATCTTCATTTTATTAAAAGATTTCAAACTGTTATTTTATTTGGCTTATTAAAGTATCGAGGTATTAGATTAGAAAATGCTTTTTATTTGTTCTTGATGCCCCATATATCAAAGATAATTAATTCGATAACAGAAGTCCTTTACCCTAATGTATACTGTGCTATCTATCCAATTATTGAAGCGAGTATTAGAGATCTTGACTTATGACATCGAAATGATAAGTGTCGAAATATGATTGTTCTAATCCTGATTTAAGCTATTTGATTACTTTAACATTTTCGTATTTTCCTTTGATAATGTCTACAAAAGGAGATTTGAAATTTTGAGAACCTTTAATAAATAGCAAACTTGCCACATCTTTTGGATGATCTTTAGTAGACTTAAGAATAGCACTGGGATTTAATTGCTTTTAAGGTGTGCTATACTAAACAATTGATTTATCAAGTTTTGATGGTGATGAAATCCTTTGACGTAGTTGTCTTATTTCATTCTTCAATTTCACATTTTCTTATTATAAATTTGACAGTGTTTTATCATAATATTTCACTTGATTGTTTTGAATCTATTTCAGTTGATTCTTGTTGTCTTTTTGCAATTATTTTATTTATTATGATTATTCTTTGCTAGTATTCTGTAAAGACTAAAATGCATCAATAGTAATTCCTAATTATTAGAATTAAGAGAATTGAGAAATTTGGTTTTGCAAATCAAAATTTTATTGCTACAAATATTCAATATTCTTTTCTTGGTATTAGATTTGCTCCTCTAAACTCTTGAATTACATCATTTAATTTGTTAAATAAATTTAATTTATTTCTCAAATTTCCAATACTTCAAAATAAAAATATTATATATTCCTCCTAAAAGAAGTCAACCGAACTAAAAATTACATTATAAATTGCAATTGTTAATGAGTAATGAATGAGTCCTTTTGCACCATTCAAAATTAAGAATAATAATCGATATATGCTGAAAATAATAATAACAAAAAGTTAGATCAAATTATATTAGAAAAATATTTTGGAAACCAAATAATTTACAATAAAATATTGGTTATAGTTGTCAATTTGCTGATTATTCTAAAATTGCCTTCTCATAGAATTTCATGAAAATTTATTGTCCAGAAATCTAGAATTAAAGATCAAATATTATAATGATTCTGTGTAGTTAATAGAATGCAACAATAATAGAAAGGATTGATGAACCAATATGAAGAACTTAGATTATTAAAATTAAAGAAAAATAGCAATTTATAAGTAGTGTAATGAAATAAATCGTAAATAAATTTATTTTAGAAAATATCATTTTAATATGCTCCTTTCTACATCTAAACTTGCAACATCAAAATTATCCAGATCATAATTATCAAGCCCATAAAGGTCGACGGTCAATTATCTAAGCCAAGATTTGGATTCACCATCAAGACAAAGAATCAAGTTATTATCTGATAAATGGAATCACATTCAGAATGGAATTGACAAGGATAAATTGGAGAAGAGAGAAGTATTAGAGGAGAGAATTAAAATCATTGAAGATGTGTTATCATAAGAAAAACCAAAGGATGAGTAGAAATTTAAAATACTTAAGGATTAAGTGCTTAAATTACAAGATCATGCACATAATTAAAAATCTGAAAGAGAGGTAATCATCACATAATAATAAAGGCATTTGACGATAAAAAAGAGAAAGATTTCAGAATATTATCAGACAATGTTGCACTTTCATTTGAGCAAGAGAAAAATGCTAGAGGATAAGCAGAAACAAAGTTATAAAAACAAATAGATGAAAGATTTGCTTAAATTACATTAACAATCACTAGAAACACCCATCAATATGAAGATAGAAGTTAAGCCAAAATAGCTGAAGTCTTATAGCAAATCTCAGTAGTAAAAAACTAATTAGATCAAGAAAGATAATCAAGGTATTTTAATTATAAAAAATTAAATTAGAGAAGAGTCAGCAGAATCTTTATCTGAATAGATTGATTCTGAAATTAATAAGTTTTCTGATTAATTACTCGTAGAAAAGAAGGTTAGAGAAGAAACGTAGGGAAAGATATTTAGAATGATCGAGGATGTTCATGGTAAATTGCAATAAGACATCAATTTTGAAAGAAGGGAGAGAGAGGCCACAACTGAAGCTTTGTTAAAACTGTTGGAAGATGCATGCATCAAAATAGATAAAAATTTTAGATCATTTTGATTTATCATTAATAATATATATTAATTAATTTTTAGTATACAATAATTCTTTTTTAATATTGGCTAATATAAAGGAAAACTTTATTGATACTTAAATTAATTTTAATATAAAAATTCTTTTTTTAATAAATGAACAAAGATCAACTTATTAAATGGATATAAAATGTGATTAAAACAAAAATAATGAAGAAAGAAGATTAAACTATTTTCGAATTAGAAGCTAAAATTGGAAAATTTAAGGGTCAAAATGTCCATGCCAATAAATATTTACAATCAATCAAAGGTATGGAATAATTGGATAAAAATAATTCAAAATACTAGTTTGAATCCAAGATAAATTTAAAGCAATATAATAACGCTTATGAGTATTTAAAATAAAAGGAAAACTAAGTTGTCATTAAAAGATTAGACTTTTCACTAAACAAACAACAAAGAAACTCATTTCAAATAATCAATAACTAAATATCAGCAGTATTGATTGAAAAGCAAAAGAATCTATAAGAAAACATCGATATCATAAATGATAAAATTCATTTCAGAATATCTCTAAATTAGGAAAAAACTCTATCAAAGAGCTTAAAGGATATCATCGCTCAAATGCCTTCAAGAAAATAACATGCAAATTTTATAAGATTGAAGCAAACCTTATTTATTAACGAAAACCATCTAGAATTTGCACTTTCAAAAGTATCTTCAATCGTCAAATATGATCCAGAATTTTAAAAGATTCTTGATGAAATTTCTTCATCAAAATGCATAAATATTCAAAATAAATTAGAATAGATCTTTAAAGATTAGAATCTGACCGATTATGAATTTGAAATAGAAATAGCATAGATAAAAGATTTTAATGATGAATAAATTGAGCAATTATCAAAAGATCTCATACACTAAATAGATGTATTTTGGGGCATATTAAATTTCAACCAAGTTGAGGATGAATAAAAACCTGAAAAGAAAGTCAGATTGAATGAAAATGAATGATTAATATTGTAATTATTGAGTTTGTTTTATTAAATTATATTAATAATTAATGAGCATATAAACCACACTTTAAAGTACTTAAGAAGAATTAACAAAATTGCAATCACTTATATAGGAACTCTCAGAAAAAGGCAATCTTGATGAAATAACAGAGGGAATGAGTCACAAAGATTAAATTGAACTTAATCTCAACTTGGCTTATACTCTGTCTTCACTCTATTATTGTAAAATGTACTATAATTATTTAGCTTATTTAAAATTAAACTCAGTCGAAACCTCTGCTCATCCTATTATGAATGAGTTATCTAGAATATAAGAGGCTTTCCAAAAATATTTGCCTTCATAAGTCAAACAACCAGATTAGAAATAAATGAGTCTGGATAGAGATGCTGCAAAGAGATTTATACAACCTAATTTAAAGAGCTTAGATGATAACCAAAATTATTAACACAAACAAAAAAAATTAATCGAAGAAGATAAAAATAATACTACTAGACTTGAATAACCTGTAGATATATGGAAGAATGAAAAGGATTAATAGGATTAAAATAAACAAAAATTAATTAGAGGAAATCTCATCCCCTAAACAGGTCATTTGAATTGGAAAAATCAGATTGAGAAATTAATGAAAAAATGACATGATTGTATTTATTTTAAATATTAAATTAATTCTAAAATATTAATAATAATAATCCAAATAAGGTACATCACCTTAAAAATAATTTCAAAATGAATGAAACCTTAGAATATAAATGATAGGTGTTTCAATTTTATTTTATAATATGCCAAAAAATGATTTAAATGCAATTTAATCAGCATAATCAAAAGTATATCAAAATTAGATAACCATTCAGAACGATTTCGCCATATACCTTAATTATTTAACCTCTTATTAAATAAAATCAAATGAGCACACTCATAATTATTCAATACATAATTTATTGAAACTAATATGATAAATATATATTGAAATTGAAATAATGATTCTAAAGATTTAAGTTAAATTCTATTTTAATCATAATATTTTCTAATTTGAAATTCTTCTCAGTAAAAAGAGATAATAGATAATATAAGTATTATTATTATTGATATGAAAATTGAGAGGTGACTGTTAGATATTTTATCTCTCAAAGTCTCTATACCAAATTGTAATTTTTAGAAATATGAAGTTTTATCTCTCTGTTTATAAATGAATAATTAATATTAAATAGTAAAGTAATTTAAGCAGTAAAACCTAGTTTTATTCTCAATAATAATTTTCTTATTGTTCAGAACTATTTCTAATCAATCTGTTATTGCATATTATAAAATGATAATTTTATATGTCATTATTTGCCACTTGGCCCTGGTACGCAATTTAAAATATGAATCTTATCCCAAGTGTCACATGTCTCAGACTTCCATTGTTTTAAGCATTTACCCTAAAATTTATTGTAGTTGTTCATACTGATCTGCAACAGACTTATGTCTCAAATCCACAAACTACACCTCCGGCACTTTGACATCTATTTGTGCAATCTAAACTCCATGGGGCAAATTAATATTCGTATCTTAAATTGCTTTATGCATTCAACTAGCTGCAAATAACTAAACCCAATAGCAAAATGAAAACGCAAAATCTCATAATTATTAATAATAAAAACGATATTATAATTTTTGCCTAATTTAAGAGTTCATAACTTAAGGATAAGGCAAATGATAGTTGAATTTAAAGAGAGATATTATTACAAAAAAATTAGTAAATTGTCCCTGTCAACTTAATGTTAGAGTCAATTAAAAAAATGTAATTGTTCTAAGAAATTTTTTTGAATTTAAGTCTAAATTATTAAACAGAGTTTAGAAATATAGGTATTTATTTAGTATTTATTGAAGAAAAATATCTTTTTATTAATTCTAGACAATCCATTTAATTATTTATTTTATATAATATACAATACCTATACTATGAATGAAGAGATAAATGAAATGAATTGAATTGAATTTATCCTATAATTAGAAAAATTATAATTCTATGGAAGTATAAGGGTTTCTAATAAATGAAAAATGTTTTAATTTATTATTAAAAAATTAGTTTTTATTGTAATTCTATTATGAAACAATAGGAAAAAGAGCGATACTCAGTAACCTTAACAAATGGTAACACGTAGATTTTTAACTGTTAATCACTTAACCTCAAATATTAGATCTCAAAAGTTGATTCTACTATACCTTTTGAGTTTATGATGCTTGTCAATGATAAAATCAATTATGTTTTTCAATGTAACTTAGATTTGACTAAGTCATTTGTGAAAACAAATTAAACAAATGAATTATATAATCTGAAGTTAGTTGACATGCAACAAGTCTTTAATGAAAACTTATAATTAAAAACTAGAAATAGACAAGTTCAAGATGAAATAATAGAATGTAAAAGGAAGAATGAGGAGATAAACAATGAATGTTAAGAATTAATGAGACAAAATTAAGGGCAATAAAATTAATTAAATATAGCAAACAATAAGATAAGAGAGTTGGAAGAAATATTAGAACAAACCTCTCAAATCGGAATGAATGCTCAAAAATCTTTGGATTCAAATTTATAATAGAAAAATAAAGTAATACAATAAAAGGAAGAAGAAATCTATGCATTGCAGCAAGAAGTCTCAAATTAAAAAATCAAAATTTAAAGTATTACAAGGTAATTTTAAGAAAAGGAGGATGAATATAAACAAAAAATTTAAGCTGTTGAATAATCAGAAAATGAAATTCGTGATAATCTTATAAAAAGTGTAAATTAAGTTTAGGAACTATAAGCATATATAACTAATCAATATAATTAATCATGTACTCTAAAATAAGAGTACGAAAACTTTTATTAATAGATGATGCCATATTATTAGGCCTGTTTTGAATTAAATAAAGTAAAAGAAGAACAAGATACTTCGATAGCAGATAAGGATAAAAAGATAAAAGAATTATAAAGGGAGATTACAAGATTGAAAGAAGAAGCTAAAGAAAATTTATAGTAACAATAGGATCATGATAAGGAATAGTTGGAAAATTAAAAAAAATCATCTGAAAGGCAATAATAAAAACTTAATAATGATATCAATGAATTAAAAAACTAAGTTACAAATTTGAAGAATTAAGTTTCAATATTAGAAGCAGGGACTCAAGAAAGAGACTAGAAAATCAAAGAACTTAAAAAGTAGTATTAGAATGTAAAAGATTTAGAAAATGAAGGAATTCAATAGAATAATTTTTTTAAAATGTCAACTGGTTAACCAGTACCAGAGTACTTAAAGAAGAAATGAATTAAATTAAAAGTGAATATTATAAATAATTGACAATTACAATTATAATTGTATTTATAAACAATTGATATTACATATATCATATTAGGTTGTTTTCAAAATGTATTTAAACTATTATGTTAATGAGAATGAAGTAAAAAAGGATTTGAAAGTTATAATCATATTTAATAAAGGAAACAATGAATACACAAAATATATAAGTTGCAACACTATTAATTAACATGGTTCTCATTATTGAAGAAAAAAGAATCAAATTATACGAAAAAATTTGCTTTTATAATTGTTTAAAGATAAATTCCTCAGAATTTTAAATTTAATTAATGATATAATTTACAATTTCTTATCAAGGAAATAATCTACTTGAATCTCTTGGAAACAAACTTGCGTTTCTAATATTTTTTAAATCAAAGTATAAATATAGGAATCTTTCTAAACCAAATGCACATCCTCCATGAGGATAGGATCCATACCTTTAGATATAGAATAATACTTCACCTGAAGGAATTAATGTAGTCTTTTAATAGTTGAGCATCTTATCCTATTCCTTTTAGTTAATTATTTAAATGTTCTGGATCATGAATTCTTTAATGGCCTGATGCTATTTCTTCTCCTCTCAAAAAGAATTTGTAAGATAAATTAAAATTAGGATCCACTTTACAAGGCATAATACAGGAATTTTAATTTTCTCTTGGTAATCTATTCAGAATGAAAAAGTCAGTTCCATATTTCTCTTTTACTATCTTTCCTAATTACTTTTAATTTGTAATGCAAAAATAATATTAAGGACTTTAAACAATACCAACTTCTTGAAGTAATTTTATTGCATCAAAATATGTTAATTTGATAATAGGGTAACAAATCTTAATAGGTTAAAACTAAAACTACTTTGCGATGATTTAAATTTCTTAATCAAACTTTTTCTCAATTCCCTTCAATATAAATAAACATAATTCTTCTGTCAGATCTAGCAATTCAGTATAATTTTCTTTGATAACCATTTCTAAATCCATACATATAAATTCACACAATTCTCTATGAGTGTTACCATGAAGTGCCCGAAATGCTGGGGATACTTCAAAAACTCTTTCAAAATCAGCCATCAGACACATTTATTTATATTTACAAGATGATTAGGATAAAAATGCTTGATAATTAAAGTACTATAATTTAAATTTGCAATAGTTATTTTTTGTATTAAATCCTAATAGTTTTGGAGTATGAATTTCAATAAACCCCTTTTCTATTAAAAATTATCTAAAAAGCAAAGCTATTCCTGATTTTACTCGAAAAATGGCCTATTTTGCAGGAGTTCTTAAGTCAAGAACTCTATTATTTAATCTTTAATTTTGAGATATTTGATAATCTTGAATTTAGATTAACTGCTGTTGATCTTCATTCTACTTTTACTATTATAAATTAGGATAATAATCAATAATTTTTCTTGAAGCTTCTTCAATTTGAAATGGCAATTTAGTAATTGATCTACTTATCACTCTAATAGTTTATATATGTAATTCAACTTATTAAGTACAATCCTTGATCTTAAAATTTGTTTATAAAACAACAGCTTCTATGTCAACTACAGATTCCAAATTGATTCCTCCTGTGTATTTAATCATTTGCGAACCTATTTGTTCTCCTTTTGTTAAAACAGCTTAGATTGTATACCAATTTTCTCTGAGAACTAAAAAAGCAATTTTTCCTTTCATTCTAGAATTGTGAATCCTAGCTCTGAGTAAGATAGTTTTTCCAATTGTTGATTCATTGATTTGACTTACTTTCATCCATTATCGATTTGTTTTCTAAGACTATTATATTAATGAAACATCCCCATATCTATCTCCGTCATTAATGTCTTACTATTTCTCATTCAATTACTAATTAATCATTTAATTATTAGATCTCTTGAAATCTTTTAAAATAATTCTTTTATATAGTATAAGGACTTATTAAAATTATTGATTTATAAATTGTTGATACTAAATTAATTGTAATAAAATAGCAACCAATCCATTTCCATATTGAATGTCCTCCTAACATTATATAAGTAATAAAATTATTAAATAAATCCAATATCAAGAACATTTGATAGTAGTAAATAATAATTTAATATTATGAAATTCGTATACAAAAAGCAAATCGTAAAACCAAATAGATAAGCTGTTTAAATTGCTTTGGAAAATTTGCATTTATTGAATTATTCTAACTTTTACAAAATCACCCCAATCCACATTCATTTCCTAAATCAATAATTGACTTGAATTGACCTATATTCTAATGTGAGAACAATAATAGCTATGAAACGCAGCATAAAATTATTTCCAAATAAAAGTTATGAATAAGTTAAGAATCAGTTTAAAATTCACTATATTCATTATTATTATTATTAGAGTTCCAGTTTTTTTAAAGATAATTAAGTTTCATAACCTTTAATCAAACACTTAATTTTTCTTTGTTATATCATTGATAGATTGGATATTTCATTTTATAATTATTAATATAATTTATTTATAGTAATCATAATTGGGAAGCCAGTTTTGGTGACTTTTGCAAGAACTATTATTATAATTTCTTTCTTTATTCTTGAAGTTGTCTGCTTTTTTGTTCTAATTGGCTTATTTTAAATTCAGACTGTATCAATTATTCTTGTAAATTTTGATATTAAGTTACTAACTTGTCGTTTGAGCATTCGTTATTCTCTTTTTCTCTTTAATTATGCAAAGGAGTTGAAAAACCAGTATCAGTTTGAATTCTATTTGATTAATTATATTGATTATTGGCTAAGCTCTACCTCTGTTAAGATAAAACATTTGGAGTAAGTGTCCTTGATTACACAACCTAATGCTTTGTTGGAGTTTAATTTAAACGTTAATTATATGGAATTTTTTGTGGGGTCAGTGCTGCATTTTGGGGTTATTAAGAATATTTTATCACATTAGGACTTACTGAAACTTTGTTTGTGATTAATCTTATTGGAGAGACATTTGAAATTTACTAATCAATGTTCTATGACACTCTTCTCGTAGATTGCAATTAACTCGATTTATCTAATGGAATAATGATCGACTATTAATTCTATACTGGCATTCTAATTGCAGGTTATATTATTCTCTAAATACAAATCCTTATCATACCTAAGTATATTAAAACATTTTTCAATATTCCAATTAACAGATAAATAATTAAAAATATTTATGTATATTTTTAATTAATTACAGGCATAAGTTAGATTGAAATAATAGTGTTATTTATGCAAATAGCATTTATTCTTATGTGAAAATAATGAATTTCTATCTAATGATAGTTATATATCATTAAACATTTTTAGAAGATTAATATTTATAAAATGAATAAAAAAATGTAATAAATATATATAACCAAAATTGATTCACAAATTTCATTGATTGATAGAAGTTTTTTATTTTTAATTTAGATTTCGGCGTGCGCTTCCACTTCTACTTCTAGGTTGAGTTTATAGGGTTTCTAAAATTAGACAATAATATATTACGTTAAATAGTTTTTTGATGGAATTAAGAATTTTAAGAATTCTTCTTAGATGCATTGTAACTAAATAAGTTACCTTTCTTATCTTTAATAATTATTTATTATTGAATAGTGTCATTAATTGAGGATATCGAATTATGTTTGCCATGAAATGATTTTTAATATTCTTGTTGTTATTACATTAACAATTACAATTATTATTACTGTTAATGATTTTATCCATATTGAAGGATATTAAAGTAATTTTATTTCAAAGAACCTTAAGATTAAGTAGGATAATCTGTGCTTTCTTAAAGCTAACTACTTAATTTGTGTTCTGAATATGAACTAGTTTTATTGGTTTCCTTACTATTAGGCTTCTTTTGTATTAGTGCTTTAATCTATTAGCTATTCTTATTATGCTTCTAAACTTCTTGATCTCTTTGATCATATTCAATTGTCTTTTTGTATACTTCATTTTCGTATTCTTATATTCGTTGCTTATAGTAAGCGATATCAGATTACAATTTAGTGTTTTCCTCGTAATAATTTTAGTTTTCCCTTTTGAGATTCTAATGGAAAATATTCACAGATGTTTTACATTCATAATTTTCTTGGTGGTTTCCAGAAGCTCATTTCTCGTAGATTCACTCTCATCCAATTTGGCTTGGATTGATTCTGCGTACAATTTTAATTGTTATTCTAGCTATTTTGAAGATAACAATTTATGTATACTCTAATATGATTTCTGATTTCGCCCTCATATTTAATCACAGTTTACTCCAATTTTTCGTATTCTTCCTCAGTTCTTAAACTTCTCAAGGAGGCATTTGGATCTACATCTTTCTCTAACTTTCTTAAATCATAAAATTGTTTACTTGACTTTTTTGTCAATTTTTAACATGAGATTGGTGAAAACTACCTTAATTATATTGACTAGTTGGGGTAGATTCTCATAATCTTTCAATTCTTTCTCAATTTCATTGAGATCATTTTTGGTTTCAATGTACTTTTCCAATTAAATTAAAATTCTCTCCAATAAATCCTTGAGGGAAGACTCCATTTCTCGATCGGAATATGAAATCAAACTAGTTTCACTCATTAACAGTTTATTAATTATATTAAATACTTTTCATATATTTTGATTACATAATCAAATTTAAGATAAAGAAAAGGTATCAAATTACACTAACTTATTTTATTTCTTTATTTCTCAAAGGCAAAAAAACTGAAGTATATTTTATATAAATAAATTGATAAAATTACAGTTACACAATTACTCCACCCTTTGATTCTAAAATGATGAAATTAGATAGGGATACACCAGTTTATAATTGTATTTAAGTTGAATACATTAAATTAATCAATAAATAATGAAACATATTTCATAAAATTCATAGAATTAGTAACTAGTCACAAAGACCTACAATGACATCCCATTCACCATTTACAACCGCTATTAAGGAATTAAATTATTGGGAGCTGGATCATATGGAACAGTGTTGTTAGCTTTGGATACCCAGACCAACACCAAAGTTGCAATTAAAAAATTAAATCCATTAGAGGATATCATAGATGCCAGAAGAATGTTGAGAGAAATAAGAATATTGAGAGCTATGACTCATCCCAATATAGTTGCAATCAAAGCAGCCATCTATGATAACGTATCATAAGAAAGCGATTATTTTGGCACTGTCTATTTAGTGCAAGAATATTTTTAGGCTGATCTTCACAGAGTTCTTAAAAATCCAAAAGACCTCACTGATGATCATGTACAATTCATCATGTATTATATCACATCCTATTTGAGGTATCAATTAACCAAGGCAGTGGCCTATTTGCATTCAGCATCCATCCTACATAGAGACATTAAACCATCCAATATCTTAGCCAAAGATGATTGCTCTATAAGTTTATGTGATTTCGGTCTCTCCAGATAAATCGAAGAATACGAAGAAGAAGATAATAAAAAATCATAAAATTTCACAGAATATGTTGTCACAAGTATAAACAATCTAAAATCTTACTATAGGATACTACAGAGCACCAGAAATTATGGTTTCTTCTCAATAATACTCATTTCCTATTGACATATGGTCATTGGGCTGCACTTTCGCTGAAATATTAAATGAAGGAAAAGTAAATTATTATACAAAAACTATCAGGTCCTCTTCAAAGGCAAAACTTATGTTTAAATGGTTAAGATGATCTTTGAAACACTCGGTAAGCCTGTCTAGGAAGACCTGGATTAATTCATTAAAAACAAAAACGCTATGGAATTTGTTCAATCTCTGCCAAGTGTTCCACCATAATCAATCAAAAAGATAATTGATTATCCCAATCCCCTAGCTATAGATTTATTGGATAAGATGCTTGTAATCAACCCTCACAAAAGAATCACAGCTCATGAAGTATGATATATCATTAAATCAGGCTTTAAACCATCCTTATTTTAAGGAGATAAGAGAAAAGACTGAAGAAGCGCCTTATAAAGGGTAGACTGACTTTACATTTGAAAATGATGACACAATTAGTTTTGAACAGATGAGAATTATGATCCTCGAAGAATTGAATAAATTAAGTGAAAAGATAGATATTCATGATGAAATGGAAAGATTAAAACAACTTAAAGAAAAAAGGAGAGCCTAAAAGCATAAAAAGTGATGATTGTGTTATTATTCATTATAATATTATAAGGCAAGCATGTCAAATTAATTATTAATTTACAAAAAAGCTCCTTGTATAACGGAGAAAGTTGTCGTCGCATACTATAGATCCTAAAGGCACCGAATATATAAACTTTAACAATAATTCATATTTTGTGTATTCAAATTTGTAAGTAAAGTTCAGTAATACCAATCCATATAACACACCAAACACCAAAAAAATTATAATAAACATCTATTTAAAATATGTTGAAACTTTACATTATAAAAAAAAATAAGGTACAAACATTACTCTTACATGAGTTCGTAAAAACTCTCTATTAGATATTAAAATGCTTAACTGATTATAATAATGCCCTCTAATTCTTATATTGGAAATAAAGTTCTATTTGTAAAATTTGTTGATTCAAACTCTGATCTAAAGGTATTCTTGATATTTATTATGGTTGAAGTCAATCCTTTTTGTAAATTGCCAAAAAGGGAGCTGTTACATACTGTTGAATTTTGGTTAATTTCCTAATTATTATTATTAATTTATACATCCAAGTAATTGCAAAGATTCCCTTCACTGAATTTACTGAAAAGCGGATTAAAATCCTTATCAATAATATAAGAATTAGATTAATAATTCCATAAATTAGTAACGTAATCCTCCAACTCGTTGATACCTTATTCACAATTGTTATGATATTAATCTATGTCTGTTTAAGTGAAAAAAGTAAAGGTTTATTTATAATACAAGACTTCTCTTGATGAATACATAACTAAAATATTGGTATTCAATCTCGTAAGTGATTAATAAAATTCGGCAGCATTCCGAATTTCATTATATGCATATCCCAACTCTATTTATAATCCTATGTATATTGCCAATAGGATTAAAAAATGAGATATAATAAGCAAGTATGATTTAATATTGAAAAAGTCTATTGGTAATATTACTTTTTTCTTTTTTTAACTAGATTTGGAAATCAACAATTTTAAATTTTAAAAATATGTGTCTTTATCTTAAAAATTAAATTGATATTGTAGAATTTAAGTGAAGTCTCGCATAATTAACTCCTTAAGATTATGTAATCTCTGAATGTCTGAAATAATATAAGTGTGTTCTTAATTAAATAATAGTATTTTTAATTCTTCTTTTTATAAACAATACGAATAATGAGAAATTGAGATCAATATTTGCATGATACTCATTAAGAGTAGAGTGTATATCATAATATTTAATAATTAACTTTGATAATACTGAGAGTCTGATTAAAGTGAAAGTAAGGCCCCTGTATCAACTTTCTCAAAAGTTTATAATAGCAAATTAAAGTTTTTATAGACATAAAAAAAATAAGGACTCTTTGAATCAGCCGTTCCTCCATTACTATAGACGACTTTAGAATCATATTAATAATTTAATAAGGTGACTAAACTGTTTCTTAAATTTAATTCCTCTTAAATCCCCTTATTTCCATACTCTAAGAATTCCAATTACAAAGAGATTCTAGAGTAATGTGTGAAAAATAATTATTGTTCTAATAAATCTGAGATTTCTTATTTTAGTTTATCGTAGCTTTCTAAAATTTTGGAATTAGGATATTCTAAATACTCTGACCACTACTTTTTTGTAATTAAATTAATGTATAATTCAACATTGTAATTAATTATCGAAAATCTAATTAGAGTAGAAGTTGATATTGGATAAAAGATACTGTTTTTAAAACTAAGTAATTTGAAATCACTTAAAAGAAGATCAAAATTGCTAACCACTTAAAGATGCTAAAATATACATAATATTTTACTAATATAAATCCAATAATTGATATAATTAAGTAAAGCAATCTCTAAATTGTTTTTCTTAAGAAAATCTTTGGTGATTTTCTACAAGTTGATAAATTATAAACCAATGAAAATTACCTGTGATACTATGACTTTTAGACAGCTGATAAAGATGATTATCTTGAAGCAGCCTCAGATTTCTATTTGTTTTCATATAATTTTTAGACAGTTTTTTAATCTCCCTCTTGGCTTAAAATATAATGTTCCTCATCTATCTTTGGAGTAAACAAGATATCATTTTATTAGAAATTATTATTGAGAATTTCATCTTATGTTATTCTCTCTGGCTTATTATTATTTTATTAACTAATTAACTTATTGTGGATAAATTTTGAATTAAAATCAAAATGTTTGTTGGTATTAATTAATTCATCAAATCCATGAGAAGCATTTTATTGCTGTTAATTTTCTATTCCAATCTCATCACTTTTGTTGATTTTTTTGATATTAGACAAATTTAGTTAATAAATAACAGTCCCCAATATCATTTATCTTTCCATTACTTCGAGATCGCATTTATATAAAATCATCTCCATCTTTGTGAGTAATGAATTCTCTTAATTTCTTTAACTCTAGTGGTTTAACTTCCTTTAATCGAAGAAACGAAAAAACTATGAGAAGTGCTTCTCATTGAATTTAATAGAAGCGAAATTTTCAAAAAGTACACTGATATCAATGCCATTTAACTATTTAGCAAATCTTGTATCGATGTCAAATATTTTGCAAAATAGTTCTTCCTCTATATTAACAATTTATTTATTTTCATCTAAAAAGATACTGTAAGTACTTTCATTTTGTTTTTGAAAGAACAAAATCATTTCTATTGATTATAAATTTAATTGGCTTAAATCCATAATTAATTCTATTCTCTTGCATAGACCTGATGAATATTCAATGTAAGCTTAGTTAAGTTATTAAAAGAATTTATTCTCCATACCTGAGATAAACTTCTCAATTAAAGGGGAGTGGATTAATTTCATATAATTGGGTATCATTTAATCAAAGCTTAATTAAACTAATTCTGTTTATTAATCTTATTAATTATACTTATGCTTAATTATCTAAATATTATCTAAATCTTAAATAGCTACAGTCATATAGGACAATTGATTTTAAAAATTCGAGTGAATTGTTTTTATTACATATTCATCCTCGGTATTCTAAGGAGAAACGATGGACTAAGCAGAGATTAAATCATTTAATACTTCCATGTAATAAAACCTTAGAATATTAGAATATCTTTGGGCTTAAATTTAGAATAATATTTACTTTGAGTTGATTAAAACGAAGCTTTGATTATTTTTAATCCTTCCATCTATGTTTATATTGATTTTAATGCAATTTACTCTAAGTTTTTTGATTGATGTTTCTGATTTAAACATTGAAAAAATTCAATTTTTGTATCTATGACATTTGATAGGCTCTATTTAATAAATTCGTTTTATTTTGTAATCTTTAAATATTCTTAAATACTAAGGTGATTCTACAAAGAATCAACCTTTAATGCTGCTTTTTATCTTTGAAACTGATTTTATATATCAAGCCTTTGAAGATCTTAAGCAACTTTTAAAATAAGAAGCTTGCTTAATGAGTTGATTTTAATAGTAGGTCTATTGGTTTCCAATTTCAGATTTTCTTATGACTTCGTTGTTGTTTCAAATATTATTCTAAAATAACGATAAACTAGAAGGTATTTCTTTTAAAAGAATAGCAATTATAGATAACTGAAAATTAATGATTCTGAAACGACTCTTTAAGATAATTGTTATTAATATTTGAATAACAGTTCCTTAAAGAATACTTCATATGAGACAGCTTAAAATTGTTTCTCTTAGAGTCTTAATCTGCACTTACATTTACAATCTTTGCAGATTACAGAATGTTTCTATAGAAACATTAAAAATATCATATCTGATTGAAAAATTTATCTGCCTTCACTCATGCCATATATTATTTAAAATACAATGTGATTGCAATTTTTAAGGTTGACCGATAAGAAATTGATGAAATTGTTAATTAGATCTCTTTTTATATAATAAACAAAAACCCTATAAGGTATAATCGATAGCAGAATCCACAACGATTTAAATTGATAGTTAATAAAAATTAGTTGAAACAAACACTGAAAACTTATCACCAAAGTCATAATGGTTATTATCAAAATTATTTAAAAATAAACTCCATAAATTAACAATTTCTGAATTTAGATTTAGTAGATCAACAAAATCGCTGATATCATTGGCAATAGTATCTGAAAATAATCAAGGTATATACTGCGTTATTCCGAAAAATACAAAATAATCATTTAAAAGAGTTTTATAAGTATTCTAATATACGTTAGTATGGAATCATTGATCGACAAATGTTCTCTTTTAAAATCTAAAGCCCAATTATAAGTGAACATATATGTTAAAAAAACAAGAGTTATTAGTATAGTAATTATATTTATTACATTTAATGCTATCTGAAAATCATCATCGAAGTTTGCTTTGATATTTTATAAACATATTTCGATTGCCATAATTCCGAAACCATATTTTATCAAATTAATTGATATGTTTATGTATTTCATTAGTATCTTCTAACTAATATTTTTATTAAATGCTTATGATAATTTAATAAACGTATCAGCGGATCTAATTTTCATCATATAAATGAATATAAAGCAACATATGAAAAAAATACATAAATAGCCAGTTATTATATAGGAGAGAATGGCATTCCGAGTTAAATAAGTATTAGGTCTTGAAATCGCTCTTAAAATATTATTTTCAGATGAACTGCTGAAAACCTGTTGTGTTGTTTATACAGTAATGTAGGAAATATTTTGCATTTCATTTATTGCTCCTAAGGCATATAATATGATGATAGGCATATTCCAAATGAATTGTTCGAAAATTAATGACCCTTGAACAAAATGTGATATTTAATTAGTAAATGAATTCATTTAATCTTTATTAATAAAATTTGAGAATTTTTATTATAATTTTAAGCTTGAATTAAAATAAAATAATAATGGCTAGTTATATTATTTCATAATATTTATAAGAAAACAACTAAATGATCAATACTTAATTCGTAACAACAATTTTTATGCTGTTAATTTTTCAGTAGTTATATTCTTAATACTTATGGATTTTTTATCATAATTTCTATGTTTCTAATTTGTAAGCCATTTTCTTTAAGGTTTCAAAGAACTCTCCTTTAATCTTAAAAAATTACTCTATTTTTATAATATATAAATGTAGACAACATCAAAATATTATTATTTTATTTCAGAATCTGTATAAAATGCATGAATCAAATTTTATTTATCTAAGCTTGAGAAATCTTCCAGAAGTTTATTCAGTTTGGTGTATGGTTTATTGGTAATCGGTAATTAGTTATCCAGACAGGTATTTAAATATTAAATTGCCATTATTAATGCTTTATTTAAATTTAAAGTTATGAGACTTTTTTATAGTTGTAACCACATTTAATAAGATTAAGAATTTTAATTTTATAGAATTAAATAATAATTTTAGAGGAATTTAAAAGTGGAGTTTTTAGGGATAAAATATCTTGTTCTAAATTTAGAAACTCATTTCCTATTATTATTTCAATTTGTCTTCAATGAATACAATGTTAAGTTGATAATTTTAATCCTATTAAAGATATCTTTAGCCCACTGTTCATTAAGGATTTGCTGCTCTATCAACTCAATTTTAATTTCAAGGAGTAAAATATTATGTCCATACAGGTTAGAGAGACAATCTATTTCAATTAATAGATAGTTCAAATAAATTAGTTTGAAATTGGTTGCTTAATGCTATAGTCGTTTAACCATTTTACTATTAAAATATTATAAAATGGGTGCATGTTCAGGAGTATGCTAATAACAGGCAAAAACTATAGTAAATGAATCAGCAATAGTTACAGAAACAATCATATAGGCATTATAGGAGGATACTACAATAAGCAGACCAATATAGAGGGAAGAGAGATACTTAAAAATGGAAACAGGTGCAATATATGAAGGAGATCTAGTTAAAGGAATTCGAAGTGGTAGGGGAAGATAAGTATGGCCAGATGGTATTAATATGACAATTTAGGTTCTTATTATGAGGGGGATTTTGTGAATGATATGGCTGATGGAAAGGGAATATTGGTAAATGCTGAAGGAAGTGTTTATGACGGGGAATGGTTGGAAGATAAAGCAAGCGGTTTTGGGAAGTACCATAGCCATGATGGGTTATACTATGAAGGACAATGGTTGGAGGACAAATAGCATGGTATTGGAAAGGAGATCAATTAAAGAAGTTCTTAGATAAATTAAATTGTTAGATGAATGCTATGAGGGCGAGTTCTTTAGAGGAGCTAAATAGGGGTTTGGGAAGCTGAGTTTAAATGATGAAGAATTTTATGAGGGCGAATTTTAAAGTGGGATGATGCATGGTAAAGGTAAGAAATTGAAATAGTAATATAGAATAGGAACTTATACTTGGAGGAGCAAAAAATCTTATACGGGAGAATGGAAAGAGGGACGGATGGATGGATTTGGGATAATGAAATGGGAGGATGGAAGATATTATGAAGGGGAATTTTAGAAGGGGAAATAACATGGAGAGGGTACATTTGTTTGGAAGGGGAAGAAGTATGTAGGAGCATGGATAAATGGATATTAGGAGGGGGAAGGAACTTATTATAATGAGTAAGGGGAGAGTAGAGTTGGTATTTGGAAGAATGGGAAGAGATAAGAATGGTTGGATTATTTAAGTAGCAGCAATAGTATTGAATAAACATTTTGAATTTATATTTATTATTAAATATTATGAGTTCGGCTCCATCCACAAATAATGTGATTATCACTAAAGTGGAGATTGCTAGATTTACGATTTATTTAGTGTCCTTAATGGTTTCAGTGCTTATGCAGATGCGAATGGAAGATTAAGGTATAATGAATACATCAGTTTAAAATTCGATGTTTTCAGGAATTTAAAATGTGTTTAAGTTTAATAATCAGACTCGATTCTCAATGTTGAATTGGGTGGACAAATAGTTGTATCATGGTTATTCATTGAATAACAATTCTACGGAGATGTATAGCAGGTTGATTCCGGTGAGTTTCCTTGAAATTCAAACTAAATATGCCAAGATTGATAGTTTGGTGAATGTTTGGGATAAGGATTTGACTGAAGACAAAGCAAACTAAGGATTTCAATAGCAATATATTTATCCGTTCATCCAGCGATTTCCGCCGTACCCTGTATTCAAGAATATCAGCTTCATCGATGATGTTAGTGGGATAACTCTGGATTCATTGAAACTAATTGATACTGGGTTTTTGACATCGAATACTCACTCATTGAAGGCTCAAGCATCATATTACAGTCCCAATTTGTAGATGATTGTAAACATTATTCTTATGACTAGTGTGTAGTCAGAATCAATATGGAATTCAGTGCTGCTGGCTAATCGTATCAATTCATTCAATATGACTCATTTAGATTGAGTTTTTATTTAAACAAAACTGATTATATCAGAATGGCTTTTGAGATTTTGTTCTCAATCATTTATATCAACTATTTATATATGGAGGGTTACAAGATATATTTCAAGGTTTAGTTGGCATCAAAAGAAGATGATTTAAAAGTATAAGCATAAAAAAAGAAAGAATAACGTTTGAAGTCAAAGAAGGAAGCTAAAAAAAGAGGGGGTGTTGTTTAGGGAGAAGAAGGAGAAGTTAAGCATCTTTCTGTTCTAGGGGATAAAGTAGAATCCAAAAGTCGAGAGAAAATGGAGAAGGCTCAAAGAAAAACAAAGATTATCATCAACGTTGTTATTCAACATATTTCTGATATCTGGAGTGCTATAGATGTGTTGATCTTAGTTATTCTTGGAATTGCTGCTTCAGAGTACATCAAGGCCATTTCATCTTAGCCATATTCTGACTCTTTGAATAATCTATTGGAGAACACCTCTACTTATTAATCTGTTTTTGAACCTGTTTATAAAGATATGCTGACTGGGATCTAAGTTTCTTATACTTTGAATGATGAATTTGCAGAACAGGCTGATATTTTAAGATTCTACAGAAGGTTTTGCGCAGTCGCACTCTTAATAATGTGGATCAAGTTGTTGAAGTATTTCATTAACATCTTTTAACGATTAATAAGTTACTTGGAGATCATCTTGAATGTTATTGAGTACATGATATTTTATTTAGTATTGTTGGGAGCAATTTTGATATCATTTTCATTGTTCTTTTACTTTCAATACGGAAGTTAAATTTTCATTACCTCGACAATTGGAAGATCATTGTCTTACATCTTAGGATTTATGATAGCTCAAAATGATCAATTTAATGAATTGTTCAAGTATGATGAAGTCATCACATTCATAATGACCATCCTTTACTATGTTATTGTCATTATCATATTGTGTAATATGTTTTTCGTCTTTGTTAAATAAGAATATAATGAATATTAGATGAAGCTTGAGAAACAATCCTAAAAAAATAACAATTCCAAAAAACATGATGAGATGGTTAAATATATACATCCCTACTGGTATTTCTATAACATTGCTGAATATTTTGTCATGAGATTTTGGTTCACCTTAAAATTATAACCCTCGAAATTTGATGATTATAATGAAAACAAAGAATTGCAATATGTAATTAACGAGAGAGAATTCAAAGAAAATCCACAAACCATCGACTTTAACGTCGATTTTGCTAACTTAATCAACCAATCAGTTGATGATGATGATAAGAATCAGAAATTCTTGATAGAGGAAGAAAAGGAAAGAATTCTAAGTAAATAGAAGATGGAACTTATTAAACTGATTTGGAAAACAGTGCTATTATTATTGATATTGTCCTTGAATTTCATTTTACTCTAAGAATTTTATAGTCCTGCTGATGCTTATTTGCAAAGTGATTCCATCTCAAGGAAAATTAGATATGATAGGTCCAATGCATAAAAACAATTCAAAGATTTAAATACTATTCAAGATATGACGGATTGGCTAATTTATGGATTCCCAGATCTTTTTGAAGACAATATATTTGGATAGAATGAGTTGGCAATCCTAAAAAATCAAAACCCAACAATAAATTTTAACTCCTCTTCATCTGATACTATCCTGTAATATCAACTTCAAGAATATGCTTTTGATAGTCTAATTAGAACTAGTTCATTGAATACTTTCAATATAGTTGTCAATGATGTAATTAGAGTAACTATCAGAAGATCTTTGATGGTAAATAATACATTGGAAGAATTCTCTACCTTTGCTGCTCAAACTATGCTCCTATTTTTAAATTCTCCAACTGACAACATAGATTCAGAAAATGAGAATTATGAGAGTTTTTACGATGCCGACACCAATTTCACTATTGATTACGATGAATCCAATGGATTTGAAGGGGAAGGAGGTTTAGTTATGTTGCTGGAACCAAAATAATTGAGTCCTGTAATAGATTCGTTGTAGAAAGTCAAATTAATTGATAGCATCAGTTCCATAGCTATTTAATTTGTAACATTCAATCCTATTAATGCAAGAGGATTAGCACACATTAAATTGTCATTTACAATAAATCAATGTGGTGCTCTTTCCTTCAAATTAATCGATGTGCAAGGTATTAAAAAGAACTCCTTATAATCGGTAAGTGAAATCAGTATTTTGATCTTGTCAGTCTCACTTATTATTGCTCTTTGCTATTATTTATATGTGACCATAAAGACTATGTTACACAAGAATTTTTCTTATGACAGATGGTATAGCACCTACATATTACTATCATTAAATAGATCATAATTATACATGAGAGAAAGACATATGCCTGAGTTTATAAGAAAATCGCTTTTTTTAATGGATATCTCATAGTTGCTCAATTTATTGTTTTTGACTCTTCTAGGAGCTCAGATTACATTGATATTGTATTACTTCTTTTAGGTGAATACTTTGATTTAAGGATCTCAGATATTCAGTACTTCAATCAATGATTTATTGCCTTCAACATTGTTTTCTGTGAATTAGAATGTGGATAAGTATGTTTTCTTTAGTTAGGTCTAGAAAATTGGAGATAATAGTAAGTTAATTGGGGCATTTGGCTCATGTGCAATTTTGGTGTTGTGTTTAGAAATTTTATATTTACTTTCACACAATAAAGATTTTTAAACCTTGACAAACTCAATAAAGTACACCTTATCTCATCTACCATTCATTTTAATTATCCTATTGGGTATAATCGTGGCTTTTTCATCGATGGCTCACTTAGTTTTGGGCACTGATCTCATTTAATATTCTACATTCTTTGGAACTATTGTTAAAATGCTTGATTTCATTTCGAAAATAGATGATATATCATTCTTTCGTCTCGATGATAGAACCTTAGAATTCTATCTCATGATAATACCTTACACCATCACCGTTAGATTTATCATCATGAATATGTTCTTTGCTATCACATTAAGAGGTTATTTGCTAAGCAAAGAAAAATATGCTGAAGAATAACAAAATCAGAAATCGCATCCTTTGTCATTAACTTCTCAAGAGTTCGTTATGCTATCTATTCAAATGTTTACATTTAAGGAAAAACTTATTAAGGTTGGATCTGATTAATATTTAATGCAAATTATTAAGTAATTCCAGCCAATCAAGGTTTATACTTCAATCAAGGACAACATAAGAAATCAGACAAACTTAACAGCCATGAAGGCTTGGGCTGAAGAATGTGCAAAAGAGATTAAGGATGAGAAGGAAATAAGGAAACCACTTGATGTTGCCTGTCATGAATTGTTGTAGGCTTACATCGATCAAAATAACAAGGGGGAATTTGATATCCTACAAAGATTGAATACCGATCCAAAGAGAAAATTAATTGAATTCTCTTTGAAATTGACATACATAAATTATTTTAGATTTGCTATTGATTAATTAGATAAATTTACAGTCTTTTTTACAAAGAAAAGAGAACAAATCAGATCTATCTTGTTTTCTGACAGCAAAGGAGAAGATTACAAAAAGATGGTCTACATTTGTTCTTTGGAAGCTCAACTGGAGGAGAATATTTAAAGCATGACCTTTATAAAATAAGAACTCTTAGCCTTGGGATTTGATATTGGTGAGGCAGGTGAAATTGACAGCAAAGAGAATGTCATCAAAGTCAAACAATAAAAATAACAAACTTTAAAAGCCTCATTTTAAAATCCCATGTCTGATAGGATATTCTAGTTGACCAAATTAAAACCAGATAACACAAAAGATCTGAAAAACTCCCCTGAACCATCAGATAATGAACCTGATCAAGATAACTAATTTGCTGAATCACGTATATAACAAACAATTAAGCCTTCCACGTTTAAATAAGCACAAACTATTGAAGTAAAATAGGATGATCCAAGAATAAAAGAGAACAAGGATCAATAATAAGGTGAAACTACAGAAAAGTCAACAGATGAAAAACCCAAATCTGATCAGCCAGTATAGCCAGAATAGAAAGTTGGAAAGGGGATCGTTAAAAACATGTTTTAAGTGGGAGATAAGAAATCAAAAAAATGACTAATTAGAATATACAATTATTTATTCATATCTAAATTTTATACAGACTGCAATAAAAATTCTAATTTTGATATTAAAATACACTAGGTATATAATAATAAATTATTAATTATTAACGAGTTTTTATTTCTTCAAATGCTACGAAAAGACAGTTCTTACAGAGAAATATCCTTAACGGACTCCATAGAGCAGAAATCATTTTTAAACTTAACCAGAAAACCATCCAATGCTGATTTTAAAGGAAAGACACCCTTAGGTGTCTAAAACAAAGATAATAAGGAGAATTCATCTGCAAGAATTCATTCTGATACACCTCCATAAGACTTTTTTTTTAAAAGAGAAGTCATCAAATCGGAGAAATAGTTACCCAATGAGAAAACAGCAATATATAATGATGCATCAAGATTTTAATCATCCAAAACGTATATGGAATGCAGGATGGAATAAGTAGAACAGCGCAGAAAAACCTAAAGTCCATAGTTATTGTCCATGACTCCTGTTCAGAATAAGTAAATCATTCAAGAAAGTTATAATCATCTCCAATAACCATAATAATAATAATAACAAACAGTTTAAAGTTCGATCAATTTAACTAGAAAGGCTTCAGTTGTTCCTTCAAGAGGGTTATCTACCTTATCTTCCCCAACTCCTAAAGAAGGAGATTTTAATATCTATAAACAGCAGAGCAGCATACCAGCATCATATTTGGATTCAGTTGTTACTAATAGAAATAACAAAAATTATACTGTTCCGGAACAGTAATAATAATAATAACCACAATAACAATAATAATAATAATATTTATAATAATAATAGTAACAATAACAACAATAATAAGAATAGAAAAATCCCTCTCTAAAATTATACTACATTACTTCGCTAATTAAGGCTTTTAAAATGAAAGGTCCAAATTCAGCAAAAGAGCATCTCATTCATAATATGCAGGTAAAAATTGATCACACAATTTAAGGGAATCATAATCGCTAAGAAGCTAAAAGTACCCCCAGTTAAGAAAGCCATAACATTGCCAGTGACTGACAAGAAAACTCTGCTGTTTGACTTGGACGAAACATTAGTGCATTGTAACTCAAATAGTTTTATCCCTGGAGATGTTTTACTCAATATAAATCACGAAGGAGAGAAGATGGAAGTATAGAAACAATATAAAAATATAGGCTTCTTTGAATATTAGACCTTATACCTCTCATTTACTTTAGTCGTTAAGTAGAAATTTCGAATTGATTGTATTTACTGCTTCTCAATCACATTATGCTAATGCGGTGATAGATTATTTAGATCCATAGAAAAAGTGGATAAGTCACAGATTCTATAGAGAACACTGCATACCTACAGATGATGGACATTTCATTAAGGATCTTCGTATTTTTACAACAAGAAAACTAAGTGATATGTTGTTAATTGACAATGCTCCTCATTCTTATCTTTATTAAATTTAAAATGGGGTGCCAATCATACCTTACATCGACAATAAGTCAGATGAAGTAAATATCAGTTTTTAATCAATTAGGAATTGAAATCGTTATTGTAATATTTGATGTAATTTAAGAATGTTAAGGATGTGAGAGAATTGAATATGTAGCAAATGAAATTGCATCGTTTTTCAGAATATGATGACCCTCAAGAACTATTAAAATGTGAATTTAATGAATACTAATTATAATCCGTTTTATTATGATTAAATCACTTTTTATATGTGCCTTGCTTATAGGATTGAGTGTAGCCTCACTCTCAGAAGAAGGTGAAGTTATAGCCAAATTGACATAATTGGAACAAAGTGAATTTGGTCGATATTTGATTCACACAATTTAACTGGAGATGGAAACATCTGACAGTTTAGACCACTTAATCAACGTACTAGAAAAGTTAGAAGGACGTTACTAAGATGATTAAAAAGAAGATGATGCAAACAATAGACTCTATTAGGATTAATGTGACTCAGACATTGGTTCACTTGATAAAGACATTGCCAATAGCTAATATTCAATTCTACAACTTGAGGCAAAACTAGAAGGTAATCTCATTCCTGCTAGATCAATCCAATAAGGTGTTGAAAAGGCTAAATCGGCAGAAATTAAGCGTAATATTTCCCTTTTAATTTAGAATACACCCAAGAAATATAAGAACTCGACGAGGAGAGACAAGAACAAAATGAAGTTTATGAAGCTAAAATTGCTGAACATTATGAAGCCTCCAAAATCATCAGAGAAGCTCAAGCAATTATTAAGGATGGACTCTAAAGACCCTCTTTGGCAGAAGTGAAGAAGAATGGCAAAAATGTTCTTAGAATAGCTCCCAATGTTTTAGCTTAAGTATCCTCAAGTTTGGGTGGATCAATTAATAAGATCAGATAAACTCACAGATTTACTAAAGCTTATGCAAGCATTTTCAAGGTGTTGTTAACAATCATGAATAAATCTGAATCTACTGCTGATGAAGGATCTGTTGAGAAGTATTTTAATACATTTATATTGAACACTCTAGAATAATTCAACTCTGCAGTGATTTATTGGCCAAGATTGATGACAGTACTAACTTAGAAAGATTTGCTGAAGACAAGAGAGTTTAGGCTTATGAAAAACACAAGCATTTATTAAATAGAGATTTATAATCTGCTTAATCTATTTTAGCCAACACTCAAGCAACTTTATAAAGGTTATTCTCATTTTTAAATATTTAGTTTGAATGATTAAATTTAACAGGCCCAAAACTCCATTGCCACCATATAATAAAGATTAGATTATTATTAAGATACTAGATAATAAAGATACACTGAATGCGAGGAAGCTGCCTATGATTATCAATAGGCTAGAAGTGCCAGAGATAACAATAAACAATTAGTATCTGACTTAATTGGTTTAGTCAATAAACACCTAAGAGTTCTCAGAGAACAATTAGCACTTAGAGTTGCAGCTGGTGATAATATATGAAATACATTTGGATTATTTCTATTATAATTAATTGAACTCTTCTTTTATGGGGCTAGAAACTATGACACTTGCATAATATGGCATCTCATAAAATACTTTCTATTCAAATTAATATAAATATATTAATAAATGATAAATTAAGACAGTGCAGATCTTGACATATAACAGGAAGGCTTTGATTTTTAAAAATTCTTTGACAAAAAATGTTCGAATTAAGAACCTCAAAAGGAAGAGGTCCATAAATCTAATTAGTCTGAAAGCTAATAACAATGTTAAGGGGATACTTTAAGGGCATTAGTCAAGAATATTAAAATTGAAAAACAAGTAGCGGGAAGAAATAAGAAAAATAAAAAGATTTAATGGAATGAAAAGAACACCAAGATATTTAAAGATCTCTATTAATAATATTCAGGCAATTTGGATTAAATCCTTTTATACTTTTAACAAAACAATGAATTAAAAACAAAAATTGATATTAAATAAATTAAAGTATAATCGTATAATTATAATTACTAGAATAAATTTAAAATAGAAAAGAAAAAAAAAAACTTGACTTTGCTCTCAAAGTCTCAAATAATATCCAAAAATCTTAATTACTAGCTAAAATTGGACTGAATTAAATTGATTTTAATTAAATTATATATTCCATCTGATATTTTTCTGACTATTTTTAAAGTACATAATTTTTTACATTTTCAGAATCACTAAATAATGAATATTGTATAGAAAAAGCGGGAAGAATTTTCAATCAACATCAGGAAGTAAAAGAGAGAAGAATTGTTTAAATCCAAGAGAGTCTCTAATACCCAATATTTACCATTTTCTGATACTACGACAATGCTATCAGAAATTTATTAGAATGCATATTACCAAAAATAGTGTCCAAACAATGTTTAACTTAATGAAACTATCTAAAAGATTTTCAAAATATCTGAATTAGCAGATGCATTTAATTAGCATGATTGCGAAAAAAATTATGATACCTCTTCTGATGTTGAAATTATATTTGACATCATTGGCAAAGGATATCCAGTCTTAGATGTATTAAATTATATGTATTTAAGAGAGCCTGCTTGTAGATATTGTTATCCTTTACACTTCCAAGTCATTTGACATGCAAGCCAATTTTAAAGTATATTCCTACTTTGTTGAAATTTTTCAACGAAACTCAGTATGAGGAACTCAAATAGACAGTTCTGTTTATTTTCTCAAATCTAGCAGCCGACTGTTATTAATGCAGAGATGCCATTTTAATTTATGAAATACCTTAAGCAGTATTCTAAGCAATTCATTAAACCACAAATGAATTAATGAATGATCTAGCTTAAATTCTAATTAATATCTCAAGAACTCAACCTCTAATGTCGAATTTCAACTAAATTTAAATGATTAAATTATGTTGGCAACTATTTCCGTTTTTATAGGGCCATGAATATATAGCTGGAATTTTGTAACTCATTTAAAAAATTTGTTTGAAGGATAAAAATTTATTAGATATGAATTTCCTCAGTGGTATTTGTTAAGATTACTCAAATTCTGATCTTTATTTAAATGAAATATTGGCTTTGATTAAAATAATGTCATATTTTGACAGAAACAGATATGAGCAAATTGAAAACAACATTCTAAATTTTCTAATAGTTAAAGTAAATTAAATTCTTTTGAATGGAAATTTAGATAAACATTTTCAAAAGTAGATCAACAAAGTGTTGAGTATTTTCACAAATATGATTGTTGAAAACCCTAAATTAATCTTTAATGCCCTTGATACGAATATCATATAATTATTTAGATTTAATGAATAATTATAAGAAACCTATGATGAGATCTTTTGTAGCATTTATTATTATTCCTTTTATTATTAGACCATCAACAATTTAAACTAAAGCCAAATAAAATAATTTATATAATTGTTTTAGCCGATATAATAAATGATAAACTTGTTAGATTAAAATATGAATAATTAGGATATTATCATCGATATTTTAAGAATCTTAGAGATGATTTTACAAAAAGACATAGAATCTATTGCTGTGTTTATAAAGCTAAATGGGGAATAATATTTAGCTGAATTATCCTAACATGAAAATGAGGAAGTGTATAAAATATGTGAAAAGATTTTTGAAATCATTAATTGAATTTATTTTATTTTTGAATTTTTGAATATAAACAATTATTATTCTGATAGTATAGAATTATTCTGTCAATATCTGTTCATTATGAATTCCAATTTAGGGGCAGATCTCACTTCTTTGATTCAAAAAGAAGTGAATTAAAGATTGCTTGAAACCTTCTGGGCTTTCTCTTAATATTTAACAGATCAATTAATTAATTTATATAACAATTCATGGATGGGACTGCAATAACATAGCTGAAAACTTAATTATAAAAACTAAAAGAGGAAAAAGAAGAGCTATAGAATGATGTCTAAGAAGAAAGGACAGTCGTTGCTCAAATGTAATAAGAATTAGCATAACTTAAATAATAATAATAAATGTAAGGAGGATAATTGCGAGATAAAGAATTAGCACTTTAGGATTACAATCGTATGATAAAGGAAAGTGAAACTATATTGAAAAAGTTAATCGAAACATCTAGTAATTTTTTAAAGACTTTGGAAGGGGAAACAAGTAAGTTAAAGAATCAAAAAAAATGAAAATATCAAAAAATATTTATTACCATCATTCTATTTAATATTAAATTTCTTTTGTTTATATTTCAAAGAACTTTGGATTTTAAATTTCATTAAATTATCCACTTTCTTAAAATTTCAATTGCAATAAATAATTTATTTTAATAAGAATTGATAAAAACACATATAATATCAAATTTCTTTGTGTTTGAATATCATGAGCAATTTAGAATTGAAATGAATAGAGAAAAAGAAATATCTCTAATTTATTATAATAGTACTAATATAAACTCACATTTCAAATAAATAAAATCAAATTGAATTGTTTTCTTTCGAAAAAAATGTCTTAATTTTAAACTTTAGACTTGGGGGTTTCTAGTGAAACTAAATCTATAATCCATAAATCTATACTGAAAAATCCATAGCGGTGTTTTAATCAAAGTAAAGTTAGATTGGATTGGGCAGGGAATTAAGTAGTCAAAGGTGGATTACATAAAATAGTTTTCTTAAACTAAGATGATACTCCTCGAACATTTATGGATATATTAACTAATGATTTTACGGAATCATGTGATACTGTTATTCACAAAAAAAAAAAAAACCTTAATTATTAATAAGCAGAAAATTATATCAAAAATCAGTGTGAAGAAAGTTAATAATCTAATTGTTGTTTAATTTAATGAATTATTTTTGACTATTTGAATATTGTATTAAATAAATTTAGAATAGTTCTTCAACTATGTCTTGAAACATTATATTTATTTGTAGTAATTATATATGATAAATAAAATACAATATAATAATAAAAAGTTCCATCAATTCATTCAGAGTAGGCTCTGTTTTTAAAAGAGTTATTAGAATAACTATTTTATAAGGATCAATCTATACGATGTTTCGTCATCAGTAGTAATCCATAATTAATTTTATTATAAATTTCTTAAGGTAAGAGGTTATTCAAATGAGTGATACTTATTAAGGTTTTCTGAGGCTTCGTAATTATTAAGAAGCAAGATTGATTCTTTGATTTTGCTGGAATCAGTTTCTTAGTACTAAAAACTGTATTTTATTTCATCAATAGATTTACAAGTTTAATTTTTACTTTCTGATCTTCTTGTCTATAGATCCTTAAAACCTAGGAATGAATATGCAAGAGACGTATATAGATCTGTTTACTTTTTATTTTTTATTGCCATTTTAAATATTTCTGAATTCAAATTGTTTCCTATTTTCTTCACATGGATGTTAATCACTTGGATCAAATTTAATAAAGGAGCTGATATGTATCTTATTAAACTAGTGGTTATAAGTACTAAGAATATGCATATTCCAACATAAATTTACACATCTTGGATCAGACTCTTCCTAATTGTATCAACCAGATCTTACAATTTTTCCCCAATTTCTATTTCATAACTCATATTTTTGAAACTTAAAAATACTTTGATCATCTTACACAATTAAAGTTAGGTTTTCCTTTTCAAAGTTAAAAGCATTTACAAAGACAGGTTTCTTAAAAATTTTATTCTCAAGATAAAAATTAGTTTCTACTGCATTTTTCTACTTGGAATTCTTTTATACTAAGTCCCAATCCGACTAATTAAATCCTGTGTATGTTTCATTTGTGATTGTAATAAGCACATTAGTTTTTGATATAGATGGCATTGTTGTCAAAATAATATCCCCATTTTAATTGACCAAAAATATACTCATAGGTATACTTTGGATATTTTTATCGTAAATTTCCTACAGTTAGGAGGTAATTCCAAATAAGGTTGAATTAATAATCAAGGAATATGTCAGTGAAAAATACGGCATAAAACTTCTTACTGATGTGTAAATTGGAGAGTAAAAATATTCTGATTTTGGATTAATCTCATATTGGGCAATATGATTCGTATACCTAAATATTATTTCAATATTACCAAGGTCGAGTACTTGGGACATAATTTTTGTATTTATACATTCGAGGATATTGTGCGAATATTTAATTATTTGGTACATCAATAAATGAAATCTTATTTTATTCATCCCCTAGAAACAGCTATGAGAATGGAATCAATAAGGAAATGGTTTAATTGAGCAAAATTGCTTGACTGTCATATTATTTTGTGTATAATCCTTAACAAAAAATGTCTGAATTATAAATTATATTATCCTCACTAATATCCTCCTATTCAACACAATCTTAAAACTAATTCACTTTGATTTAGAACTAGGACTGCTTCTATATCAATTAATAAAACATTTATTACGAATGCCATAGATTTAAAATTGCTAATTATAATTGCCATAATTAATACTCTGATAATTTTTCTATTGAATGTAAATTCGCAATTCTCTAGAGATATTATTTACAAGACTCTTCTCTTATTTTAAAGTTAATGCTTGTTCCACTTCTTGAACGTAAGAGAAGAATATCGCTTATTGTATATGTCCTGTTGTCATGACAAGTAAAACGGCAAGTATTATTATCAACAGATTAACTATTATTATCTAGTTACTCATTCTGAGATTCTTAAACCACAAACTTAGTTTATTGAGCATGAATAATTTAAATATTTATATTACAAGATTTAATAATGAGTCATTAAATATGTAACAATATAATTTATACGTTATTATCTTATTATTGAAGAGTCTAAATAATATTTATGAATCTTCTTTTGAATAAAGTGTTTAGACAGTATTATTTACCTAAACTTTGTAGGGAAATTAAAATTAGAATTGTACTGTAATCTCAATCAGAGAATGGCAGGGACTACCATGAACATAAAACTTAAATAATTAATGTTAAATTTCATTTATTTTAATAATAAAAATTATTTATAAATGATATTCTATAACTACTTAAAAATTTCCTGTAATCAAAAGTAACATTACTATTTCACTTCACATTATAAAAATCTGATATTTTTTTTGGATAACAAAATAAAGTCTTCAATCTCAAAAGCTTATTAGTATTTTCATCTTTATTCTTATTATTGCAATATATTCTCCTCCTAATTTTTTCTCTCATGGATTCAATATGATTTATTTTATTCATCAGCACTAGGAATATAAACTCAAATCTAGAATTGAATGTAAGAATAATTATTAGTCATTTTATACTGTACAAAAATTAATTATATTTTATTAAAGTTATATAAACATCTAATTACTAAAATAAAAAATTAATTCATAAAACCTAGATTTTTATTGGTAAACTCTATTTTTATGACGGATAATCACATACAGATTATCGACTTGTTTTATAGTTAAATTCCATTTAGAGATTTATTCCCATTACAAAATAGTGTTATATAAAAATCTAAGAAATTATAATATAATTAGTTATAAACATATTTTAACTTAGAAGAGAATTGGAATTTGGAGTATTTTTTAAATTATTTTTTTTGAATATAGTTCATTCTATTTACTATTCAATTAGGTTGGCATAATTATTTTATTGATCACTTTACCTTCCAATGAAATGCATGGTTTCATTGTGATGAACGAATGGAGTCTTACATTCCTAAAATTCATTGAAGTAGGATGTATGATCTGAAATAGAATACCACCAAAGACTGTTTGAACATGTGTCATCTTCTACCAATCCTTATTAGCAAAGCTTGAAGGAGGTGTTTTCTTCATTATACCACACTTCTTATGGGAGATGGGAGTAATAAAAATTCATTGGAGGTGTATGAACAACAGTATCTGCATTATGAGTAACTCTCCAATATTCCTTGGGGATTACATAATTAATAAACCAAGTGGCAAATTCTATGTTGCCTACTCTTGGGGCACCATATGTGAAAAAGTTGTCTACTTAAATTCCGAGCCTTGTGACGTCAACTGCCATCAATGCTGCAATAGCACCTCCTAATGAGTGACCAGTAATTAAGACTTTTGATTTGGGATATTTCTATCTGAGTGTTTTAGTGCAATTAATCATTTCATTAGAAATTGCTGTGTAGGTTTCCCAGAATCCAAGATGAACAGCACAATCTTTACAATCTCCAAATTCTTATTTAAAGAACTTTACATTGTTGATCCAATTGGTCAAATCCTAAGTACCTAATTTGATTCATATATTCAATTACTTCTATAAACTAATACAATGTAATTTTCTTTTGGATTATAACCACAATAGGCTTAACTTGAATAATTTCCTGCGAAAGCCTGAACATCGACCATATCAGGATGTTATTGACAATAATATCCACAATCCCAATTAGCTATTTCCTCAGGATGACATACAGCAATCTTGGTATAATGAAAGAATTGCTAAGCCAAAGAATGTGAATATATTTGATTCTCATTAGATTTATGTTTAAAGGCTTTTTCAAATAATTACTCGATAAATCCCTTCTCTGCATAAGAAACGCAAAAGAGAAACAACAGTACAAATAAATGTTTCATTCTAAATATTTAATTTCTTATTAATTGAATACAATAAATTACTATTTTATCACATACTTTAAACAAAATTGCAATAGAACTATCAGAAATTCTTATTAAATAAATAGAAAAAGGTTGGATCAAGTCCTCTTTAAATAATTTAGTAGGATATAAACACGTTTCTTCTTAGATCTCATAATAAATAAACTTATCACACAGCAGATAAGGCTCATATTGCGCTTAACATAACATTCAAAATTTTAACATTTTCTATATATTTGATTAATAAAATTTGATTATGTATTATTTAAATGAATATATTCTTAATTAAATATGAAGACCACCTTTTTTCATAAAATTAAAAGATTCTTTAGAGGGTATTATTGATCTATAAATTCATTAGTTCTCCAACTGAATGGAAAAATCTACCAAAAAGAGTAATACGTCCAGGATTGGCTGATCAACTTATGCCAAATAATAGAGTAATCACTAGCAAATATACTATTTTCACTTTCCTTCCTCTAAACTTGGTGGAATAATTTAGCAAGATGGCTAATATTTATTTCTTGATCGTTGGAATATTATAGATGGTTTTAGATCTCTCTATCATTAGATTCCTGCAATTACAGTGTCTGATGGGTTACCGACTGAATATACTCCCCTAGTGGTCATAGTAATAGCAACAGCAATCAAAGATCTTTTGGAAGATTTACAAAGACACAAGGCGGACAGAAAGGAAAACAATACAATAATATCTGGCAAAAAAAGCTAAGATATAAGAGTTGGAGAGTTTATCAGGATTAATCCTAATGAGTAGATCCCAGCAGATATTTTATTATTGAATTAAGAATGTTTTGTTGAAACCTCCTAATTGGATGGGGAAACAACTCTTAAACCTAAGTAGCCAATAACTGAGAATATTGAATATATTGAAGCAGCAGGGCCAAACCCATATTTATATTAGTTTAGTGGTTCCATAAATGGGTAGAAGCCATTAAACGAACACAATCTATTACTTAGGGGTTCTTGTTTAAAGAGTCTAGATCCAATTGATGGGATTGTAATCTACACTGGGCATCAGACAAAGATTCTGCTGAATTCACACAACCCAAGAGGTAAGTCAACAAAGATGTAATAGGTTATGAATAGATTGATTTTATACTTATTTATAGGCTAATGGCTGTTGTGCATTTTCTGTGCTTCTTATTTTACAGTAGCTCTGAGCATCAAGAAACAAGATTTAGATTATCTTTATTTAAATCAACCTGAAGTTACTTCTTTACTTTACTTTAGTAGTTTTTTCTAGAGTGTTGGAAATTGGTTTTTGCTTTTTGTAAACTTTGTTCCAATAAGTTTGATGTTGACTTTGGAGATGATCAGATTGTTTTAGGCATATTTTATAATAAAAGATCCAGAGATGGGTCCAAATACAAAGGTTTAATCTTCCAATTTAAATGATGATCTCGGACAAATCAATCATATTTTCTCTGATAAAACTGGTACTTTAACAGCCAATTAGATGACCTTAAGATAATATATATTTAAAAACTAAAATATTGATTTGCAAAGAGAGGATCCTCAATTAATTTTTAATGAGGAGAACATTATTTATTTACTTCAATTCATACTTTGTAATGATATCAAAGTAAAAAATGGGAATGTACTATCCTCATCAAGTGATGAAATGGCTTTAATCAACTATTTCTTAAATCAAGGACTCTAAATATCAGAAGACGGTAAAAATTACCTCATCAATATATAAAATAAAGTGTATTATAGAATTGAAAAGGTCTATCTAATACCTTTTAGTAGCGATAGAAAGCGAATGTCAATCGTGTTAAGATTTTAAGAAAAACTCTACATATTTTGCAAAGGAGCAGACAGTATTATCTTGTAAAGAATAAAATCAACTGCAAATCATTAAGATACTATCGTCTCTTTTAGTTAAGCCTATGCTAATCAGGGTTTGAGAGTGCTGTTATTCTCTTTCAAAGAATTAGAAGAATAGGAATTTGCTGAATGGCTAGAGATATACGAAAAATCTTTAATATAATAGGATGAACGGATGCTGGAATAGTTGCAAAATCAACTTGAAACCAATCTTGTTCTTTCAGGGGCAAGTGGTGTTGAGGACATTCTAAGTGAGCATGTTTAAGAGACTATAATCGAACTCTAATATGCTAATATCTAAATATGGATGATTACTGGAGACTCTTTTGCTACAGCTAAGGGAGTAGCCAAGAAAATTGGATTGATGAATTCAAGATCGAAATCTATATTAGTTGAACATTAAACAATTAGTTAAATTGAGAGTTTAGTATTAGAGTCAGAGAAAAATGTTTGCAATTAATATGAAATTAGTTTAGTGATTTTGGGTAAAATCCTAATCGATTATTCGATGGAAGATAAGTTTAGATTAATAAAGTTAGCAAAGGAATGTTAATGCGTAATTTTTAGTCGTGTCTCCCCTAAATAGAAGAGAGAAGTAGTAGAATTATTTTAAAAATGTTTTCCAAAACTTTGCACATTAGCAATAGGAGATGGTGCCAATGATGTTAACATGATAACTGAAGCGAATGTGGGAATAGGAGTTTGTGGTGTTGAAGGGTTATAGGCTGCAAGAGCATCAGATTATGCGATTCCTCTATTTAAATGTTTATAATAGTTGCTTCTATTTCATGGTAGAGAATGTTATAGAAGAAATACTTAAGTTGTGACCTACAACTTTTACAAAAATGTATTGTACTTGATACCCTAATTTTGGTTTGGCTTATATAGTCAATTCTCAGCATAATCGATCTATGATTTTTATGTGTTTCAATGCTACAATTTCATGTTTACCTCATTGCCTATTATCGTCTATGGAGTATTCGATATTAAATTCAATGACACTATGCCTAATAAGTATTAATTTGGACAACAAGGGGGGTATTTGAATTTTAAAGTGTTCATCCTATCGTTATTAGAAGGAGTCTATCAAAGTTTGATAGTCTTCTTCTTTTGTTTCTATTTCTTAAACACATCATCTTCGAATGGATTCGAATATGGATTGTTGGTTCAAGGATAAATAATATTTTTCATTTGCATTTTTGTGGCCAATACCAAAATTCTACTTCTTTCACATTAAATTCAAGTTTTGTAGATTGTCATACAAACACTGTCATATGTATCATATATATGTACGATTTTGATATTCAATAATGTGGTCGAATATCAACTCTATGGAGTGCTTTAAGTGATTTTAACATAAGGAATCACTTATATAATAGTTCCACTTGTTTCCTACTTGGCCATTAGTGTTATAATATATCAAAAGAAATACTAGTTATTTAAGACCTTACAAAAAGTCTAGGTGTCATAATCAACAGCAATAAATGCCTCGTTGATAACTTTATGAAGATTTTGATTATGCAAAATATATACATATTATCATTTCATTTAGATATGAACCCAAAGACTTCTAAATCGGAGTAAGTGATGTATAGGAACCCATCATCTGGATCCTTCTTTTTCTAATAAATATCCGCCAACTTGACATCTAAGAATAACATTCAATTCATTACACCTTCAGGCAACAACTAATTTCCTATGTGAAAGTAAAGAGATTGCTTAGGAGAAATCTATAGAGTGCATTTTAATGTATCTCGAAATTGGATTAACTTAAAACTTTGAGTGACTAAATATCAACATTATAGAGATAAATGTACAATTAGTTTTTCAAGCCTTAAATTTTAGATCTGGGATGTTTCTCCAAAATGATCGGAATCATTTCTGGGTTCTGATTCAACTTCTCTTTGAACTTAACTTGCCTTTCTTAAATTGAATACATTTCTTTAAAATTTTTGTAAGTCTTTTAAGTTTGCTACATATGAATTATACTTTGGTATTATTATTATTAATATACATAAAATAAAATACATCAACGCTTATATTTTTTACCATCAAATGCTCCTTGGATTTAAGAAAAGGTGGCCTGTTTATCCCATTCCAATAAGATGTAGTTTTAGTTGCCTACATTCAAGCAATTCAAGATCACATAATTGTGATAAATCAATGCATAATTGTCCACGATATCCAACTTTTATCCTGCATCCTTCTTCTCTGGTTACAGCATCTTGCTGAATTCTTGCTCCTTCACTTCTTTAGGTGGCACTCCTCTTTGATGAAGCCTTATGAAATGATTACTATGATAATTTAATAGCAACTCTTACTTAGTAAATAATAACATTCTTTTGCTATCTTTGTTGTCAGTGATTGCTCCTCTTATTGGATCCTTTAGGAGAGAAACATTGAGGGGAGAATGCATCATATGCTCCTTGGAATAAGAATTCATTTGCCATAATTATTCTTTGAAATCGTAATTGTAAATTGCAAAAATGTGAGAAGCATAAGTAACTAATATTTTCATGCATTTGCCATTGATTATCAATATATTAGTGACATAATTTTGATTAGATCTACAGTCAATTTACTCAACGGTGTTGTTAATGACATTCACAGAAACGAACTTTTACAAATAAGGGTAGGTGATAATTAATGTTTTTTTATTGACAAATTTCATTAATTTTGGTTATCCATGAATTAATTAAGCTATAAATTGAGATTGTCCATTGATTTTATGTTTGAATAGCTTATCATCTTTGTCAATACTATAAAATGTATTCTAAGAGTGATCAAACTCCATACATTTGAAATGTGGATAAACTTGATATTTTTTAAATTGCTTATCCACTTCATTCATGATAACAGTCTAGTCACTCTATCCATAACACAATAGGTTTTTAGTCAATTTAATAAAATGAGCTGGTTTTTAGAGTTTGAATTCGCACCAATAAATAGGATCAGATTCAATATCATAGGATAACAAATCTATAGAATCATATTTGTTAATTGCAATATACTGATGATTACATATGAACTGCTCACTTCTGGGAATGGTGAAAATATGTGTAAACTAATTCTATTAAAGTAGTTAACCATTTAACATCCAATTTATAATAACAAATATCAGTATTCAAACCTCCAGATATAAGGATGTTATTCTTAATAATTTCAAAAGCATAAACATCATGGGATTGCCCTCTTATTTGTTAGGTTATTTGGTATTGTGATCCATTGTATGATAAACAAACTATTTTACTATCTACTCCACTCACATAAACATTATTTAGATTTGGATATAAAGTAAGAATATCTGACATGTGTGTTTGTATTTGTTGAATTTCCGTATTAAATTAAGTCTCATAAATAATGATACTGCCATTGGATGATCCAATGAATAGATTATTATTGCAAATACATAATTTCCAAGGAATAATAACATTGGCCTTGGCAATTTTGGAACTGCTTATATTGAGTTGCCATGTTTACTGTTGTAGTAATGTCTTTTAAGTTAATTATCTGATAGATCCATTAGAGAAAGATGCATAAACATATTCTTTATTGATGGCAATTGATAAACATTGGCAATCTAATTGTTGTGATTGTTGAATTTGATATACTTTATTGTTTTAATAATCGAATTTTCTGATTGAACCATCACTACAAGCGCATAAAAAGTATGTGTCAATGGTGGGTATGGATTCATAGATATTAATATTATCTGGCAATTAAAAATTATTTAGAGGTTTATAATCGTGAATATTAAACAATGAAATTTGACCACTTAAATATGCACAAATGAAATCTAGATATATTATTTACATAAGTACGTTCTTCATCAATCCAAAAGAGTGAACGAATTTAACTATTGATGGAACAACAAATTGAAATTTGAGTGTATGTTGGATAAGAATAGATTTCAATCACTCCATTTTCTTTACCAACCAGCAATAATTGCTAAATAGGATTATTTGAGAGAGCTGTGATGGTGGATGGTAAATATGGAATTTGTTTATGATGCAAAGAAACATGAGCCTTTTCATATTACTTTTTAATCTGTGGTTGCTCTATTTACATTATTTTAATTTATATAAAATATATATGTCATGGTATTAATGACTCATTTAGCAGTTATTATTCTTCCGTTTTAGACTCCTCCTCTTAATTGTCCGTAGCACTTTCTTCAACGAGCATTTGATAAGGGGGCAATGCTGGAGGATGTAAAATATAGCTGATTTCCATGTATTAGAGTACAGTGTCACCACCTAAATAGAATTACAATGCTTACGTGTTCCATATGCACAATGATAAGTCGATGATTTCTTATCAACATATTCACCTCCGACTTTGACGTAGAAATTACCAGCTCTACTATGCACATCGAATCCTGTGATTCCCTAGGCCAATACATTCTAATGAGATTCGAAAATAAAAGTAGAAGGAACTTCTCTCTCAAATCTTTGTACTCTTAATTTCATCCTATTTTCATTATCCAAAAATTAATTAAACGCATTGTCTGAACTACCCAAAGTTCCCATTATAGTAGAGTAATCTGAAGAAATAAAGTAAGCTATTCTAAGAGTATTAATATGACATCTGTCTCTTGTTAAGAATCTTACAGCAGTGGCACTTCCTGTTGGTTTACCCAACTATATTTAAATGGTTGTTGTCAATGAGTCGTAGACTTCAATTTCAGCACCTACAATGAATGCCACTACTCTTGGTGTTGGATACTTCAAGTAATATTAAACCATGAAATCTTGGAATCGAGTTCCAAAACCTTGTCTCAATCTAATCAAATCTTCAAATTAATAGTTAACGTATTGCACTTCTGCTTCTGAATCCACGAATGCTACCCATCTTATTCTTAACACTGGAATGATTGCTGGACCATTAATTAAATAGTTTATATAGAACCCTTTTACAGTCACATCAGAAACAAAAGTCTGATAATTGATATTCCTATTTTTATTCCACTCTATTTCTTCGTGCATCAATAAAACTTATGGGCGTCTATTCAAATATTTATTATTCTGACCTGCTGAATTATCTTGGAAATTGCACTCGAGTGAACATTTGCAATGGAAAGACAGGTTCAACGAATTTGTTTTGTCTATTGATGGTTCTATCAATCCCAGATTGCCATTCTGTATAACCATCATAGCCTAACTATCCCAAAACGCTAACACATAAAATTGCTGCAATTATAAACATTAATATTAAAAAAACGATATCAATTAGATAATAATTCTGCAATCAACTCCACCAAGGCCATTGTGTTTTACATAAAGATATCAAAAATTTCTCGTTTTCTTTACTACAACTAATAAAATTCTTCCACCCAGTCTTCGCTTTTAATACATTTAATTAATAACTAAAGTTCTTCCAAATTCATCAATTTCTCCTTGACTTCTTCAGCATCCACTTCTACTTAATTTTAATCATAATTGGCTCTTCTTTTCCCGTAGATAAGATGAGTCATCACCTGTTGTAGATCGTACTTATTATGAATCATGGCTTAAACGACATCCTCTCTTTTATAGCCCTATTCAATCAATTCCAAGACCTTCTTTTTATAGTCTTCAGCATTATCTAATATCATCTCTTATAATTCAATTAGTTTCGACTTTTTTCGTTCTTTGATTGTTTAGATTATCAGATCTCCCTCTTGTACATCTTAATTAATCAACTATAGTTTTGGTTAAAGAATTCTGTTTTTATGAATGTAATTATATTCCTCCTTTGTGTTGCTGATGATGTTATTGAGATCTTCGACGGTGATTTATTGAGGAACTGTAACTTTGAGGTTTTCCCTCGGAGAAATTTTAACAATAATTTAAATCATTAATAATTTATACGTACGAGGGTGAAATGTAAGTCATATCATATGGTGATTGGTAAATCGAGAAACACTGAGAGATCGACTCGTTAAAGGGAAATAGGATGATATCGAAATACTGGATTAAAGATTTGATTAAAGCTTGAATATAAATTAAGTTGCTAACATAATAAATTTTATTGATGAAATATTAACAACAAAATGATATCGAGGGTCAGAAGCATTCTCTGTTGAGCGTCGAGGATCTCACTGATTTATTTATCCTTAACAAAATCAACGATGGATAAAGTTTAAATTAGGTTAAATCATTTGGAGACGATTATGGTTTGGCTCGTAAACTAAACTCAGACATAAAAGTATGTAAAAGAGTCTAAAAGCTATTAGTAAGGACTCAGCACAGAAGCTGATGTGTAAAAGAATAGAGAAAGCTTTGGAGACAACACACCAGTGGAGAAAGAACCAACGACTTTGTGTGAATTGATAATGGAATGTTTGGAAGACACCATGCTTCGAATACTGCTATTAGCAGCATTGGTATCAACAGTGATTGGGATAATAAATGAAGGAGTGGCCACAGGATGGACAGAAGGGTAAGTTAATTATTTGATCATAATAGGGCGACGATTTTTTTTGCCATATTTTTAATCATTTCAATCACCGCAGGAAATAATTATTTGAAAGAAAAACAATTCAGATAGTTGAGAAGAAGATTAGATGATGGAAAATGTCAAGTTATCAGAGGAAATAAGGTAACGGAAATTGCAACCAAAGATCTCGTTGTCGGAGACATTCTATTATTTAATCTAGGAGATCTCTTTGTTGTAGATGGTAAAAGATTAAGTATATTATTATAATAGGTTTGATGATATAAGGTAGTGCTGTTAAAATGGATGAGTCAGCAATGACTGGAGAAAGTGACGAAATAAAAAAATTACCATATTAAGAAATGGCACAATAAAAACAATAATAATTGAATCAAGATGCTGCCAGAGGTCACACTAGTCCATTTTTAATATCAGGAACTAAATGCTTAGATGGAACAGGCTAAATGCTAGTTCTAGCTGTTGGTTAAAATACAATCTCTGGACAATTAAAGAAATTGTTGATTCAAGACAATCCACCAACTCCATTATAATAGAAATTAGAAGGAGTGGCTTCAGATATAGGAAAATTGGGAGTTATCGTATCAATCTTCACATTCATTGCTTTAATGGGACATCTTGGATATGACATTTATTTAGGTTTGATACAATTCCAAAGTCTTAAGACCTTGTAAGTGATAGTGGAATCATTTATGATTTCTGTAACCATTATTGTTGTGGCTGTACCTGAAGGATTACCCCTGGCTGTTACAATAGCATTGGCATATTCAGTTGGAAAAATGAAAGATGAATAAAATTTGGTTAAGAATCTATCATCCTGTGAAATAATGGGTGGAGCCAATAACATATGTAGTGATAAGACAGGCACATTGACCTAAAACATCATGCAAGTAACTGCCTTGTATGTTGAAAGGAATACCATAAAGAATGATGTCCATACAATTAAATCTAAATTGAATAAGAATACCATTGAATTGATGTGTGAAAGTATATGCTACAATTCAAATGCATTCCCATAAAAGGATAAAGCAACCAATAAATGGATCTAAATTGGTAATAAGACTGAATGTGCTTTGTTAGAGTGTGCCGATAATTTCAACTACAACTTTTCATAATACAGACCTAGTGATAAAATCCTTAGATAAATCCCATTCAATAGCAAGAGAAAGAAGATGAGTACTGCAGTATATAATCCAAAATCTCAATTTGTTAGAGTGTATACTAAGGGTGCTTCTGAAATTATATTAAATCAATGCATCAAAATGGTAGGAGCTAATGGTGTTGAATAAATTTTAGACTAAAATGCAAGAAATTAAATCTATAATGATATAATCTAATAATTTGCTTCAGAATCCTTAAGAACAATAGCCATTGCATACAGAGATCTCGATCCTCACTCTTAAAATTCAAGTGTATTAGGATAAATTCCTTAACTTACTAAATACACTTAATCAATCTAAGATGATGATTTAGATAAAGATTTAGTACTAGTTGCAATTGCAGGAATCAAAGATCCAATAAGACCAGATGTACCGAATTCAATCAAATAATGTCACTCATCTGGAGTTACTGTTAGAATGGTTACTGGTGATAATATATTGACTGCCACAGCCATAGCCAAAGAATGTGGAATTCTTCAGATTAACAAACAACCAGGACAATATGAAGTGATGGAGGGCAAGTTTTTCAGAGAGTTTGTGGGAGGACTCAAGACAAGCAAAGACAAAGATGGAAATGAAATCAAAGAAGTAGGAAATAAGGAGAATTTTAAAGTGGTTGCCAGAGACATGAAGGTTATGGCAAGAGCATCACCTGAAGATAAATACATTTTGGTTACTGGATTGATTGCTGAAGGTAATGTTATTGCAGTCACTGGTGATGGTACTAATGATGCTCCAGCCTTAAAAAAAGCAGATGTAGGATTTGCTATGGGTATCACTGGTTCTGATGTTGCCAAGGATGCTGCTGATATTATCTTATTAGATGATAATTTCAGTTCTATAATCACAGGTACTTACAATTAGTAATTTTAGCTATGAAATGGGGCAGAAATATTTACGACTGTATTAGGAAATTTATCCAATTTCAATTAACTGTAAATCTAGTAGCATTATTCATGTCCTTTTTGGGTGCTGTTGTTCTGAAAGAATCCCCATTAAATACTATTGAAATGCTCTGGGTTAATCTTATTATGGACACCTTTGCTTCGTTAGCATTAGCAACTGAACCTCCCAATATCACAGTGCTTGAAAGACAACCATACAAGAGAGAGGATAAAATTGTATCTCCAACCATGAATAGAACCATCGTAGGAGGATCTGTCTATCAGATTGCTGTTCTGTGTGGCATCTTGTTTGTTCTACCAAAATACATGGATTTATCTATGCCTTAAGAGTTATAAGGATAAAAAGTAATATATAAATGCTATCATTTAAGTTCCATAAGAATGTAGTGTAAATGAGTATATTTTTCTAAACTTTTGTCGTTATGCAAGTGTTTAATTCAATTACTTGCAGATAACTTGATTACAAAACTATCAACCCTTTTACTAATGCATGCAACAATCCTTTATTTTGGGGCGTCTAAACATTCACTTTAATAATCTAATGCATCTTAATTTAATATGGTGGTAAATTTGTTAAGGTCTCCCATTTAACTGTGTAACAACATATACTTTGCATTGGATTTGGAGTAGGTAGCATTATATTTTTGGCCCTTGTTAAATTAATCATTCCTGATAAGTTCTGTCAAAGGGTTGAGCTTTTCAGAGAAGATATTATCACTGAAGATAAAATGGATGATACTCTAGCAAGTAGATTAAGAAGAAAATCAACTACAAGACAAAGAAATAGAAAAACTGAAAATTAAGATTATGTCACTGTCCGTAGTATATAATAAAGTCATTAAAGAATGTGAAATATTAATTATAATATTAATAATTCCCTATATCTAATTTGGGAGAATAAATCTCTACCAATAATTTTGTTATAAACAATTAATAATGGAAATCATTCACTAAGAGGGCAGTTTTTCTATATGATGGAACATGTGGCTTTCATTAGTAAAATACTCTTTGAAGATCTTATTCTCGCTCAATAGTTCCAACATTCCAGGATGCAATCCAGTAATATACACCTAAGTGCTATTTTCTATGTTTATAAATACTATTATACTTCTCATGTTATCTATAATAATGGCTAAACTGTCAACTGCTTAGAAATCGAAAACGCAAACATATCTGAAACTGAGAATGAAAACGTCTGTCTTGGCTAATTCTTTGATCTAATCGATGTGACCCTTGATATTGATGTAATTTAAGGCTCCATTAAATCTGTAAACAGTATATGTTCCTTCTAGATTTGGGGGAATGTCATTGCATTCTTCTTCAAATTCATGAAGATTAGAATCTCTTAGATTTATCTAATACACTCCTTCCTTTTGATTGGTCATCACTTCTGCTGAGGGTGAACTCATTTTTTGTGCAAAAATAATTAGAGCATGCATGCTGCCAATAAGAGTACTTTGAATGGCACCGTAATTAACACAGAGCCAAGCAATACAAAAAATATAGAATAAAATTAATTTTCTCTAGGTTCTGTATAAATTAACATAGTAATGCCAAGGTGGTATATTGATAATCATGTACAGCAATTGACCACTAATAATATAGAAGGGTATATCCATAAAAAATTTACTAAAAACACCATAGAAGAACAGTATTGATAAAGCGTTAAGAATGGAGGACCATTGGTTGGTCTTACGTAACTTAATATCTAAAATGTACATCCTTGATGATGCACAACAAGGCAACCCACCAAATATTCCACTTAAAATATTGGCAGTAGATACACATTGTATTTCCTGATCATAATCACATTTGACACCACTTAAAGACTAACCTGCCCTGGCACAGAATTGATTTTATATCAAAATAAAAAGTGTGATGGGTATAGCTTAAGTTAATAGATGACTAACAACTTAAAAGTCTGGATGAAATTTTGGGCCATCATATTCTATAAAATTAAAATATATTGTGACTTATCCATATGCTGATCTCAAGCATTTTTCAGTTGGATAGACTATTCCCAAGGTTAATCCAGTTAATGTAGTTATGAATATCCATGGAAATTACCTAAAGAATATTCTACCCATCTACAAAAAGAGGAAAACACACCATGCACCTACAAAATAGTATAAATCTCCTCTTTCTTAAAAAGATATAAACATATCGTAGTAAGATGAATACAGTTCCACTCCTCTATTCGAATGATTATCTGTTAATCCAAACATATAATCACTATATGAAAAAAAAAATAGACTTGCAATCCCTAACAAGAATCCTTCTATAACATAAACCGGAATAAAATCTGATAAATGATGCCATTTTAATAATCCTGCCAAATAAATGTAGATTCCCACTATGATTGTGATCCAAGGCATTACTTCAACACCATAGGTCTTCACCAATTGATAATTCAATCCAATTACGACCCAAGATGGCATATATATTGAATGGTTGCCTTGTCAATCTTAATAATATACTTCCACTAAAGAATCCATTGGTTAGTGCTGCTATGAATGCAGTCGTGATACCAACAGAGGCGTTGCAACCTGAACTACTACCGATAGTTAAGTGAAATGGCATATTCAATATTGTCTAGGCCATTCCACTCTTCCAAGAATCTCTAATGTAGGTCAATCCACTCTTAAAACTATGAACCGACAGATGATCTAGACTGGATTATTTTTGGAGTTTGCTTGATTTAATATTGGGCCCTTATTGTTGATTTTCATTTTAATTCAGTGTTGGAATTTCAATTAAAGGTTATTAAGACATAAATAATATTAACAAACATATGCTAAAGTTATTTATTCTGACCCTTTTAATAATTACAATTTCAGCCAGATTGGACCAATAAGATCCAGCAGTTGGGAAGAAAAATACAAGTTCAAACAAATAGGAAAGTGATGTTATGAAATACAGGAGAGCAGCTGCAATGGCCAAAGAGGAATTCTAGGGTATGGAAGTGTGAATAACAATTATTAGAACTATGCGGTCTCAATGGTTTTGTGTGGAAATAAACTACTCTGGTTGATACTCAAGTTGTCTCTGGATTCAATTACAGCATCTATGGTAAGGTGTAGAAAGGAGATTAGACAAGAACAGTCAAGGTCTCATTTTATATTCCAGCTGGATAGGATTCCAGAATTAAAGCTACCGGTTGCAATATTGTTGCTTGAAGAAATACAATAAAACAATATATATATATTAATAATGCCTTATTCATTCAAACTTTTAGTTCACGATGTCTAACTTCAAATTTCAGATCCTATTCTGATCTCCAGTCCTTCTCTTTCATTCACCATAGCCAATTATCCAAAAATTATAGTTAACGGAAAATGTCCTATAAGTAATGTTAAGGGAACATACGATTAACAGAAACCATTTGGCCATGGGAAATCAATTTTATTGCATTTGAATCAGGATAAAATGACAGACATCTTGAGGGAAATGCCCCTCGAAATATTATTTTTGAATGGACAAGCAATTGTAGCTGGAGCAAGGATTAATTTAGAGCATTTTATTCCAGACATTGATTCAGAATTGAAGTTCAAGAGAGGCAACTTCCATTTGCTGGATCATTTTGGCAAACCCTATTTGTTGGCTGATATTTCAATAAGCATACACGACCCAGATAAAATTCCAGATGTTTTGAAAGAGGAAAGAGAAAGACAAATCTAAATGATGAAATAAAAACAATAAAATGATTACCTACAATAACTAGAGAAGCCAACTGACCCAGAACCAGTCCCAGATTAAATAGTGTATAACAAAAAGAAGAAACAAGACTCTACTCCAAAAAATTAGTATTCACATCCAAATACATACTCTGAATAGAGAAGTCCAAGGAATATGAATGACATTGAATAAATGAGTTAATAACCAAAAATAACCATTCAACAACCACGTTAATAAACAATGCAATCAACTTAACCTAAAATCCCATAAAGACCTGTAAGTGCTACACCTAAATCCAACGTCCATCCAAACTCCAAACAGCCAATTAGTTTCCATGAATCCAAAGCATCTTAAAAACAATCTGTGAAAAAACCCTTAAAACCAGCCCTCAAAGTTAATTAAAAAACATCCAAACCAATCCCCTAGAATTCTTAACCATAATAAACGATTAAAAAGAACCCAAATTCTGTAATCATACCAGAACCAGATGAAATTAAGGATATTCCTATTACTGAATGGGTGAATTAAGTTTACTGTCCTCCCCCTATGTTTCTGGATAAGAAAGTATATGTGCACAAGGTTTATAATGCACCTGAAGAGTAAGTCGAGAAATATGTAAAACCAGCAAAATTCTACTCTATTGGGATACAAACAGATTTTCAATTGCCAGATGTAAAAGCCTAATAAACTGAATACTCTCAGGATCCTTAAGATTACACTCCTAAGGACAGAGTTTAAACATAAACAGTCGTATCTGATAATTACTAAGAGGACTTTGAAAGCTTTGTTTAATCTTAATCCTAATTCTCATAGAGTTAATAACTGAAGCAATCGAAAACTCCAAGAAATTAACCTTCCTCAAATAGGAGAACTACCTCTATTTAAGAAGCAGTTGATGAGGATGTTATATCAGATATCTATTCTTAAGATTTTGAATAAATTAGTTAGAGTTAAACTTTTAAAAGAAGTTTATCAAAAAAAGATGATATATCTGATTCATATATCCCAGATTTTGAGTCTATCAGCCAATCTTAATAATTTAGGAAAAAATGATTTTTATTATTTATTTTATAATATTTCATAATGGGTAATAAATAAACTCCTGCATAATAGTCAATTCAAGCATATATCAAACATCTAAAGACGAGGAAGGAAACCTTAAATCTAACAGGGCTGAAATGCATGAAGTATGATAATATTATTGTGACCATTGATTAATGGAAGAAAATGAGTTAAAAACTATTATAGATCTAATACGATTATCCAAAATACAATTAGAGAATAAAAAAAATAATTTTAGAACTCAAAATATTCATCGAGAACATCAATTCAGAAGAGTTGATCAAAGCTTTTCAGAATAAGCAAAAATTAGAAGAGTTCTTGCGTTTAGATAATAGTGAGGCTTATCCTTGTCTAAATCTTAGTGAACACATTCAAATTGATCAATGCTAATTGCATGTACAATCTTTGATAAAATCTACAAGAATTAAAAGAAGAATTTTAAACAATATTAATGAACTTAAAAAATAATCCAAATTAAAGAACTTAGTTGAAAAAGAAATCTTATAAAAGGATAATTTTATTATGATCATCATTCAAAAATATTGTTAAATTGTATTATCAACATTTCAATAGACTAATATAAATGAGCTTAATTAAGAAATAATTGATCATTAACAATCCCTTACATTTATAACGAAATTTTAATAGAAATTGTTGACGGATATCTACATGAAAGAGATTGATCCTGATATTACATTGAAAACCATTTTCACCAATGAGAAAATATATCTTCATTATATTAATTTTTTAAAGTGCACAAACTCAGAAGAATTAAAGGTTTACGAACAATAGCTCGATCTAAAATAAAATCTTACTCTTAGTGATTTGGGAGCAGAATAAGCATTTTGGTTGAGTGAAAAGAAAGATCCTTATTCTGAAGTTGTTCTATAATTAAATTTTATTTAGAAATAAAAATGTCCTGTAAGAAAATTTGAACTTATAGGAAAGCTTAAATATACAATATGCAAAGTAAGAATGCTATATATTATAAGTGCTTAGACGAATATTATATCTAGCATCCCATGAAAAATCAGAAACAATTACAAGTAGATAGCGATCACTTTTTAATTATTTTGATTTACACTTTGATTCGATAAAATTAACCTACTTTTATTATACATCTTAAATTCATTTTATTTACAATGTCAAAGGAGATCGGTAAATCAATCATTTCTCATTCTTTTTAGAAATAGACAGAGGTCAGAATTCTTGGGTTTTTGTCAGCCTCATTGCTGCTGTAACTTAGATTTAAGTTAAAGATATTTGCAGAACTAATCTATAAAATTGTTTAGAAACTGTTATCTAGAGTTAATTCAATCTAGAAGGAATGTGATCTATATTTTTTTAGGATAAAATCAAATTTTTTTCTATTGTTGCTAGTAAATAATTTTGAAACAAAATAATAATTAAATAAATTTGTATCTTAATTATATAAAATTTGATTTTAAAGAAATTGTCAAAATTCACTGAAAATCAAAGTCCTCAAAAGAATGTTTTCTTTCTTACTCTAGCTTTACTCTTTTTTTATTTAAGATTATTTTGTTATTAAAAGTACAAAGTTCGTTTACATTTTATTTTAAAAGACTTACATCATTAGGTGATAAAATGTTTACTACATCTTAATCATCATTATCAGGTTGCGAAACTAATACTTAAACTATTTTAATTTATCTAATAAGGGTCATAAATAATTATTACTAATAATGTTCTTGTTGCTTTTTAAGCGGATCTGTTTTCATGATTACTCCTAATTGTCTTAAATATTTGATTACACTCTATTCTTATTGATTTAAGATAGCCTTTTTATTGTCTTTGTTATGAAACATAGGTAGAAATTCGTCTAAGCTATCTTTTGAATTTAAGGATTAAAAAGACAACATTAAAAATTATTTATCTTATGATACTGCTATATATTATTTTATATTTTGCTATTATGATTCAATATTTTTATCTACGAACTCCAGCCAAACATGCTCTATAAATATTTCTAGGGTTTTCTGGGAACATATCAGCATGAATTCTTAAGTCTTCCATATTATCTATTAAATTGAATTGCAAATCATTTTGATACCTAATTCTCCTTTTTTTGTCCACATCGCTTCAGCTGTATATCTTTTGCACATGTCTTCTGCTTCTTTTCTCAATCCAGGATCATTCACTCTACCAGTAGCATAATCACATCCCTTCCAACAAATTTAGATTGATGGGTTATACCATGAAAATACATCTTAACACATGGCGTAGCAAGTACCACCATTGTACCTTAGAATTTACCCACCTATTATTCATTGATTAGTGTACCTGTTGCCATTTTGATAATTAAAAATAAAATGTTATTGTATATTATATAAGTTTAATAAATAATATACTCATTAACGTTTGTATTGGTATTCTAGGGAGATTCATAGTGGATGATAATCACTGTAGAATATTTACATAAATAAAACAGTTATTATAAATAAGGGTATATATAGAGAGTCATTAAAAAATTAAATCTTTAAATTTAAATAAAAACAAACAATGTCCAACAATAAGGAATAAATCAAGGCAGAACTTGAAGAGAATAGAAAGAAATTAGCTGAAAAATTTGGACAAACAAAAATGGGCAGCACTTTGGCCAGAAGAAAGCATAAAAATGTTCACTAAACTTAAGTACGTAATGGAAATAATCATTATAGATAAATGACGATAAGAAGCTTAAATAAGTTATTAAGAAATTTGGAGTACAACAATTGGGGAATATTGACGAAGTCAACTTTTTCAAAGATGATAATACAATTATTCACTTTTCAAAACCAGAAGTCCAAGCAGCTATTGGAAGCAATACATTTGCCATTTTTGGAAATCCAGAAACTAAAAAGTTTGCAGAGTTGATGCCAGAGATTTTGAATCATATTGGTCCAAACTAAATGGGTCTTCTTTAAGAATTAATGAAAGAAAATTAGAGTAAGGTACATAATTTAAAAAAAATTTAAGGAAAAAGTTGAAAAAATTGCTGAGGCTGATCCAAAAGATGAAGACGATATTCCTGTATTGGTGTAGGGATAAAACTTCGAAGAAGCAAGCAAGAAAGAATGAGTTAAAATATCATATATTATGTATACCATCCATTATTTAATAACCAATATCTATTATGTTTTGTTTTGAGTAGATCTTAATCACTTACTTTAATGGGGGTACTAATTATCAGAAGGATATTATCGTCTCTGGATCAATATTTATTGTGTTTTTGAATAATTAATCAGAATTGGTTGGAGTATTGAGAGGGCTTTATAGAAATCATATGAAAATGAATCCCATTTGAAATTATTATTAATTTAATTATTATTATGGTGTTGACTGCTAGACAAAGGGATGAATTAAATTAAGCAATACATCAATATTTATTGATAAGCTATCAATAAAGTGCATAAGTGTTTAAAACTGAAGCTGTTGTTAAGGATGGCTAAATTGAGGCTGATTTATTGGAGAAAAAATGGAATTCTATTGTAAGGTTGTCAAAAAGAGTAATAACTTTGGAATAGCAAGTAGAACAATTGAATGAATAATTAGCATAAGCTTAAGCTGGCAAAATACAATTTAATAAATGTACATCAAATAAAGTTAAGATATAGCTGATGATGAATAAAGATTAACACCCTTTGAGAAATTTAAATTAGAAGGACATAGAGCAGGAGTGAATTGTGTGGCTTTTCATCCCTAATACTAAATTCTTGGTTCAGCAAGCGATGATGGCAGCATTAAATTATGGGATTACGAAAGTGGTCATTTCGAAAAAACATTAAAAGGACATACAAGTAATGTAAATTGTTTGGCATTTGATCCTACTGGAAAATATATTTGTAGTGCTAGTAGTGTATAATTAAATTTGATAATAAGGATTTATCAATAAAATTATGGGAATTAAAAAACCATACCTGTGTAAAAACACTTATTGGTCATGAACATAGTGTATCAACTGTTTAATTCTCTGATCATGGAGATTTTATATTGAGTGCTAGTAGAGATAAAAGTATCAAATTATGGGAAGTGTAGACTGGATTTTGCAAGAAAACATTCTCTGAGCATCAAGAATGGGTCAGGTGTGCTGTATTTAGTAATGATGAAAAACAAATGGCTTCTTGTTCTTAGGATTAGATGATTTATATATGGGTAATAGATAGCGGATAAATTTTGCATCAATTGAGTGGACATGAACATGTGGTTGAATAAGTCAAATATGTTCCTGAACATGGGGCCAAATAAATTCTGACTCAATAATAACAGCAAAATATTTAAACGATTAATCTATTAGTTTCTGTATCAAGAGATAAGGAAATCAAAATATGGAATACTATTTTAGGAACAAATCTGTTTACATTATCTGGACATGATAATTGGGTCAATGGAGTTTCTTTTCATCCTGATGGAGTTCATATGCTTTCAGTATCTGATGATAAGACAATTAGAGTATATTATTTATATTGACAATAGGTATGGAATTTGAAAGAGTAGAAACAAAAAAAGAAGATTGAAAATGCTCATGATAAGTTCATTTTGAAATGTGAAATAAATAAATTTATATTCGCCACATGTTCTGTAGACCAAACAATTAAATTATGGCTATTAAGTTGATCAAATAAATAATATTTATCAAAATATGTAAAATACAGTTAATCAATTTTATATGATAATTATGATATATTAATATAATATAATCAGAATCTCCTTCTTAAACTCCATACTGATTAAATATGCTATTCAAATTGAATGTCGTCTTCAATTAACACATTTAAATTATTATAATATCCAATGAATTCTTCAAAGGTTACGTTAGGATTTTTTACATAGTCTCCCCCAGTCTATAAAATAGTTAAAATTCATACAAAAACAATGTGATGTTATTCAAAAGTGTCTATGAATTCGCATAAAATGTCATCCTCTCTTTTTCTGTTGGCTCTGACATCAGGATGATCCTTTGCACTGAATTATTCTATTATTTATTAAATTCTAATTACATTTAACTATATCGATGGTAGCCTTTGGAAGAGATTCAAATGCTTATTGAACAGCATTAAATTTCCTTAAACTCATCGTACCTTAAACTTATTTAATGAATCCATCATAATTCATCATTCCATTTGTTTGGAATTATTAGAAAACTTCATCTAAAATTTAATCACTCACTTCCAGTCTCCATTACTTAAAGCAATTCTTCCATTCCTAGTATGATAAAGCATTCAAATGGGATTTATCATACAACTAAAATCTATACTATATATTTATCAATCCTCTCAATCCTCTTTATGAAATTTTATTCTTCAAAATTTGCACACCATCCATCTTTTATTTGTTTGATTTTACACTTTGCTCTCTTTCTTATTATTACTATTGTGATTATTATGAAATCTATGATTAAGACAGTGGGATTTATTAAAGTTATGATCCATTTTAAATTGCTTTGACATCTTCCAATGGTTTAAATATGTTAAATGAAGCTGGTTAATTATAACCTACAGAAGGTCTTGATTAAGCTAATTATTCTTGTTGGGTAAATGTTCCAAATGGTGCATTTGCAGAAACACTTCCTCCTTGTAAAACATATCGATGGTGATCTTATAAATAACTTCTTTTATGATCTGGTTCAAAAACTTACTTATTACCAGCATGATGATTCTTGCCTCCGTCTTACAGCAATCTGAATACATTCACAATTATCTACTCGAAGTATTTATCATCAGGTATTGAGGCACTATAATTACTAAAGAATTCTAATAGTTCTTCTTTTGGAATATTTTCATGTCCAAATCCTCCATTGATATTATGTAATTATTGCAATGGTTCAAAAAAGTCTTAAACAATTTCATCATCACTTTTCTTGCCACTTTTTAGATCAGGATGATTTCTACAAATGAAGTTGTTTCTTAATGTTGACAATGTGACACAATCATTTGTTCTATATTTTTCAAATAATTATTCGATTAATTAAATTCTCTATTATGGCATTTCACCTCTTAATACAAACATGAAACCCCATAAATCTATTAAACCAGATGATTCTCTATCGAAATATTGGAATACAAGATCTATTTCAGGGTCTGTCACTTCAATTTTATGATCTCTAATAGCCTTTCTAAATTCAGTCAAATTCAACATCCCATCATGATCAGCATCTAAGATTTTCCCAACTCTATACAAAGATATGAAACCTCTTGCTCCTCTTGATATCAATCGATTTCTGATTCTTTGTACTATTAATTCAACCTATCTGGATGTTGAGGACATCTAGGATGCATTTGACTATTGAGATTTGACTGATTTTGGAACAGATTATCGTTGTTATTGTTATTGTTATTGTTATTATTATTGTTATTGATAAGATTTTACTGATTTATCTTAAGATGGGGAAAAATTTAATTATTAGACAATTTGAGGATTGGTTATTATGTTCTATGATTCAGGGGAGTAATTGAATTATTACTATTATTATTTTACACTTTGAGGTGGAGTACCATATTATGGAGCTTATTGTTAAAATTAATTCAAATCCCAAACAGAAGCCAGAATAGACTTAAATATTTCATCACTTGTCACATAGAATCCAAAATAAGAGTAAAAATCAAAAAAATCTTGAATTGTCAACATTTTAATTCCTCTTAATTACAGATAGACACTTAATCCTGACAAAAATTCTTCTCTAACGTCATTAGGCGATCTATTTAGTATTTTAATTTCGGGATGTCTATCTGCATTGAATCTATTCACTAACTATTGAGGATTGACTTCTCTTTATTCAAATGTGTAAAATACATCTGACACTACTCCTTACCTGGATTAATTCAAGTATTGACCCTTAATTTAATTAATCAAGTTTGAAGCACTCATATACTCTCCATTGAATAATTAATACAACCCATCCACTTCTATATTATTCCTTTTCAAATAATCCTGCAATTGCTAAGCAGTAAATTAACTTGGTAAACTTATTGCTAAATTCAATATGCCTAAAGCCCCCTTCAATTGTAATTTAACTCTGAGTTAATCTAATGGATTTCCTGTTTGTACTATTCTTGATTCTGCTTATTCCTCTAATGATTGCTTCCCAACAACTCTATTAATAAACTCCTTATAATTTAGTTATTCATTAACAGAGTAGGTCGTCCAAAGTCTCTCTCCAAACTAAATTTAAAAAATTGATATACTTCTTAATCTGAAATCGTAACACCAGCTTTAGCTATTGCTTTTAAAAAGTCTTGCTTTTTCAAATTCCCTTCATTGCTAAGGTCGAAGAATTTGAATATTTTGAGGAGCACTGTTTCAACACCTATTCTTGAAGAAGCTTTGAATTAAAGTTTTGTTACAAGTTCTTTTTCAAATTGCTAAATATCCATTTTAACGATAATTTAAATTGTAATTTTAGAAAAGACATCTCGTCATAAGTTTCCCAATATTTACGAAAGATACTTTGTATTTTAAATATATTTAGGACAGCAATCACCATAACCCAAAAATATAAACTTGATTCTTTAGCTTTCATACAAGTTTAATAATTTGAGTTAGATTTAACATATTTTTGAACATGAAAGATCAGAACAATCATCTAACTCAAATAACATATAGATAATTTTAGGGATTAAAAATATCATAACTTTACTACGAATAATTTTTGTAAAATATTATAATTGACATTAATCTCTCACTCAAATTCTTCAGATCCAAAAGTTATTTGTTGCCACGTGTCTGATTCAAGTTCTTATTATATTAAAGCTGAATTCTAGCCCAGAAAAAATTGGATTTTCGAAAAGGGTTTTGGGCTTTGATATTCAACAGTTGGTAAGAATTACATAAATTCTATTGTGCGGCTATCGTTGAAAAGAAAATCATAAGAAAAAACAACATAACCTTTGTTATTTTCTAAGTGCTAAAAGGTACAGATTGGCTTAACTTTAGTTTAATATTAAAGATTTCTGATTAATTTATTGTTGTGTAAATTATAGACTCTGACACCAAAATGATGTTACACTACCACCAAATTATTGACATTCCATATTTTTGCCTTTATTTTTTAAAAGTATTTTGGTTCAAATGATAATAAAAATGATTTCACAACATTCAATTTAGTATTTTTCTTTCTGAATACTTTAAAGCAAATTAACTTTTATTATCTCATAATTTACATCGTTGAGAGATATGCTTCCTTATTCGAAACAAATCTCCAATCAAAGGTTGCAATATTAACCTAATATACTTCACTTAAATCCCCAAGGATATGGGATGTTTCCAATGTATCATTTGTTTATATTAATTTGTATTGAGAATCTTCTGTAAAGGATAATTTCAGACGTTTGTAAGCTTCATAAGTAATAAACTTCAATTTGTATTGCTATTTGGTATAGAGATCAAAAATAATATAATCCTATTCGCCCAAAAAAAAAATATATTTAGAATCAGGAGTGAATTGAATGGAAAATGTATCTGCATCATCATCATGCTAAAAGAGAACCTGATTGGTTTTTAAATCTCTTACTGTAGCATTGTAATATTCCTTATATTTTTCATAAAGAATTATACAGCAGACAAATCTGTTATTATTTGAGATGATTATTTGATTTATTAGAGTATCCGCCTTGTTGGGAGGGTTTTCAATTTTAGTTTGATATACTTTGACAATGCAAATATTTTGGGATTCGAATTACATTTATTAATATAATCAAATAAAATGGAGTTTAACTTAAGAAATGAATAAATGATAGCATATCATAGAAATAGAGAGGATTATGAACCATAACCTGAGGATTGTTTATAATTTGCTTATGGCGATCGTAGATATGTGAAGATGACAAACTAAATTTTTGCAAGTGATGATGTTTTGAAACTGAAGAATTTAGAGGAAATCAATGAAGATTTGTAATCCTAATATTTATTAAAATGATAATAGTCATAGAGGAGACTTTATAACCTTGGCATTGTTATCTAGTGATATACTGGATGTTTTAATGAGTCATTTATCCAATCCTCATGAGAGAATTCGAGAACTCTCTTCGAGTGCAATTGTAAATATATTTTGAACTATAAAAAGGTGTTGATTAGTTCAATAAAATTTGGAAGGGATAAGATAATGGAAAAGTTTTATGTTCCAACAATAATGAAACTTCTGAATGATTAAGTTGTTAATATTAGAAAAAATGGATACCTCAGTTTATTAAACATGACTGAATTTTAATAAGGTAATTATAATATTCAAAATTGTAGGAGTTGATCATGTTTATGCGTAGGGTATTTTGGTACCATTGGTTAACAAATTGGTTGAAGAAAGTGTTGAGGATTTATTGACTTTGGATTTGCAATTGTTGGAGAAAATATTGTATTGTGGAGATGCCTAAGTCGAAATTCTAAAAACTTAAGCTATCAAGAGATTAACATAACTTTTAAAACGATCTAATTTTAAGTTGAGATCCTTGGCTTGTAAGAATCTAGCTTGCATTTCATATGATGCAAATGGGAAATTAGATGTTATCAATTAAGGGTGTGTTCTTGAATTGTGTGAACGATTATTAGACGATCATAATGAAGTCATCACTAATGCAACAATGGCTTTGGCTAGTTTAGCATAGCATAATGAATGCAAATTTCAAATGATGGATAATAATAAGCTAGACATTGTTATTTAATTGCTTAGTCACAACGATCACTAAATCAAATTAAATAGTGTTCAATTAGTAACTAGTCTTGCTGAACATCCAAAAGGAAGAAAGGAATGTTATAAATGTTTGCCTACTCTTTAGAACTTTTCAACTGATCCTTAATATGAGTACATCAGTCCTTATGCTATCTAGGCCATCGAAGTCATTAAGTGGGAACCTTGAAAAATAAATTATAATATATATTTATTATTATTAATGGAAAGAGATCCCTTTTATAGCAATGAGTAATAAAATGAATTGCGACCCTATAAGCCAAGTAAGTTTTGAAAACAAAATAAGCGTAGGAATAAACCTTCTTTGAGAGATTTTCATACTAATCCTTAACATTCAAAACTACTGTTGTTTAATTCATAATATTCTTTTTAACTATTTTTCACACAGTTTATTTGACTGAAAAATATTTGGAAGACGATGAGGATGAATCTGATATTTATAGTTTTGAATGTGTATTGTACACTTGGGGTTCAAAACACACTCCCTCAATTATATACCGTTTTTAATTTTGGAGATTAGTCTGTCCTATATTTCTTCATGGATCCTTTTCACATATTATAGGCAATATGATGGTTCAAATATATTACGGGTTCATTTTAGAATTAACGCATGGATGGAAAAGAGTTTCAATTCTCTACATTGTAGGAGGAATAGGAGCTTCCTTATTCTCGTGCGTTAGATTTTATTCTGAGACATCTGTAGGAGCTAGTGGATCAATATTCGCTTTGTTAGCTCTTGAGTTAATCTATTTTATAACTGCTTTTCCTGGAATTGAACCAAAAAGAATTGTTGTATTTATTTTATTAGCTCCCATGATTTTCTTATCTTTCATTGATGCTCCTCCTCAAGTTGATATTGCTGGTCATCTTGGAGGACTTGTTGTAGGATTGCTTATAGGAATAGGATATGCATTTGCTGATGCTCAAAGCAATATGTATTATTTCATAATATCAATAGCAAAAAATAATGCTAATACATTTTTTACGGTTTGGTTGGACTTTTGTTTATTTATATTTTCACCATCCTCTACCAGGCTAAATCAGAAGATGAATAAATATGCTAAGGAATGAATATTATTTGAATTCCAATATAATTTTACATAAACTATAATATATATAAATGAATTATGTAATTAAATAAACAGACTTATTTTTAAGGGGACTAAAGACTTGCCACTCAATTGATTAGAACTTGTATTGTTACTTTTCCACTAATGGTATATAACAATATACAAAAATTTAGGAATTTTATTGTTGAATAATTATCAATAATTTGAAGATGTTGATGCTAAAAAGCCCACATTTTTTTTTTATCTCAAGTCAAACTCATTCGAAAAACTTCAAACTAATTCAATTCATTATAAAATGCCGTAAAACTTGTCTCCAGATGTCTAAATTAAACTATAAAAACTAAATGCCTCTTTGGATAAATTAGTTTTCGAAATAAACATACTATAGCTATATACAAGTTTAAAACCCTTTAAAAAATAAATCAAAAAAATAGAGATTTAAGTTTATTACACTATTTCCCAATTAAGAGTCTTACAAAAATTTAAGATGATTGTATTTTTCAAGGATTCATTTTTTACTATTGAATGCCCAATCATTTAATTAGATGAAATTGAGTAAATGGAATCTATCAGAAAATATATGGAAAAAAGAAAACACTTGGAAGTATTGGAAGTTGATCCAAAAATCTCAGAATACTTGAATGATTTCAATTAAAAAGAAGCAATTTAATTGATATTGAAAAAGAACAGCATTGAAATTCATTTAAACAGTGAAAAGTAGGAAACATCTCTTGAATTAAATAGTGGGTTTTTAACTTAATATAAGTTTGATGATTTCTTTAACATTTACAAAAATGTTAATACTATCAATATAGAACCGAATGTTTTAACTCCTTTTCATGGATACGGATTCAAAGTCTCAATTTCTAGAGACAGTGATCAAAAATCCAGAATATTTATTTCTCAAGATTGGCAAGATTAAGTTAGTATGGTTTTGAAATCCATTACAACTCTTATTAACAAGATAAAGGTCATCTCCATTTTAGATGATGATCATAATGATGATGAATTGTATACTTTATTTTTATTTAATTTTAGACTCGACATTATAGCTGAATATTAGGTTGATAGAGTACAGGAACAAGAGTCTATTATGGAAGATGAACAAATATAAGAACAATAGATAAGAAAGAAAATAAAAATGAATTTTAAAAATTGATTCTCATTTTTATTCAAAATTAATGCTAATTTATTATGTAATGATAATATAGTGATGAATAAGATTATGTGAAAATTTAATGTACTATTTTGTAATAATAGCTTGATTAAATCACTTTTTCTATGTATTTTTAACTTTTGGTTATGCTTAAGTTCCTGCTCTAAAACCATTCTTTGCTCTTCTAGCAATTGATTTCAAATATCTCATTCTTCCTGTTCCAGTTGATCTACGTCTGGCGACCTTTTCACCCCATCCACTGTCTAATATTGTATTAATTTATTTTAATACAGAGTCTTAATCTAGCAGCTGGGTATCCACATGATGCGCATCTGTTTTTTTAAATGTGGAATGTTTATCTACCACATCTCTTGCAGAAAGTATGAGTCTTTTAATGTCTTTTACCGATTGCTGGTGTACCTCTTGCCATTTAATTATTTAATAAAAGATTTAATTTTATGAAATAATCTCATAACACTAAGAAAAATAAAGATGATAAGAAATCTTTTGTAATATAGGTAATATGAATTATTAGTTATAAACAATCCAGATCATCGTTAATCCAAAAGATTTCTTAATTAAAAATATACAATATGTTTATCTAAAACACATTCATTTTTTTTTGGTTTTTTGTTTTAATCTATTTATCCATTCTTAAGACACATTTATTTCCTTTTTTTCAATATTTGCTTTTGCCTAAAAGTATTCTTCTAGGTTTTATTCAAATTTTTTATATTCATTAAGTTTGGTGTTGCTTTCCTACTAACCTTTCTTTCCTACCAAATTACTATTTTGAACAATTAAAGGCGCATTTTCGTTATTATTGGTGGTACTTATTGTGATAGAGGGTCTCTATTGTTTTGTATCGTCATAATAGCTTAAGCAATCTTACTATTTTTCATTGAGAAGCTATATAAATAACTATAATCGCTCCTTTGTTTTAGAATATATTTGAGTTTGTGAATAGAACTTTTTATCTAATACTTACTTCAATGAAATCAAAAAGTCCTATGTTTTACATCAGATTCTTACATTCACTTCTTTGTTCCTCAAAACTATATTGGTAAATGAGTATTTCATGAGTCTCAAACAATGAATTGATTAAGAAATTTTTTCTTTGTGTGAAAATGATTTCACTACCTCTTGCAATTCTTTATGCTTTAACTAAGTTACCTTATAAGATTTTTCCAGCTCTCTAATTATGGTGACATAATCTTTAAGATGTTTGATATCAATAGGTTTTGTAATTTAAGAAAATTACTTAATATGTTAAAGAATTTTCTAGCATAAAATTTAAGTATTACTTCCATGTAAATCCTAACCGATTTGTATATTTAGTCGAAAAAGAAATCATATTATTCTATTTATTAGAATGTGTAAGTAAAGTACTACTGCAATTCTTTGTACGTATAGTTCTCCACAAATATTAATTCAATTATTTATGTCAAATAGCATTATTATTCTATGATATCATAATTTGTTTCATCTGTCGAAGGTGTCTCACATCGCAGAATCTCCTTGCTTATTGTGCATTACATATTCATAATTTTTAAATACAAAAATAATTAAAAAATTCCACACACTCAATAGAGATCAATTATTGCAATTAAAATTAATCCCAATTAATAGATTTTCTATACTCCTCATCTTCAAGAAGATTAGCAGACAAATACATAATAAATATAATTATTTATTTCATATCTTTGTTTTACTCCTCTTTTACTCCTCCATAATAAAAAAAAGAACACCTTTAAGAATACTGATTACTTCATTAAAATTATGTTAATTTTATTCTTTTTATCTCAATTGCCTTAATAAATTACAATAACTAAATATATTTAAAGCAATACTTAATATACTTTTATCTTCATTTATTTTTGTAATGAGCAATACCTTACAGGTTTTGCTATTACAATTCTATCTTATTTGATTCATTAAATCGATATATACAAAACTTTCATATTTTCTTATCTGTATAACAGACCTTTATTATGTAATTACTAAAGGTGTCGATTGAAATATCTTGATTTCTAAAATCTAAAAAAGACATTACTAAATGAAAAAAGAACTTAGACTCAAAATATAAAAATACCTGGAATATTGACAATAATGAATCCAATAATCTTTGTTAGCTTAACTATTGATAGATTTTGTTAAGTTTAGAAAGAAACTATTAAAGTCTCAGAGAGGTTTCTTCATATTCAGTGATGCTAGTATCTATTCTATAAGAATTTGATATCATACATTGTTTATTTCATACTTTGCATCTATGTTGTAAATCTAAATTTACAAATTTAATTTCAATTTCATTTAATCATTATTATTTAAAGCATGAGATCTATATTATAATTTTCCTTTTAGATCAATATTAGATTTAGAATATGCATGTAGAAGCATCACATTTAATCTCGTTTAAAAATGGTTGTGGTATTCAGTGAGGTGGAATAAGATCTCTAAATTTATATGGATAACATCCTTCAAGATATTTTAATTGTTGTCTAATGTTCCTCTATATTTACTTAAAATAATCGTGACATATATTTATAAACAAATTTTATTTAATTAAGATAAATAATTTGAATAATACAATATAACATGTCTTGTGTTTCATTTAAAGGGTTTATATCATCTATTCCTCAGTTTTTATGAAGCTTTTTATAAATCATAATTCTTAATATAATACTAAAATGAAATCAATGCTTTGAGAAGTTTAAGGCTTAATAACTTTGAGATTCGACAAAAATTATGATTTTTCAAATAAATTAGTAAAAATATTAAAATTTCAAACTTCAAGCTCAAGTTACTTCTAAAATTCTGCCATTTGTTTTTCTAATTCAAGCATATCACATTACAATTCATCGTAGTTGTTGGTTGATTCTAATAAGGAATTTAATTATTAAATATCGGATGAGGGAGGAGGTTACAATTACTTTGAATACCCATTCAACTATTTATGGATTTCTGTAGAAAAGCTTTAAATTTCAGCTAAACTTTATTCTAAAAATCCATCACAAGTCCATTTTGTAATGCAAGTTGCAGGTACCTTGTATTCTAAAATGATAATTTGTTGATACTTGATAATTATTATTAGAGTTCTTAATCGGTGATACAATTTGAGATTGATTAATCAATAACTTTTATATCTTCTTAGAATTTTGTATATATCTTATTTCTTTTGTTTTCAAAATCAATTGCTCTTTCTTCAAATGTTTTATGATTAATCTCTGTTGGTTTAATTTGGTTTATTTGCTTCTATATTTGTTAAGCTGTAAGATTTAATTTGTTTAAGGTATAATCTCTCACTTTATCAACTTCCTCTTTTGTAAAGGTAACCTATATTGAGCTAATTTTCTTTTTTCTATCTTCGATTTCTTTGATAAAATGATTCTTTGTATCCTCATCAAAACACAAATTAGCAGCACAATATTTCTAAACAATTCTTATTGGCGAATGATCATCAGAGGAATCAAAAATTCTCTTGCGTTTTTAAATAGACATTTAATTCGTTAATTTATTTATTAATCATCTGTTAAAGAAAGCATTTTATAATTAATAAAAATGTGAAAATATTAATCATACTTAGGATGAGTGATGTCTTGGAGTTGTTCTAATTTAGTTTGTTGAGATCGATCTGACTTTAGGTAATTGTTATTGCTCTCCTCCATTTTATAGAATAAAGGTCGTTGAAGTATTATGCAAAGCTGGCCTATTAGATTACCTAGTTACTTATTTTGTTCTTGAAAATTTAAATTGTGTGTTAGCTGCTTTCTTGATATCAGATTTATAATGAGAATCATCAGATTATCTATGCATTATAGTGGGTTAATTTCTAAAGATATTATAAATTTATTTTGAATTTTCAACTTCCTATTATAATTATTTGATCACTTCATTTAATCGCTAAATTTATTACTAATACTGCTCCATCATGTAAGCATATTCACCTATAACCTATTATTATTGTTTAGACTCTTCTTTAGTTTGTGTTATGGTTGATTATTGCTATTCAATTTTCTTTTTCGCTTCATTCAATGCCTTTTGATCTTAAATCCTGATTATTTCGAAGCTTTCTTTTTCTAGTTACAGCTTTTTTAATTCATCATTAACTTTATTAAATCTTTCTTCGAAAGCTGCAGTTAATTATTATTTTCCAATTGAATGATTGCTTCTAAGCATCTCTAATTATTATTCATGTGACTTTTTTAGTTCATAAGTATTATCTTATAATGAAATGATTAATTAGTTCAATTAATCAATAATTTTAGCATCTTCGTTAGCTTAATTCTGTAAGTTTTGAATTTAAATCACATAATGTTAAGTTTTATTTTCAAATTCAACATTGAGTTTTTCCAAGTCATTATTTTATTTAATTTTTTATGCCTCTAACTCCCTTTGTTTTAATAAAGTGAGTTCCTCGATCTATAATTTTTATTGCTTGCTTTCTCTTAAAAATTTCTATTCATAATCTTTGGCTAATTTAGCAGCCTTTTAATCAAATTATAACTTTAAGGCATTTAATTTCTCTTAAAATGACTTTTCCAAAGCTTGCAATTTAATGGTTTGACTTTCTAATTGATTTCCATATTGTGAAAGCATCAATTCATAGTCTTCAATTACATCTTTAATTGCCGTATCGTCATGTTAAATCATTGTTTCTTTATATAATAATTAATCAGGATTTATCAATTTATTAGGATAGAGCAATTATTCATATTTAATTCTTTGTTTGTTTAATCTTTCTTGATAAGTTTTATCTATCTTAACATTCATATCAGATAATTCTTTGATGCATAACTCTTTTTTTCCTATTTGAGAGTTTTTCTCTTTAATTGTAGTTTCTTATTCAGAAATTAGATTTTCAAATTTAGTTTACTATTCAGCGTATTAATCTCTCTAATTCTTAATATATTATTAAAGTTCGATTTCTTTTTTATTTAGTTTTTCAATCTATTATTTTAAGGACTCTATCAAATTCATAAGATTAGTTTTTTCTAAATTTAATGCTGTAATTTCATCTCTATTACTCTTTAAAGTTTATAATAAATTTTCAACTTAGCGATTTAATTTAGTTATGTTTTTTTATTATTATGAGCATTATTAAGCTAAGAGTCCATTGTCTTATTTTATATTTTACAATTCTGTTAAATGTTGTCGATTTTTAATATCTAATTTTTAAATTTAATCATTTAATTCTTTTAGTTGTTTCGAGAATTCTGTTTAGTTTTATCTTTCTTATTTGTCAAATTAATTAACTAATTCTTGCTTTTATTTTTTTAATTTCTATTGATATTCATCATCTAATTGTTAATATTTTTTAGAAATTTCATCCTTTTCAAGTTCAATCAATTGAATTAAATCTTTAAATTTGATTTCTTGGTTTTCTAGTTTTTTATTGAATTCTAATTTTAGTGTTATTTAATGATCTGAATTCTTTTTTTATTCTAAATTGAATTATTCCAATTATTTTGTTATTGTTTGCTCATGCTTAAGGATTGTAGCATTTAGTTTTTCAATCTCATTTCTAGTTTCCTCATCTTGTTGTTAAATAAATAATTTAAACATTTTATTTTCAGTTTCTAATTCTTGTATCTGTTCCAAATAATTCTCGATATCTTTCTTTAACCATTCATAAACATCTACCATATCACTCAAATTAATTTGAAGATGACGCTCTTTTTTGTAACTTAATAATTGAGCAAAATCTAATCGCCTTTGTTCCATATAGTATTGTAAGGCATGAATGCTTTCCTTTAATTTTGAGTTACTCTCAACTAATGGCTGATTATTTAGTATAAAATTACAGTTAACTATGATTCCAAATATTTCACATTATCATTTGCTTACTTTAGCTTTCTATCCTTATCATCTTCGAACATAATAATTATTAAAATTATGATTTATAATTTGAGGAAAATGATTTCTTTATTTATAATTCAAATAATATAAACCAAAGTATCATATATTCACACATAAGGACAAAATAATTTAGAAACAATTACATTTATTATTTATTAATATACACATATAATGAACAAAAACCTAGAAATAAAGTAACACTATTTACTAATCATAAAAACAAATAATTTAATTTTTGAATATAACTCATTTAATTACATCTAAAGGAACAATGACTGCAATTATTATCAATAGGAGACAGTATACAACCATATATTTCTAAGCTTCTGACTTGGCTAAGATAAATCGTTTTAGCCAGCATTAAAATAATAAAAATGCAACAAGTCCACAAACAATTATTATACATACTGCAAAAGTCTTTGAGTGTTTACTGCTCCTTCTCACTAATCCAGTATCAATATTAATCAAAGATTGAATACCCCAGGTAATTCCCATACAAAGTGATGATTTACATATAGCTGTCTAAAAGAACGCTTAGGTAAATTTCAATTACAACTCTTCCTTTGCAATATCAATTTAATGGTATGCAAGTTATGTTGAAACCAAAACACCAAGAAATATAAATCCCAAAACTTGTATTGGAATACCTGTTCCATCAAATATTTCAAAAATCCACCAATCAATTAAAAAGTATAAACCTGTTACTATTGCTAATGATATTAATAAATCTAATATGATGTTGACATAATCAGCGTCATCTTTTGGTGTTGGAATGAAATGACATATAAGGTGGGCAGGGAAGAACAGAATAAAAAGGAATTTATCTAGTCCACCTTTTGGAAGAGTCAATTTTTGCTTTCCACCTTCTTATTCTTGTCTAATATTATTTATTTCTAAATTTACTATTATTATTGTTCTTATTCTTAATCATTCTCCTACACTCCTTCTTAATCCTTTTAGTGTTCGATAGGTATGTCATTATTTTCCATTAAAGGAATATCCTCATTAATATTTTAATGATGTGAGTCTGGAACTGAAGAAGCAGGTTCAATCTTGCTTTTTTTTGAAGGAGGTCCTCTTTATTTAGGCTATTTTTATCATGAATTCCTTACTTTATACATATTCAAATAATATTCAACTCTAAATTGTTTCTCTTATTTGACTTAGTTTTTAATGGCAAATATTATAATGTATACTATTTTTTAAAAAATTAACTTCAATTTTCCACTTTTTTATGAACTTGCTTTATTATTCAGAGCCAACTTCTTTATTAAGGTAGGATCATCAGTTTAAATGTAATTATTGTCTTTCAAATGAGTGATGGATATTCTTCTCTTCACATAAGTTAAGTGCTATTCACAACTATAGTCTTCATCTTCAGCAGTTAGATCAAACCATTCCATCATCTTAGATTTAACATTTTCACTATTAAAAATGAAGATAATATTTGCAAAGTACACTACCAATAAGATAACTGCCGTTCCAATGTTCAAAAAATCTAGTAAAATACATATGAATAGAACAAAGAGTGATAAGATATAAAAAAATGCATCTCTTATTGTTATCCATGTATCTAGCACTCCATGAGAATGAGTAGGATACTTATAAAGAATGTAAGAGAAAACAAAAAAGATCATAAAGGCATCTGATCCAATAATTGTAGAAACAGCCAAATCTGATTCACTACTAAAGGTTGAGTAAAAGCACAGGATAAGAAATTAAATTGAGTTTAAACAACTATACAGGATTGCTTTATATTGTTCTTCGTTTTCATTATCCTATTTAAATTTACAAATCTTTACATCCAAATAATTCATAAACATCTAAAATAAACTGAGTAAATGTTTCCTGTAGATATAGTATATCATTCCAAAAAAGTAAAGGACTCCAATAACGTAACCAATTATTTCTCCAGGTGATTGTTACCTTTCATCAGGAATTAATAATCTCATTTATTATATTTTATAAATAATTTCATTATCCAATTTACCCATTAGCTTATAATTCATTTCCTTTTTATTCTAAAAAGTCTGCTAAAAAGTTAATTGGATTTTCAGGGTGTTTTTCACATAGAACAACTAATGCCTCAGCTAAATAAGGCACTACATTATCGGCTAAATATTATCTAAGAGGTTAGCTTCTTAAATCAAGTTGCTCTTTTTCTTACTGTTTAAATTATTCAAATTTTTATTCATCAGTCAATTTTTATTTTTCCTTTGAAACACGACTCTCATTTAGAGATTTCTAGAAAATTACAAAATTTTTACATTTAATTAATCTGTCTTTTTCTTCACTCCTAATTATGATTATTAAACTTATGATTGAGAAATTGGTATCTTTTTCTCCTACTATTAGTTTGATTCTTATTATTGAGCTGTCTATAATTCTGGAGAAACATCTTCTTAAATAACTTCAATTTCAATATAGTCTTCTTCTTTTTTTTCTTATAGCACTAAAATGGGACCATTACGAGTAATAAATTCTAAAGCTTAATCAAAAGCAGATTCGGAAAGGTTTATTCTTTTAATATCAAATTTTTCGTATTATTATAATAGGGAATCGTTTGATTTTCTAAAATTAACTATCCTTCTACTTACCTGTTCTTCTGTGTATCTAGGTTGATCGATAATCTATCTTGCTTTCTCCTTCAATTAATCATCTGAATAGTCAAAGTATATAACTCCTTTTGGTTTAATATTTTCAATTACTTAATTGTTCTCATTCTAAAATAATAGTTCATATTATTCTAAAGTTTTTGGAAAACCATCCAAAACATATCCAAGATTTTATGTATCATTTTACTCAAGTCTCCACTTATATGCTTAGATTAAAATATGATCAGGTAATCTAGGAATAATAGTTGAAGCATCGAATACAGGTTCTGGTTGCCCTTTCGGTACCTTTTTCTTCTTTTTTTCAGCCTCGAATACTGCTAATGCTTCTGTAACCATCTAATCTTTAACTTACTATAAAGTTGTTTTTAATAATTCCCCTAATTTTGTGGGAGAATCTATTAAATCTAATATTAATTTTTTTATCTAAATGTGAGGGATGCGATAATAATTTGATAATTGCTAACTTAAATAAGATTTTCCTGCTGCTGGACCTCCATGAACTATTAATTTAATTGTATCTAAGCCACGATATAATTTAAATTGATCTCTTATTTTATAGATATTTTTAGTAAACCCTTCCTGAAATTCCCAATTAACTGATGAATTCTTTTGAGCATCATTAATTTGATCATTTGAATCGAAAATTTGAGTTGGCCTCAACCAAACATTCATCTTTAACATCTTCTCTGAGCAATTTGTTACTGTTTTTGTTTTCCCATTTCCAATACATTTAGCGATGGTAGTAACCAATTTCTTTTAAGTCATATTCTCATAATCCACTGCAAAAATATATTTATCTTGAGGATTTAGAATTGTAGCTTTCCTCACTATGCTTGCTAAATCATTAACATGAATCATTGGAATAATGTTATTGCCTTCCCCATGTATTGGTAATTCAGCATCTGGATTCATCCAAACTGTTTTGAAAAGTTCATATAGAATATCTTCTCCATTACCATAAACCAATCCAGGTGTTATTACATATGTGTTTAATTCTTTTTTTTCACAACCCAAAATTGACTGTTCTAGATGTTTTAATCTCTCAAATGAATTAATTCTTCTTATTGGAAGATCATTTTCAGTAAACCTCTCATACTTCTTAAATAATTAGGTTTCATCTTCATTCATAATTGATTATCGAAAAGCAGTTTCTTCTGATTTTTTCTCTTTTAAAGCAGTTGTTGACCAAGTTAATGGATTACTCACTAAAACAAATGTTTTCTCTGAGTTATAATTACCATATTTTAATAATTTGTAAGCATACTCAGCTTAACAATAATTCTAATGAAAAATGATAATATCACAATCTAAGATAACCTAACCTAATTCAGTTGTATCAGCTGCATTTATTAATTTAGTTGCTCCTCTTGGCAGATTTTCCCCATTCCCAACAATAATATTTGGATTTATATCAGTCTCGTGATCATTTCGAAATTCCTCTACAAGAGCAGAACCAATTAAGGAAGTCATGTCTTCTATAAATATCCTTAATTACTGGCAATTTTGGGATTTATCTACAGAACCCCTTTCTATAGATCTAGTTTATAAACTCATTTTAATCTAAATATTGATATAATAAAAAATACAATAACAAATTTATCATTTCTTAAGAATTAGTTTTGAACTATTCTTATTTTTAATAATAAAATAAAAAGAATCAAGTAGTGAGATTTGCATTCAGATACCTTCTTCTTTTCTCCAAATAAGAAAAAGCATCAAAGTTGTCCTCAGATTGTATTTAATTGAAATTTCATTATTCAACCTATCAAGCTATTGACTTTCTCTTCTTTTAAACAAAATAGAACTTATTATAAATATTAGAGTTTCTTAATTTAAGGCATCCTGAAACTAAACAAGTAAAGTTAGAAATATTATTTGAATTCTCTCAACATATTTTATCTTATATTTGGGTAAGCAGGTATTACATTACTATTATAACACACTTATATTATTATTAAATTAATTATAATCCGTTTTATTAATAAATATACATTCATGATAAAATCCATCATTTTGATGTCTTTGCTCTTATTATCCTTTGGGTAGAACATATAAGGAACTTTAGCAACCCACTATGATTTAGATGGCAATTTGATCTCTGAGGAAGTTCAATAATCTACAGAAGATGATTACTCCTCTCTTAATAGCATGGATTCGTCAATGGATTCCAGCATGAATCTAAACGTTGATGAACAATAAAATTAATTTTAACTTGATGAGAACCTCAACTCTATGAATTCAATGGATTTAACAGATGATATCGCTCCTCTATAAAGTGGAGAAGTCGATAACAATTAAACAAATTTAGTGGAATCAGAATTTGAGATATCTCCAGTTATCAATAAATAGCCAGAAGAAGAATCATCATCTTAGTATTAAGAATATTAGCAATAAGAAAGAGAAAGGGAAAATTAATTAGCAGAAGTGATGTAAGAGGGTAATAATAATGACAATCAAAATGAAATAACTACTACAGAACAACAGCAAGAAGAATCAACTCAAATTTAAACTGATACTTTTTTATAGCCTGTAATTGCATCATAAGAATAAATTATTGATATCTTACAACCTCAAGAAGAATAAGAAATTATCAATTCATTAAAATAAAGTGAGGATATCTAAGACTCATTTGTAAATAGTCAAGAGATTCAATCCTCCTTTGATGAAAATGATTCAATGTTATAAAATATTGATCCAAATGAAATAAATTCAAACAATTTTATTGCAAATACAGAAACATCAAATAATGATGAAGTAAATTAATAACAGCAACAAGACTTACCTTAAGGAGAATTGAATGTTACATAATAAGAAATTCAAAGTAATGAGGATAATTAATTAACCAAATCAGAGCCAGCTGCTGTCGAAAATTAACCCTCAGAATAGGTTTCCAATTAAAACATTGAATCACAAACTAATTCAGCTTCTCCTTAAACAAGTATTTAACAAGAATCTATTTCTGAAAAAGGAATAGATCAAGGTGTTGATTAAACCGCTTAAACTCAAATATTGAATGATAATATAACTCCATCATAATCTGAAATTCAAGAGAATTAAAATAAACAGAATGATATTGAGTCATAATCTTAAACACAAAATAATAATGAATCATAATCAAATGGAGAGGAAAAGCATGAATTGTAAAAAATAGAGAATAATATCACTTAAGAACAATAACCAGAAAATTAAGAAAAGCTTAATCATTAAAATAATGAAACCTAAAATATAGAAGAATTAAATACTGTAAACATTTAGGATGATATTAAAAATGCTAATGAAATAAAATAAGCAAATTGTATTGTCATATATTCTTAATGCGAGTATTAAGGATTTGCATTGGAAGTTTGTAATAGTTTAAAAGAAATAGAGTATTTTATATATTGTTTTACATTTATAGGAAATTTAAACATGAAATAAAATCTCTCTACATTCCTTAAGGCTATGGACTTACAATTTATGAAAATTAAAACTTTAATGGAAAAAGCCATCGATACACTTCATCTTAGGCATGTTTGTCAAGTGCAGTTTCTTTAATACAACTTAGGATGGATATTTAGTTGGCTCATTAAAATTTAAGAGGAAACAAATGAATAATAAAGCTAATATAATATATTATTGAACAAAAAATATGATTATTTCATTAGTTTTATTGCTAAAATTACTCTTTTTACTATTAAAATATTTATTATCCAAGTGGCTTTAAAGAGTCCTCAAAAATAGAATTCAACTATTTAAGATGTTCACCATTTAAACAAGTTACATCAACAAGAGCTGCAGAAACCAAATATGGATCGATATTGGCAGCTGGTCTTCTATCTTCAAAATATCTAAACTCAAATAAACATATACAATACCCTTATCCTTGTTCTTTAGTGATAATTGGGACCCTAACAGAACAGCCCCTTGACCCGTCTCCCCAAGTGAATTAGTCATATTTCCCAGTCTCATGTCTACCTGTTAGTCTAAGCTCATTCTTTTGGCCATAAAGCTTAATCATTTCAAGATGATTCTCTTTAAGAATAGGCATTAATTTATCTACAATATATCTATATCCTCCTTCAGATCTAGTTGTCAGAGTAGAATAATTGCAATGAGCTCCACTACCATTCCAATCGCCTAAAATAGGTTTAGGATCATAGTTAATATCAATTCCAAATTCTTCTCCAATTCTTTCCAAAATATATCTTGCCAGCCACATATGATCACCAATTTCAATGCCTTCTGCAATTCCTATTTAAAACTCCCACTATGATGGTGCAACTTCAGCATTCAATCCAGCAATTTTTATTCCAGCATTCAAGCATGCTCTCAGATGAGCTTCTGCTAAAGCTCGACCAAAATTATTTCTTTCGCCAATTGAGCAATAGTATCTACCTTAAGTATAGGGAAAACCACCTGTTGGCCATCCTAAAGGCCATAAATGTGTTGTTCCTGTTCTTTTCAATAAGAAATATTCTTGCTCAATTCCAAACCATGGTTTATGATCTTTGGCTTTCTCCATAATTTAATTTGCAATCCATCTTAATAAATGATAAAAGATTGAAATTACCTAAAATTATATCTTGCTGGTGTTTTTTTATCTGGTAGGTATGTTTCACACAATACGAGAATATGAGGATCACCTCTGAAGGGATCCTTTATTACACGAACTGGCTTTAAATAAATTTCAGAAAATCTAGTCACTGCTTAATCAGTTGATGATCCATCATAAGTCCACCACTCTAAATCTTCAAGTGTTTTGATTTGGGTTTAATATACCTAAAATAATTTTACACGTGTTAATTACTTTTGTTTTTGATCTTAAAGATTCTCCTGATCCATCAATCCAAATATATTCTGCTAAAACAATTGTATTATTGACAGCTTTTGAAAGTTAGTAATAATTGAAGTCACGTAGATTTTCAATTGTTTCTGTCATTAAAATTAAAAATAATTGGTACTTTAAAATAAATATGAAATTGTTATCCTTAATTTAAATTTATATAGATTTAGAATTCAATTCCTTTACATTTCTCATAATCTCTTCTTTCACATAATTTATATGTATAATTTAATCCATTTGGTTTTACTTTATGGCTAAAATCCTTAAACAAATGACAATTCTAACAATTTGAGAAAATTAATTCTGTATTTTTATTAGTTTTTCTTTAAATGTCTGATCCTAATGAGAGAAGAAATTGTTTATAAATTTTTTTCACTCTCTTCTATTATCTTTTCTTAATCATGAATGTAACAATAATATTGTATTGAATATGCTATTTAATTAACTAAGCTTCTCTTGAAATCTCAATGTTCAACTAAAATTAAAAAGTATCTCTAATTATATCATTATATTTTGACTCTCTTTAGTATCTCATTCCGGTTCATTGATACATAGACATTCTAATTGTTATCATCATAAAGGTGATTGATTTTTCAAAATTCTAAATCAGTTAAAATACTGTTGGTTTGAGGTGATTCTGTCCATTTTCTGATATTTTTTGAAAAATCGCTGCTTCCTTGTTAAGGTAAACTATTTTTAAAGTATTCGTTATAAAATTTTCCTATGCTAAAAAAATGATATTATCTCTTGAGAGGTTCCCATTATTTAATAATAAATATTTTAGAATTAACGAACATACAATGATTGATTAAATCAATCAGCTTAAGGAATAAATAATTACACTTTAGTAAAATGAAAAAGATTACCAGGATTTGAATTTCCTATTCACCAATTTGGAACATAGATATAATCTGTTAGCAGAAGAAAAGTAGAGAATGGAAATTGATTATAATCGCAGACATGAATTTAATATGCAATCAGTAGCCAGACACAGAGCAGAGATTGACTAATTGCGAAATGAGTTAATGTCTTGCCAAAACAATCAGGAACAGATGGAATATTTGGTATATGAAAATCAAGCGCTGACAGATGAAGTTAACAATTTAAGGGATGCTTACACAAAAATAGTGTAATAAATCTAAGAATAAGATGAAAAATATTAAACAACTTTGGCTGCTAAACAATAGTACATAGAAAGCTTGTAATTTTAAATTAAATAAATGAATGACATATAGACACACAAAGAAAAAAAGTTTTAAGCAGAAAACGAGAATAAACAATAATTTGTAAGTGAAATGGAATCTTATAAGTCATAAAATGAAAAACTTACTGTAGACAATAAGCAATTAATCAAACAGATTGAGCGATTAGAACTTTAAATTTAAAATTATAAAGACTAACTTAATCAAATGACATAAGAAATTGGAAAAATGTAGCATTAAATGGGCATGCTAACTAAAGAATTAGGAAATTAAAATGTATGTAATTCTACTTATTATAGAAAGTCTCAGCAAAAGAATACTAATTGGATCATGAATTAAAATCTTTAAAGAATATGAACATACAGTTACTTTAAAAAAATGAACACCTCCAATAATAAATAGAATAGCTAATACATAATAATTAATAGCTTATCTTAGAATGTGACACGTTAAGAATTAAATTTGCAGAATAAGAAAACTCAAAACTAATGGTCTAAAATTAATATGCAAAATCTTTAAATAAATTTTAAGAAGAAAGGAAAGTAATTAAGGATTATTTATGTAAATTAATATGTTATCATTAGAACGATAAAAAGTCTTGAGAGAGACTAGATTATAAAACGAAAATGATGTTAGCAAATGCTTAGAAGAAATTACTAGATTAAATAATAAGTGATTGTTATTATTTATTTTTCAAATTAAAAATATTGAATATTTATGCAATACTAAACATTTAAGCCCACAATTTTGAATGATACGACTAATTAATAATAACAAGGTACGTTAAGACCAAGCTCTAAATTCATGAATTAAAAAATTGATCATACAAACTTGAACAATGAAAATAAAAAATCTACAGTCTAATATTAGGAAGCTATAGAATATATCCAAGAAATAGAGGAATAGAAATCTATAATAGAAGGATAAAATTAATTTATTTAGATTTTAAGAAATTCAATAGAAAGTAAATTATAGATTGAAGGATTTCAAATGATATTAGATTAAGTAGAAATTATGTCAAAAGAATAAAAAATTGATTTATTTGCATTAGTCACATAACTATATTAGGAATTGTCAATCTAAAATTAATAAAATGCATAAGTTGATAATTTATAACAATTAGTAGACAATTTAAATAAATAAATTAATTGTTATGCTAAAGAGTTAACAGAATTAAAGGTAGATAAGTAATATTTGTTGGAATAACTTGATTAATTGTAGGGTGTCACTAAAGATGACGATACTAGCTTATTTAAAGATGCTTAAATATCAAAATTAGAATCAGAGAATCAGCATTATAAAACTCAGAATCAGAAATTACACTTACAAAATGAAAAATATTAAGATGATTTAGCTTAACTGGAAAAAAGGCTTAATAAGATTCATTTGAATTTGAAAACTGAGGAATGTGAAAAAGAAGAATTAATTAAAGAATTAGAAAATTTAAAACAAACTTTTTATAAAAGTCAAGTTAAAGAAGAACATAAATTAGAACTTAATTTGGCTTTAAAAGAATAAGAGTTAGAATTTAGCAACAATAAAATCAAAAGACTAGAGAATCAAATTAAAGAATTAAATGCATAGATCGAAGAGTAATAAAAATAAATTGGAACATAAAAATATCAAATAGAAAATCTGCAGCAGTAGCATTAATTGCAATATGATTAGTTAGAGATTGAAATGAATCAATATCGAAATGAAATTCATGAATAATCAATGTTTTGCGAACAATTACAATCATAGTTATAAGCATCAGACTAATATATTTAATAAAGTAAATATTTTATTATATATCATTAGTTACTGATGAAATTCGTAAAATTGTAAAAACTAATGACTTCGACATATTCAATATTTTAACATCACTCTAAGAAAATATTTCAACTTTAAACCTAAATGAGCAAAGGTTGAAATAAAGCGAACATGAAAAATCTTAAATAATCTTCGATTTATAACATCAATTCACAGACTCCCAATAAAATAATTAATAATTATCTGAGTAAATATCTTTGTTAAGTGCATAAACTTAGCAATATTAAAGCGACATTAAACAACTAGAAAAATAAAAACGATTATTTCGATAAGAATTTACTCACATGAAATAATTAGAAGAACAGAAAAATCAAGAAATTAAGGAATTATAAACATAGTTTTACAAATTCGATAAAAAGTTCTCTGAATAATTAGAAAGATCCATAAAAATAGAAAAAGAAAATGCTCAATTAAAAGAATAATTGTCGCTATCTTAATAGCAACTAGCAAGTGCGAAAAACCAAGTTTCAAATAAAAAATCTCTAAGCTTCAGCTAATCATCATTTACAGAATAAAAAATAAAGAATTATGATTACATTGCACTTTTATAAACTGTAAATTACATTTTTATATAAGTTTGAAAAAGTAAAACCGTTATTTCCTAGTGAGGCTCTTGAATTAGTTTAGGAGATGCACTCTTTACAAAACAAATTAGTGAGAACAGAAGAAATAGATAGTCAATTAATTTAAGAAGAAATAAAGATATAATAAAAAATATCAATTTAATAACTCAATTTAAAAAATATGTAAGCTTGCTTATCTAAAATAATGTCTGAAAATAAAAAGTTAAAATTAGAAGTACATAAATTTTATTTATTATCAAAGTTATAAATGATTTAACCAATACAGGGTGAGTAAACTTAATCATAAGAATGTTTATCGTATGATTAAGGAAGAAGTTTCTCTAGATTTCATAAATAATCAATGTCGGTTCACACAAAACCTAAATTTTAATGATATTAAATAGAATTATCTTTATTGAATTTTGTGAAAAGAAGAATTTATTCTTAAATTATATTGTTTAATTTAATTATTTGTAAGAAGTCTTAGCAGGCCAAATGGTTTTGTGTTTAAATAATTATACTTTTGACATGATTGTTTTTTAGGCACCATTCTTTCCTAAACTTAAATTTGATATCAATTAACAGTCTTCGCTTTGAATAAGACAATATGAACAATATAAGAATTCAAATAAATTTATAAATCTATAATTGAGGTGGTTTTTTTCATTTACACGTGATTTTTATTACTTAAACATGATCTAATTAATGAAGTGAATCAGAAATTCCAACTAAAGTTTAAAAAATGATAATTAACCTTATAAGTTTTATCTCCATTTTATTTCAAAAATAATTTATTAGTACCAAAATTAACAAATCTCCCTAAGTACTCAATTAAATTGGATTTTATTATTAGATATTAATTTATATTTAAATGTAAAATCACACTTATTATTTTATTATTTTTTATTCCTATTTTTGAATTTGTATGCACTAACACGATTAGAATCAAGGTTCTTTATTCTTATAAATTTAAGCTAACATTAATTTCAATTTGCAATACACGTTAGAAGATGAACATTATTACTAATTACCAAAGTTGATTGTTGGAAATTTTAAAGGTAAAAGAACTCACAATAATGTAAACATTGTTTTATCCTTTTAGTATAAGCAGGATATATAGAAGTTAGATGATGATTTAAAGGATATTGCAGAGACAACTGTTCTTAAACTTAAAGACTATGCTAAAGTTTGGGATGTTGACTCTTATGATCAATAATAAAGATATTACTTCAACATTCCACCAACAAGTTTCTTACATAAAATCAAAGAATTTGAATTACCTAAAAACTTTTAAGCTGTAAGATTTTGAATTTAATCATTTAAGTATGAATATAATGCTGTAGCGAAATTATCGGAAAAACAAATTCAATAAATGAAGGAAACTGGAACTTTTGAAGTTCCCTCGAGATAATTTCCAATTCCATATGTTTGGTAGATTTCATCTTGGGTAATTAAAGGTACAGAATTAGATTTTATCAAAGGAATTTAAAACATTGAAACTTCAAAATATTTGGATCTTGCTAGAGCATATAAAGCATACAGAACTTGGCTAGCCTATATTGCTTAGGATAGAGATGATCTTGGAAGAAATATATCACTTCGATCCGCTATATATAATATAGGCATTGTAATTATTCTTATATATTCATAGAGACCATTAGTGATATTTTCTATATTTTTTGGATTTAAAGAGATGTATTCTTACGTAGATGAACAAAAATTATTAGCTCTGATTGAAACATAAAGATAGTTTGAATTGAAGTAATTACAGAATGTCAATGTTGAATTATATAAATATTTAAAACTGAACCCTTATGATAAGGAAAATTTACTAGCCAAATAAAAATATGAAGACTTATAATAATGTTAAAACGAATTTGAAATTGAAAGAAATGGAATCAGGTTGCAAATGCAAAGCATATATGATATTCAAATAGAAAAGAAAACTTTACTACAAGCTGAAGATGAAGAGATTGTGGAGTAACACTAATATTTACAAGAATAAATAAATTAATTGTAATGCGATTTTGTGAAAAAATATAATCTATATATAGATAAGAATATTGACATAACAATCTAGATTGAATAAGCAGCATATTCAGCTCAAAAATAGTTTTGGGAAAAAACAAAATATCCTAAACCTATTGTCTATTAACTTATTTCCTTAGGAGATTGCTTAAGACTTTACGATTATCATTATGAAATTTATTAGACAAAATGTAATACAGCAATAAAAACCTTTAAGGAATAGATAAAACAAAAACATAAAATAAAATCCAATTTCCCAAAATTTGTAGAGGAAGAAACTCGAAAATTCAAGAAGGATGTGAAAAAATAACTCAAATAATAATTTGTGTCAAATTTTATAGCAGATATGAAATAATTAAATTTGTCTGAATAATAGGTTTATGAGTAATTTTAATAATGCAAAAAATAGATGAGGGAAAATTTTAAGCAAATGAGAAGTCAAAAGAAAATAGAAAATAAAGAGCCTTCGATTAAAATTGTTGTGTATCAATTTCATTTTAAATTAGCTAAAAACGATTATTTCCTCCATATGAAGTTTATTAAGAAAGAGATAGATATTATTTGAGAAGATTTAAAGATTACCATATTGATTCTTCCAAAGCTGGCTGGAAGCTTAAATTAATAGGGATAAGATATTATGTTTGGACAGTTAACATTATATTTTGGTTAAGTGCAAATGCTGTTTCTGGGCCTATCGGAATTAAGGCTTTGATAAAATCGGAAAAATTTAAACCAGATGTTGTAATAGATTCAACAACAGGTAAAGTCAAGCCTTCAAATTTTACTGTTACACCCTTGATAGTAAAGTTTTTTTCTGTATTAGAAGGAATGAGAAACTCCAGATGTCACTTTGAAGGTAGTCCTGATACTGGTTTGTTTGGAAAAAATTTATATAGGGTTTTTAACTTAATAGAAGTCTATATATTTAGATTTTTATTAGTTGGCGTTATTGGAGTTATAATTATTTTACCAACTATTATTATATCTAATGTGGTAATATCTACTTTATTGGCATTAACTGCTTGGCTTTGGATACCTATAACCATAATTATTAGAATCCTGTTTAATTCATTAATTTACGATACAGATGTATGTCGAAGAAGAGAAAAAGATATTATTTGGAGATCTCCAAATTGGTTTCCATTAATCATCAATATTTTTGATTTTTTAATTTTAGGAATTTTAAACACAATTTATTGCTTATTTAAATTGCTAATATGGCATCCCTTTTGGATAACATTTATGGCCGCATTTGCTTATCTTAGATTTTACACAAGATCGCTCTATGATTCATTTACTATTATTATTATCAAACTAATGGGTAGAGTTCCATCCTCAGAAAACAACATAGCTTGGAAAATCTCTGGGCCTGGATTATCAAGATAATATTTTTACGGAGTATTTAAAATTTTTAAATAAGATCTAATTACCTTAAGTATTGATTTTAGTTCAAGCAGAGTTAGAGAAAAAGATGCTAAATCTCTACAAACAAAATTTAATAAATCTAATCAACAGACCATCATAAGATCTAAGGTAAAAAATTAACCCTTTTTTCTAATTATTTAATGTAAAAAAATATCGAATTCATCTAGGCATAATTTTCTTTTGATGATCCAGCTTGCGGATATTTGACCAATTAATTAAATAAATAAATAGAGGAAAGATTAAGCCTATTTCCAAAGCTGAATCATTAAATTAGGTTTTCTGAAGATGAATTAAAGTACATTTTAAAATAGGTTAAATCTTTTGTTGAAAAAGTAAATAATTTTAAAGGATATGAAATCTTACATTTGGGATTCTTATCAGGTTTAGAAAGGGGACTATAATTTATTAAGTGAAAAGATTATGGCTGCAATATTTGGTTCTGCTGTTCTTGATCCATTCGAAGATTTAGAAATGAGATTTTAGCTCGTATTCTAATTATGTTATCTTAGAATATTTCTTAAAACTTTGATTTTATTAGTAAAGTTGATAAAGCTTTAGACGGGAACATATTATTTCAGCTACCAACTGATTATACAATCTAACCTAAAAAATTAGGAGAGAATAATGTTATTTAAAAAAAATTTATTTCTTATTAGCAAGTAATCCTTTTTATTATTTAGGTCTTACAAAATGTATGGAATTGGCAAAGTTTAAAGTAAAGTTAAAGTTCTTTAAATTCCAAAAGAAATAGATGTTTAATAAATTATAGTATAGATCCAAAATAGTGAATTATTATTAAAAGCATTGTTATTAAAATTATTTTATCACATTTAAAGGGGCAATTTCAGTAGTAAATTTTATATAGTAACTCAATCGATACTATTCAAATTAAACATAATAATTTAGCTTTGATTGTTATTAAATGAACCTATTTTTAAAGTGTTTTTTAGATACAACTTTATTTAAAACATTATTGTAAGAAAAAGCATATACTAATTTATTGGTTTGAAAAATTACCATTTGAAAAATAATTCTAAATAATTCAAAAACATTAAATTTTTATTATTTAATTAATATGTTTTATTATGGTTAACTAGTTATTGGGCCTGCAGGAAGCGGGAAAACTTCATATTGTAATATTTTACAAGAAGGATCTTTTAAGAGAAACATTCAAGTTGTTAATTTAGATCCTGCTGCTGAGTATATCCCCTATAAATGTGCAATTGATATTCGAGAATTAATATGTTTAAGTGATGTAATGGAAGAATTTGAATATGGTCCAAATGGTGGTTTAGTCTATTGTATGGAATATTTATTATAAAATTGGGATTGGATGCAAGATCAATTAAACAATATTGCTTAAGATGACTATGTTTTATTTGATTGTCCAGGATAAATAGAATTGTATTCTCACATTGATATGATGAGAAAGTTAACATAATTATTAGTGAATTCTGGATTTTCAATAAGTTCTGTTTATTTGGTTGACATAAATTTTATTGAAGATGATGCTAAATTTTTATCTGGACTTTTAATGGCTTTGTCAGCCTCGATGACTTTGGAATTACCTGCGTTTACTGTGCTTTCTAAATGTGATCTTATGAAGGACAAAAAGAAACTAAAGAGATACACAAAGCTTCATAAATTTAATGAAGAAAGCGAGTATATAAATCAAGATGAATTTTCTAAAACTTATAAGTCTTTTACTTCAGGCATAAGTGAGTTGGTTACTAGTTTTGGAATCGGAAGGCTTTTATGTCTAGATACAACTGATGATGAAAGTATTGACAATATCTTAGGAGAAATTGATTACGCAATATAATTTGGAGATAATTTAGAACCAGATGATAAATTATATGATTAAGCTGAATAATAATTATGAAGTGCATACTATAAAAATATTGCTATATATCTATATTTATTAGAATTAGTATTCAAGCTAATTTACTAATATCATTCATTACTTCATCCCAAGCATTTCCAAATTAGAATCCTTTTTAATATATCATATCTTAAGCTACTTAATCCCTTGCTTATACTAAATCCTACTTAGTTATATTCTACATTCCTTTAGATTTTAATAAGGATAATAATGAATTATCCTAATTTAAACTTGCCATTTCTTACAAATCCATCATATCTTAAAACCTATTTTTATAATATTCCACGGTTGATTTCAAAGATTTATTGTCTTCATTAAAACTATGATTCTAAACCTTTAGTTTATGCACTTCCTCTTGCAATTTATCAATCATTTTCATATAATTTTCTTTTAGAAATCGAAATTCATTAATGTACATCTCCTTCTCTTTATCTAAAGTTTGCTTTACTATTTCAAATTTCTCGCATTCCTATTAAAAAATTTACTTTTAGGATTCTAAAATTTTAATTTAATTTGTAAATTAAGCTATTTTTACACTTGTTTCCACCTCATTTTGTTATTTTAATTATAATTATGCTTCTAACTGAACTATCCTACTTATGAATTGTTCATTAACTAATTTTATCTATTCCTTCAATGCAATTTCCTATTAACTAATTAATTATTCATTTTTTTATTATATCTATAAATATTCAATTTTTAATTTCTAATTTTCATTATTTAAGATTTTAATCTACTCTTCATAGAAAATATTTTATTTTTTAAGATTTTCCAATTATGCCTTTTTAGCTTCATTTTAAGAGATTTCCATTTACAGTTTATTTTCTCTCTCCTATAGAGAATATAACCATTGCAAATTTTTTTCATCCATTTCTTTTTTTTTTATATCAATGTTCATTTTGTCTATTGAGTAATTCAACGAATTTAGTTGCTTCTTTTATTATTCGAAATTATTATTAATGCTGCTAAGATTACTCAACAGTGGTCCAATCTTCTCATACAAATCATAATTTCTTTAACTGTCTGTGCTCATAAAAATTAACTTAATAAAAATATTGAAAATTCAAATAATCAATACTCCTTTCCACGAAAATGTGATATAAAAATAAAGTTCAGATCTTACAATTTCGTGGGTAGTCCAAATTTTGCTACTAAACAGCGCCTTGCTAATCATCTGAGAGTTTAGCAAAAGATGATAATCAATAAAACCAAATAAGAATCCAAGAGCATAGTCATTCTGAATAATTTAAGGCTAATTCTACATTAAAAAAGTAATCCGACTCAATTTTGAATGATAATATTCCAATACATAAACCATTAACTTGGAAGATAATATATTACTACTAATATTTGGAGTCAAATTGCTAGTAGAATATGAGAAAGAGTTACTTCATTTGATTATTATATTCTAGCAAAGTGATTATTAATGAAAATCTCGCACCAACTTAACTGTACTATTGATTACTCCTCTTTTGAAAAATTCCCATATTATATAGGTCAAAATTAATGGTTTCTTTATGCTCTTTAATTGTAGACAGTGGAGGTACACTATGTATCTTTTAATTACCAAAAGTCAAGTGAGCTTACTTAATCAATTATAAAATTATTTGAGACTCTCAAACATTACTTCAATCTCAAGTTGCACTCTTTAAGGAGACTAAATAATAGTAATAGTACAACTTTAGACAGCACTCCACTGTGTGTTTAGAGTATGTTTTATGACGATGACTACTTTGTTGATGTACGTTATCATTGTCTAATGAGTCTAGCAATTTTATCAAAACATCTCACACAATAGCTTTAGCAAATATTCCATTTTAATTTTTCACCTATAAAGTACCTATCGCTGATTTATATTGTTTGAGTAATTTAAACTTGAAATTATACATGAAATACATACATTTAGATTTCAGATGAAAACATCCTCAAAACAAATGGTAATTTAGAAATTATTTATAGGAGTAAGAGCGTCCACACATTTGCAATATTCAGTTTCTAAAACGAAACATTTAAGCGAAGAAGTTTAAAACTAGTAGAATTCATGATGCATGGTATAGAGGAGCGTTAAACAGGTGTAAAAGGTTTGATCTTCTCATTTAAATTTGAATGGTTTTTTGACCTTTTTTTTGATGGATATAGCACTTGAGTGCTTTACACTTGGTTGCATATAATTTATTGTTAGAGGAAGACAATAAAATACAAGTTTTTAAGATAATTTCTCAGACAATTATTCATGTATACATTAAAAAATAGAGGGGACATTGGAGAGCATTAGGGGACTCCATTTTTAGAATGAAATTTTCTTACATATTGTTTGGATGTATAATATTTTATTGTGTATTGCTTGTAAAAATCTTAGCACAAATATTAATGCTTACATAAAATCGATAGCATAAACAAAAATGCATAAATACAAATTTGACAATATACATATATTTTTTCATTATATTAAAAATCCTTCATTAGAGATAATTATCTTAAAATAAGTTTTATTATTAAACATGTTAAATATTTATCTTTAACTAATTTTCTAAATTAACATATTACCCTGCGTAAAAATTATTATTCTATGCAATCACTTTTTATTTTCGTTTATATATATTCTGTTGATTGTGTGGATATTTTACGATTTTTAGATTGATTATAAATTACTTATTTGATATATTAATTATGGAATTATTTAAGGTTTCCAAAATCTAGAGTCAAATCAATAAAGAACTTTAGGTTTAAAGTATAGTTTTTTTAATTATGGAACTTACAAACTAATCAGGAATAATTTAGATAGAGAAGATCAAAAGAATTATATCAATTGCAAGCATATTGTAAAAGTAAAAAAAAAAAAAAAAGTGGGTTTTAATCAAAGAGTAATATTCTAATTAATTATAGTGAGTCAACAAAATAATTAAAGGAATTTAGAATAAGGAAGATTAAAAAATCATTGGAGACAAAGATAAATATTGTTTAGGTAAGTTAAGATTCAACATTAAAGAAAAACTTAAATGATTCTATATATGAGTCCTTCAAAGGTGTAATTAATGAAATTATTTGTTTTAGATAATACTCTAAATAAAATGGAGAGATTTGAAGAAGCTTTGGTGGATTATGATTTAGCAATTTTGAAAAATCCAGAAAATTCTCTATATTTTTTTAACAAAGGTATAATAATATTGATTATTTCTTTAGCTGGTACTCTAGATAAAATGTATAGATATGAGGAAGCTTTGGACAATTATGATTTAGCAATTTTGAAAAATCCAGAAAATTCTCTATATTATTTTAACAAAGGTATAATACATATTGATTATTTCTTTAGCTGGTACTTTAGATAAAATGAAAAGATATGAGGAAGCTTTGAAAAATTATGATTTAGCAATTTTGAAAAATCCAGAAAATTCTCTATATTATTTTAACAAAGGTATAATACATATTGATTATTTCTTTAGCTGGTACTTTAGATAAAATGAAAAGATATGAGGAAGCTTTGAAAAATTATGATTTAGCAATTTTGAAAAATCCAGAAAATTCTATATATTATTTTAACAAAGGTATAATAAATATTGATTATTTCTTTAGCTGGTACTTTAGATAAAATGATGAGATTTGAAGATGCTTTGAAAAATTATGATTTAGCTAGAGAAAAAAGCTTAGGTATTTCTGACTATTAGAATGGTAAAGGTAAGCTATCATTTAAAGACAAGCCAATTAAAAATGATTATCAAAATAATTGACAAATTTTAATTATTCTTAAAAATTATACTAAATAAATGAAAGAAATTTAGAAGATTTAGAAATCCTAATAGAGAAATTTATTTGAAATTTATATACACTATATAAAACATAAAACTTGGAGTATGATTTGATAATTGCATCCATATGTCCGGTTTGGTTTTTGCAATCACACAAAAATAGCCCCCTTAAACCATGACCGAGAAGGCAAAAAATCCCCGACAGCGAATTCCGT